CTAAAATCCCCATTGCTTGCAATACATCCTACTTTTTTTAATGGATGAAGTCAATGAAATGGTAACCCGCCAGCACTATACAATGATGGGGCACCAGTGTGAGATGGTAGATGAGAATAGAACAGGTCAGTTAGCCCAAAGTGACAAATCCATAAAGAATTATCCACAATGGTTTCCAAGGGGAACTGCGTGGAGGTCGACATGATAGGGTATATTGCTAGCAATGAGGCTATATGATACCCAATACTAACAATCCCTTTCCCCATGCAATACATCCTATTATGTGTACTACCGCGTGATTCCCCTGGAAAGTACCGCGGTTAATTTTTGTTGTATTCGTCACGAAGGGCTAATTGACCTGCTATCATCTTCGTCTACTCGTATTATCACTGACTGGTGCCTCGATAGTGTATACCGATAGCGCAGGTTACCATTCCAATTTCACCCATTAAAAAATGGAAATTATACACGTTTTTAATTAATGTATTGGATATACATATATCAGTAGTATATTCTAAGTTTTATGTACTTTGGAGTTACTAAAGCAATAGAACAAATACATTTCAAAATATTGGATGTAACAATCGCTCATACACAAGTAGCTATCATATATTTTCTTTGTATGATAAGTACAGAGGTATAATAAAAGTAACGGTACCGGATGGTAGGTAAGTAGTCAGTTGACTGTTATATAGTCGATGGTAGTAGAGTTATTGAACGTTCACTTTTTAACTTATAAGAACATTAGTAAGATCGTAGTTAAAAATAACATTTTACATCTACAAATACAATGACAATGAGTATAACATAGTATATGTATACAAAAATATTACTAAGTCTCATGTCTCGACTTTTAGAGTTCCTTATTTAATGACAAAAGTGCTTGGTATTAGTCGATCATGCATAGGCTTTTAAATACTCAACGACCGTGCTATTTTAGACATAACACAATAAATACACAACGTTTATAGTTATTTGAAAAGATAACTCGGTACAAAACCGTCGAGTTTCTTGTAGTTTTTCTGTATCAATAATAATTTTCCAAAACTACAAAAAAAAAAAAAGAGCTTTTAGAAGTAGCGTTACGCTACTTAAATAATTTATATTTGGACTTGACTTAATAAAATAAAAAATAAAAACAGACAAATGCATAGATTTAAGATTACCGCTTGCATTTATCAGTCTTTTTTTTTTTCTTGTTGTTAAAAAATAAATTAAATTCGAATACTGTTACAGATTGCTTGTATTATGTACATGATATGATTACTGCTTTAGACATGTAACGTCCACTGTTAAACATAAGTATCCACTACAGTCTGTCATAAAAAAATACTTGAATCAGAGCCATTTGCATTCATCAATTTCCTGCAACTTATTTGCGGTAATCACTCCATGCAATGAGCGAGGAGGGACTAAACCTTAGGGTTTAGTAGTAATAACTTTTTTAATACTAACAATTTTTACAACCATGTTTAAAACTACTTGGATAGAAAAAATAATAAAATAGTGTCTGTTGCCGAACATACATATTTCAGAGGCCACAGAAGAAATTAGATTAAATTACGGAATTTGGGGTTAATTTTTCAAATTGCAATTACAAAGTACTGATTTTATTAGCAAGAAACTCGCAACTTATTTTTAATTTAGATATTGATTTCATTATCTTTACTAACATTTTAAATGTGAGTTTGTTTGTTTGTTATCTTTTAGCACCTTAACGGTTTAACCAATTACTATTAAATTTGCTACACATATTATATGAGATGGAGAAGGATATATATCACTTTTCATCTGACTTCAAATAGAAGGAGCTCCTCAATTCGGTTGTATTTTTTTCATGTTTGTGACGTCATAACTCCGTCAGTTGTAAACCGATTTGGAAAACTCTTTTCTTTTATCTGAAAGGATATATTTTACAAATTGGTTCTATAGAAATTTTATTAAAATCGGTTCAGTATTTTAGTTTATAAAACAAAATAACTGGGTTTGCCACAAATAAAGTCGGGATTTTTGTACAACACAAATTCATTATTATGTCGGTCAGTAAACATATCCCGGTCATGCGGACGAAGTCGCGGATAAAAGTTGTAGAATATATTCTTCATCCATGTCTGATTGTCAATGAATTCGTATTTATTTTCCTAAGGTATCGTTTGTCATGGATTTACATGCAATATAACTACGACGTTTTATACATATTTGTATGTATGTGTGAAAAAATATTTATCTAACTTTAGTATGTACGGAACTCATCGTACGAGCACGACACTTGTTAGTCATTTTTTTATTAATGTCAAGGCTGCGACTGATAACATTTTCATTCTAGAATCTATTATAAGACTTGTTTGGCTGTACTTACCTAGCTAATAATATAATCATGACTCTAGTAGAACAGTAATAAAGTACAAAACATATTTATTATAACTGGATAGTTTCTAATGAATAATAAGCCGTATTTAACTAATGAAACTAATGCTGAAATAAAAAAAAATATTCGATTTTCGAAAAAGAAACTATCACTGTGTCTGGCGCGATATCTTGGGAATGGCACGTTTTAAATTCAAATGTATAATTAGAAACGTCATACTATTATTAGACATTCTATTATTAGATACCTACTTATTTATTTCATGACAGTAATTATTAGAGCGAAGGGGAACTCGACAGCCGACGCCAATCGATCATCGGACACAGTTTCAGGTGAAACTCAGTGGTAATTTCTAACCAAGCCATGCTGGAAGCAGTAAAAAACAATAGAAAATTTAGCTATATTGTATTGCTCTCACTTTCCTTTGAACAAAGAACAAGTTTGGAAACACGTTATGTATATATTAACCTTATTAAAAATATCAATACGTCAAGGTCAATTAATCCTTACTAAATATTATAAATTTAAAAGTGAGTTTGTTTATCTCTTGGCACTTTAATGACAACGAATGACTATAAAATTTGGTATATAGCAACTACTAAAATGGAATAGAGAATACTTTTTATCCCGGTCAGTGAACATATATATTTCGGTCACGGGAACGAAGTCGTCAGTAAAATTTAATTATTTTATAAAGTTGGATAATTCCTACCAATAATTTTAGAATCACTGGTGATTTACGTATATGTAAAATTTTCTACGAGTTTCGATAAAAGTTACAGTTATGTTTGTATTTAAATAGGGCAACAAATGTAGTGGAGTCACATATTATATAATGTAAGCTATAGGTTTAGGTATTATGCAGGATTCATGTTTTTTATTTTTAATATGTAAAACTATGTATAAAAAAGAAGATATTAAAAGTAAAATTACCTATACAATAATATTACAATATTTTTATGTATAATGTTTTTATATGACTTAAAAATGAGCATAAAAAATTTAAAAAAGTAGAAAATTAAATTAATGAGCATTTTTTTATTAACATTTTTTTATTTTTTAGCACATAGAGAATATGGTCCACAAATACAATCAACCGAAAAGATAATTATTATTATTTAAACTATTTACTCATTTAACTCTCTCAACTAATCTTAATATATAAAAAACCCGTGTCACGATGTTGGTTAACGCTAATCTTCGAAACCGGTCAACCGATTTTAATGAAATTTTGTGAATGTATATAAACTATAAATGTATGTAAACTAGTCGAGCTTTCTCGACCAAATTACACGTAAGTTAAACCGGTAGTTATCACATTAAAATAAACGTACTTATATAGTTTGCTCCAACTCAAGAGATAGGATAGTTTTAATTCTAATAAAAAAGAAAATGGATCCGGTAGGTGGGCAAAACAACGTTTGCCGGTTTATGTTATCATAAAAATCATATTAGGCAAAGTTGAAACTTTACCTAAAATATATGATTATATATTTATACTGAACCACGGACCAGACGCGCGAGCGAAACGACGGTATATGGCTAGTTTGAAAATAAGTTTTGGTGTTAAACCTAATTACCAATGCTTTTTTATTAGAGATTGTGCTGAATTCTAAACAAGCAGAAGACTGGTTTTTCAATTTGTTTCAAGGTCGCATTTTTAGATACCACATCAAGTTGACGACAATCCATGATATTAGAAAAGTTGAGGTCACGCGTCTTTAGCTTGCCGCATCGATATAATAAGCAATGACCTAACATTGTGCATGTAAACAAAATTATGATTTACAATATATTAAATACCTACATAAATTTATAATAATACGTAGTTTATAGAATTACATATACTTAATCTGCTTATTGTTGAGACTTGTTTTCTCAAATAACATATAAAGGATTATTATGAGTCCTTTCTATGTTATTGCTAGTACACTAAAGTACTGAAAAATGTATTAACTGGTCTTGTTAACTTAACTTAATTATATAAGAATTCATGATAAATCCTATAAATTGTGTCACTTGTGTTGGTAATCAGTGTGCATTGTTTGTAACTGGGACATAGAAGCATTTCTATAGACATAACAAAGATATGCAAACAATCATGAATTCACATACTCTTTAATAATAATAATAATATCATAACCTTGTTTGTATCATTATTAAAATGCAAATCCAGAAATAATATTAGCAAATTATAAATAATTAAAAAAATTTTTTTACATTGAAGAATGTAACTATAAATAGATAATTAACCTTGTACACAGATTAAACTTCATTGTAGAGAATAGGACTGACAAAACAGATAAATGCCTCCTTCAGTACTCAGTCTAAAATTAAATTGTCATGTTAATTTGAACTCTGCCACTAATTGCAATATACCTAGTGAATTGCCAATTAACTACTATACCACTACAGCATATTGAATCCTAGGAAAATGTCAATTGCAGTTTGTATGTAGCAATGTAAATTACACACAATTTTATAATACAGACCTATTTTAAAAGTGTTCAGTAAGATAATATTTACAACAAATTAAAATTTAATAATCCTTGGTGTATTACAGTTGTAACCTTCAGAAAATTATAAATGATGCGAACTTTTATAGTACTAAAGCATTAATTTTACTACTCACCATTTCTCGGAGAGATCGGGACAGCTGGCTTTGGGGCAGAGTTGGAACAAAGTCTTCCTATTTTAGTTGGAGGCTTCAAACCCGATGGCTTTGGCAAAGATGATGGTCTGGCAGAGTCTGGCTTTGTGGCAGTAGTAGTACTGACTGATGATAGATTTTCAGAAGATGCTGAAGATGCTGGTGCAGGTGGCGCAGGAGTTGCAGATGTTACATCGGACGATGCTTCTTGCACTTCACTCATTTTTAATTCACTACTTAAAACACTTTATAATTTTTTTTTTCAAGTTTTTAGTTTAGGAACCCATAACTTTACTGAAAATCGGTTTTGTTGTTAAATAAATTGAAAATGAATAATTTAAAAGGGGATGCGAACAAAATCATCCCACGAGCAATAAACTAAATATATCGCAAGTTCCCGCGCAGTTTGAGGACGCGCAATCTGGATCACGGCCAATGTGATCTTTGTAAATAATGTACAACAAATAAGTTTTTACGATTACGTATCTGCTTATTGGTAAATTTTATTGTGGTACTAAATTTTCCATATTACGCATGTGGTATATTTAATACCGACACTAAAACATTACTTATAACAAAAATAGTAATTAATACTTAGGCTTTATACAAGCGTGTGGGTACTGTTTGCGGATAAATAAGCAATATAAAGAAGTAACGGCATACCTCGGGGAAATGGAGCACAAAAAGTGCTATCCACAAATTAAAGAAAAACTGGCGAGATTTACCGCTCGTCGCGACCAGCTGAGCTTGACAATATTGATAGCACTATCATATCACTGAACGCACCAATATACACGACATGATTAATTGCATTATTTAACACTCGATTAATAATAGGCCAATAATTGCGCTAATTTAAGCGCTAGCAAAGCTAAGAAATCCCGAACACGTAGGTAACGGAAATTATTTTACAACAATACGTTGATGCAATCTCTCATCACGTTCAAAACATCAAGATTGCGTTTTGTTATGTTAAGCTTAGTTGCAATGCCTAAAAATGTCAAATGATTATTAAATAAAAAAAATAATAAGATCTAACCAAAATCCAACAAATACTCTTATGTATTCTATAATTCATTATCACCTTATGTATTTTTTTTAATAGTAATTGTGCATACACAATTATAAATTTCAACTAATAGTAATTCGATTAAATAAAACGCAGTGAAAGACGAATGAGAAATATTAAAGAACCTTTCACACTTGGATTACTATTATCACAGTAAAAAAAAATTAAGTAAATTTAATTATAAGCATTTATTTCTCAAACATGCTTGGAAATGTGAGCGTTATTTTGATAATCTTCTTCGAGATAAATCAAAATTGCCATACTGGCCAGATACATGCGGGCAGCGGCCGGCAAAAGTTGTATGAAAATCCATATCTGTCGTGTTTTGCGGCCAGATAAATTACTATGTTAACTCATATCTGTCCTGTAATTTAAAAATGGAATGACCTTTTACTTCTAAACATGGCTACCAAGGAGGCAACTAATAAAAGGTTTCATTTAAATTTCGAACTGGCTTGCAAATAGAAAGCTGTTTATTGAAAAAAAAAAACAATGGAACATTATGGCGCGTGAAAAATTATTATTGTTCGTTACTCGTCATTGAACTTAAAAAGTAAAATTGTGTTTTTGATTTCCGCGCATTGTTTGAGAAAAGTACTATACAAGCCTTGGCCACAACTAGGCATATATGGCCGCTGCAGTAATAGTACTATATGTGTATTGAGTCATCTTTGTGTATTCGTTTACATTTAATGCTTTATCTAAATTGTAGTGTACTAACCGAGCAAAACTAATACTTTTTGCGGTTTGAATGCACGTACTAATGCGCTGGGCAGAGGTAATTCCTATTTTTTTTATTAAAAAATTATATAATGAGTTTCTATTTTCTTTTTTGTAGTGTCCAATATTCTTTATTTATATGATTATTTGAATTACAGACGTAACATAATTTGTCACTGTCAAAAAGTTATTCTGTCATGTCATTAACTGTCCGAGTGTCAGTCTATCTTTTGACCTCTGACATCTCATTTTACATTGCGATTTGTTTCTAATATTTGTCGGCTTTTTTCCATCTGGATGGTGTTGTTACCTATTTAATATTTTTTGGGTTTTATTGGTATAATTAGAAATCAGTCTTGTACCATGATTTTGAAAAGATAAATTGCGAAGGCTCAAAATGAAGCTCGTACACAAAAATATCGAAAAAGATGGCTGCGGGTGAGGCTTTATTTGTATATTATCATTTTGGGAATTAGGATACATATCATAAATTATGTTCTTTCATGTAGGAATATTGCCCTTATTCCTGAAGAGTCGGAAGATATGTGGCACGCATATAACCTGATAGCTGAGGGCGATGCAGTGACGGCGTCCACGGTACGGAAAGTGCAAACTGAATCGTCAACAGGATCGTCCACTAGTAATAGAGTGAGGACTACACTAACGATCCGCGTAGAAAATATAGATTTTGATACGCAAGCATGTATGTTGCGATTAAAAGGACGAAACATTGTTGAAAATCAGTATGTGAAGGTGAGATATTCTTATTCTGACTATATATCTAAATAAAGTTTTTGTTTTAGGTTTTAACCACGCATCATATCTTTGTCTATTAGTTTCTTATAATAGTGTCTCCTACCTTGAAAAAAGATCATTGGTATATTTGTATAGTAATTGTTATATGTTGAAAGGAAAAGTGCGCAGAACTAGTGAAAAATATATTTTAGGTATTGGGTACATATTTTACTGTGATAGAAGTGAAGAATATTCTCACTCTAATATTAAAAAGAAATATAGTATAATTAGTAATGAGGCTTTATCATTTATACAATATTTCAGATGGGTGCATATCATACACTAGACCTGGAACTCAATAGAAAATTTATACTGCAGAAAGTACTATGGGATTCTATTGCACTAGATCGTGTGGAATTGGCCTGCGATCCTGCAGCTAATGCAGATGTGGCAGCTGTGGTCATGCAGGAAGGTCTTGCACATGTATGTCTCATTACTCCATCTATGACATTGGTGCGATCCAAAATAGATATGACTATTCCAAGGAAACGAAAAGGTTTTGTACAGCAACATGAAAAGGTAATTATTACAAATTATTTGAAAAAAAAGGGGTATCATATTAAAGATGTTATGTGGACTATAATTAACTCATGTTTTACATTTTTAGGCATATTTAAAATGGTTGTCATAATAAATTCTGTGATATACATTGTTCTATTTATGTTTGAGCTATGGTGAAGCTTGTTTGCTATTTCAAGTTACATAAAACATTAAAACCTGTTGAAACAAATTAGTGTTTAAAATATGTATGAATAAATCAGATATAGTTTGTAAAATATATATTTTCCTTTATCTTATATTTAATGATTATTCTTATTAATATTATAAATATGAATGTGAGTTTGTCACAAATAATATATGGAATGGAGAAGGATATACTTTTTATCCTGGTCAGCAAACATATCTCAGTCATGCAGATGAAGTTGTGGGTAAAAGCTAGTATTTAATAATAATAATGTTTGTAAAAGAGATTTAATAATGGTTTCCTCACAGATAACATTTCAGGTATTTTGTTATAGAGACATCTCTCTTTTTTATACATTTTCCTGTAAAGACATTAATATCACAAATTTTTTTATACTAAAATTGAAAAAAAATAATATACAATTTCCTGACCCAGCAAACATTGTTATGTTTGGTCATGAGTCTATTTCTTTCTCAGAACAAAAACTACCTTCTCTTTCTTGTTGGAGCAAAGATTGCATATGAAATTTTAATTAGGGTGATTGGTCCCTAAACAAAAATAAGTTAAGAAATACTAGATGGCACTGTAATTGAGACATGTGGTATTTGTTGATTATCTTGTAGTTAAAAATAATTTGATATTATTATCTATGAATGTGAACAGTTAACATGCAATCTTTTCTGGAATGAATTACCCATATAATTGCAATGTTTTTTTTTTACAAAATTGAATAAAAGTGACAATAATTATCATAAATTATTAATGTATATTTGTATATTATAATGTATTATTAATGCGAGAAGCTGAAGACTGTACAAAATGGAATAACATCATAAGAGAGGTAACAGACACCTTTCAAGGTCACAACCTTCGGTAATGAAGAGGACGAAGAGATAGAGATTAATGTATAGGTAAAAAATAAGTAGACCACTCGCCGATTTGGAAATTTTACCTCAAATTATTGTTAATTACAAAATAACCAACAAAAAATCACAAGTCTCGATTCTATCGTCATTTACTACTTCCTGCCCAATTTTGTTTAGTAACCTTAAATTGTTTTAGTGGCTTTGAAGATTCATGTAAATTGACACTCTGACAAAGGATTTAATACACAATTAAGAATATTATTTATATCTCACAGGGCCTAAATAAGTACTATGATGCAGTTATGCAAGGTATCTTGAGGCATGTGGATTTCAACATTGTCAAATGTGTGATACTTGCATCACCAGGATTTGTCAAAGATCAATTTTTTGAGTACATGATGCAACAAGCTATTAAGACAGATAACAAACTCCTTATTGATAATAAAAGCAAATTTCTATTGGTCAAAGCTTCTTCAGGTTTTAAGCATTCCTTGAAAGGTAAGTTTTATTATGAATGTAGAAGCTTAAATTATTTTGTTACAATAAAAAATATCTTTTATGTTGAACCAGGTTGTAGTTATAATTATACCAAGTTTCATTAAAATATATCTAGTATATGATACATGTGCAATAAAGTTTGATTACAATTTTATTGTAATGTACTCTTGTTAATATTAAAAAGGGGAAAGATTTGATTATTTGCATATTTATTTGTTTGTAATGGATAAACTCAAAAACTAATTTATTTTAAAAATTCTTATATCTACTGATGGTTACATTATCAGTGAGTAAGATAGGCAATATTTTTTAAAAAAAATAGAGATCCCTACTTAAGTTACAAAGTCCCGAGATATAGAAAATTTGTCTATAAACATTATTTGGTGTCACTGCAAAAACTATTATTGATACGTAAAATAGTATATAACATGTTTATAGTACATGAGTACTATTTTGTACATAAAAAATGGCGATATTATAGATAATTTAAATAGAGAATATTATAGATAAATACAGGTATAATTGATGACATTTGTATCATGGTAATTTAAATGTAGTTTCATAATCAAAATTGATTATGTACGAAATTCCTCTATATTTATTCAATTAGATTTTTTTTTCATTTGGAATTTATGATGGGTATAAAACTAAGAAAATGCCATGGTGTAATTGAACAGCTTTACACTTAAAATTGTTGTTGTATTGGTCTGAGTAAAGTACTAATATATCTATATATTACTATGCAAAGCCTTTAGTATGCCTATATATTAATATAGATAAAGGTTCAAAAAAGCATTGCCTCTTAGACTTTCCATAGGGAAGTTATAACACAATTAGTACTGTTTCATTTTAATTATTTATTAAAATTTTATTCTGTTCTGTTTCAGAGGTTCTTCAAGAGCCTGCTGTGATTACAAAAATATCAGATACAAAAGCAGCAAGTGAAGTGAAATTATTAGAGAGTTTCTATACTATGCTGCAACTGGAGCCGGCTAAGGCATTTTATGGAAAGAAACATGTTGAAAGAGCTAATGAAGCTATGGCAATTGAAATACTCATGATCTCTGATAAATTATTTAGGTTGTTATTTATATCTTAACAATTGATTATGTTATATACTTCGGCCTTTCTCTTCTATTACTACGTTTTCAGTTTGTCACAATTAATTCAATATTTTTTTATTACCATTTTGATTTATATTGATACCTTCCTAATTTACTAGATTTGTTCTGTAATAAAATGAAGAGATAATGGGTCGTCTTCAATCATCAGTGTCAATCAGTCAGTGGCTGCTGCTCATGTAGCAATCATTTTTCACATTGCAAAGTGATTTATAATTATTAGCAATAATTTATTTGAAATTTATATCTCAATCAGGTGTCAAGATATACAAAAAAGGAAGGAATATGTCAGTTTGGTGGATTCGGTGCGTGAAAATGGAGGGGATGTAAGAATATTTTCAAGCATGCATGTCTCTGGTGAACGTAAGTATTTAAATATAGAATTAACACAGATATAATACTATTATATTACGTACTAGCTGTTGCCAGCAATATCATACTTTATTTTGTAAGTAGGAAAACCAATGCAATAAGACCATTTCAGATGGTATATCAAGATAAAATATACACCAGATTTTAAATAAGACCTTTAGTTATACAACTGAAAATTACATCCAATTTGGCACAGTAATTTTTACATGATGCTAGAGTAAATATTTAAAAATGGTTGTTTTAATTTCTATTGCTTATATTAAGACCAGCCATATCAATTTTTTTTTTATAATTTTTACATATATTTATAATTTAGTTACAATTTTAATATAATGTATATGAATTGTATGTTTTAGTGAAAACAAATTCCCATTGTTCTAGTAATAAAAAGATTAATTTTGCATAGAAAAATTAGTCAACTCGTCTACCTATACTAAACCGTTTCGTTATATGATAGATAGAAATGAGTAAAATGTTACGTTTTTATTTAGATGCATAGGAGGTCCTTTAATGAATTGAGCAGTCTGGTTTTTCAATTTGTTGTCTTATTGTTGTTATTACAAGAATAAATATGATTACTATTGTGTTAATTTATTAATATATTGTTTACAGAATTGGACCAGTTAACGGGCATAGCTGCTATTCTTCGTTTTCCAATGCCAGAACTAGAAGAAAGTGATGCAGAAGATGATAGTGATTCTGAATCTAATTAGAACTAAGGACTTGATAGATAAATTTATCTTTAATTTACGAAAATTAAGATGTGACGTTAATCCCAAATTCGTTTTTAACCCTAATGATGTCTTAAAAAAATGACTAGTAATTTGGTCTAAGGGACCTTAAACCCTTAGTTCTGTTTTTGCTAAAGTGATATGCTTTCGTTGTATCATGAATTTTTAATATTTTTAATTCTGCTATAGATAAATATATCTAAAATTATATTTTTATACTTTTTGCTAGTAGTTAATGTATCTAGCTAGGAACAATTATTCTGAATGTATATAAAATATTTTTATCCAATTTGTTGTTGTGTTACTATTTTGTAAATATTATTTTAACTATTAGTAGAATAAAAAACATTGTTTTAGTAATTGTGGTATTTATTTTTGACATTTAAGAACAAGCTGCTTCTAATGCTTGCATTTTCTGTTTCCGTTTTTCAGTTTTCTTTTCTTCCTTGACTTTTTCATCATGGAGCCTTCTCTTCTTTCTCAGAAGCCATATTTCCTTTTTCCTTTTCTCTTGCCCAGCTTTCATGCTCTTGTAGAGATTTCTATGCTTTTTACGAACAAGTTTCTCTCGTAATCTGAATGCTTGCTTATCTTCAATTTCTTTCAAATAGGGATGTTCTTTGTGAGGAACACCACTTGTAACAGCCATTGCTTTTTTCTATAATAAGAGAATAATGAATTGGTTAATATTGCCATTTATATAGTAGGTCTGTAAGAATTATTTGATACATATAGTTTTCATATAAGCCTTGTCACGTCATATACCCCAATGGCAATAGCCGCAAACACATTAAAAATAACAAAGAGGTGTTCTGTGAAACAATGTCAAGTCCTCCAAATATTAAACAAATATAAATTTTTGATACACAGATTTGATAGAAAAGTACGCCATTTAAAAAAAAAAATAGAATTATTACCTACAAAAACATATTCAACATCTTTCTGTTGATACAAAATGTTTATTTATTGTGGCAATTTTTTCTTTTTAATTAATGAAATCTTTAAATTAAACCAGCCGCATGGTTCCGGGAAAGGAAGGGGCCACCTCTTCCTTTCTGTGGGTGTCATAATAGGTGACTAAGGGAACTTAATGGTTGAGGGATGGCCGCAGCGTTCCCCTTAAAACATCACTAAAAGCCTAACTGTGGTTGTGAACTTGCCTGCCAAGCGTGGCAATTGGCAAAAATCCTCCTTATAGGGAAGACCATAATACATGACAAGACTGAACCAAATAAGTAAACAAAAAAGATTATTTTTGCTTATTGTAAAGTTTAAACCACCAATGTTTCTATATAGATGCATAGTTACCTTCTCTTTAGCCAATTTCTTTTTTTCAGAATTTGTATCATCCTCTTCATCCTCATCAGAAGATGAATCTTGTTTCACTTCCTCTTGATATTGTTTGGCCAAAGCTTCTTCAGCATCAATCTCAGATTCCTTGTCGCTCTGGTCTGCTTCATCCTCATCACTGGCCTCTTCAATTTCACCATCATCATCATCGTCATCTGTATAAAAATGATTTTTTATAATAGACATGTTAATACACATCTAAATTCAACAAGAAACCTTAATGAGAAATAATAAATTTATTTTATAGATGTCTCTCACAGGGTCGATTCTAAGGGCAGGTAGTTATTTTTTTATGCAAGTTAGAATGGCAAATAAGCTGTAAGCCCACTGATGGAAAGTGGTAACAGTTGCATATAGACATGAGAAGTACTATGGACATAACAGAGTATACTGTTTCCCATGATATCCCTCATGCATTACCTTTCCTGAGGACTCAGGTGTTATTCCTCTGTACCCTGTAAATTTACTGACATCTTTCAAATCGAAACATAGCTATACAAACACAACTGCCTCATAGTAGAAACATAAATGGGACAGAGGTGCTCAAGCAAACTTTTGTATGAACTCTCCCTATGGTAAAATAAATAATACATTTTGTTCAAATAAATACATGGACATTTTTTTATACAATACTAGCTTTTTGCCTGCTACTCTGTATGCATCGATTTCAGAAGTAGAAAAAAATCAATGAAATATACCACTTCTGAATGACATATCAAAATAAAAGATTCAGTAACACAACCACAGGGAGACTTTGTACAAAAGTCGATTGCAAAAGTTCCATTCATGTTTCAACCGTAAAGCAGTAGTGTCTGCATCTGCTGTGTTTCAGTTTGAAGGGTGGGATATGGCATGAATTTACAGGGTACAGAGGAATAACACCCGAGTCCTAAGAAATGGCAGTGCATGGGGGTATCATGGGCGAAAGGTATGCTCTGTTATGTCTATGGTATTGCTCATGTATATAGGAGACGGTTACCACTTTTCATCAGGTGGGCTGTCAGCTTGTTTGCTATTTATTCATTAAGTAGTATAAAGAAAAAACTGAGAAAACTGTATCTAATTTGGAACAGTACTTTTTACATGATATTGGAACAATATACAGATAGACAAAATTTCTAAAAATATGGTCTTATTAAAACCTGTCATGTACATTTTTCTTAACTATCTCTCATGTAAAGACAGTCATTATAATTCTATTAGTAAGATATACTTACCCAATGGTTTGAATTCAGGATCATTAAGAGCCCTTTGTTCAGGTGGAATATAAACCTGATCTTTAGTTTTGTCGACAAATGGAGAGAGATGGGGAGGTAAAACAGCTCCCATAAGATATTTATTTATTGGTAGCAGTGTCCTAGCATTGACACTATCAAATACCCATTGTGGTTGGACATAATAACGTGAGAGGTATTGCTTTTCCATACTTGGTCTATCAACTATTTGGTAAGCAATAGATTCATCAGACTCATCAAATGTCGCTCCAACAAAATGGTCACGATCCCAAGAAACCTGCCCACCAAAACAGCGAATCAAGAAAACTAGAGGCTCTCTTGGTACTTCTCGGTTAATATAGAACTTAATGCCATCGAACAAAGTTTTTAACTTTTTTATCTTTTCAGCTTCTAGCTTAGCTTCTTCTAATTTCTGGGGATCGTCTTCTGTGTTGAATATGTCAATTTCTGGTACCTCCTCAGTCTCACCAACACCAGACAATTTAACAAGTGGAATATTCATAGCAGCTATTCTCTCTGACACATAGGCTCTTTCATCAATGAGGTCTTTGTCAGACTTTGAGGAGAATCCAGATGTCAATTTTGGAGGATATACAAGATTGAGTGAGTGATACAGTTTAAAGTTTACAAATCCCAGCATTGTAATGTAGAACTCAACAAATGTTGACATTATTTTAAAGTCAACATCATCTTTGCTTTGTGGCTAGAAAAAAAGATATTGACAGAAATTTAATAAAACAAAAAAGTTTTTGGTAAGAATCAAATATAAAAATTATCAATAATGTTGCAAAATGATATTACAACTTCTATAATGAAACATAATAACACAATTTATTAAGTTTTTTTTTTTTAATTCATATAACTTACAAAAAGTTTATATTAATGAATATAGTTTTTATTTACCTGAAATGCAAAGTGATGTGGTACAATCCATGTAATAGTTTGACCTTCAAATTCAGCTTGATAATAATAACCTTTGACTGATACAAACACATAACGAAGTGCCTTTGCTGCTATAACAGCATGCATGAACTCTACAGTGAGTCTTCTACACAGTAATGATTGATCTCTAGGGACCCGTCGTAAAGATGGAAAAGTACTGAATAGAAAGCAAAGGGTAAGACAGTCATCAAGGTCTCGCAATGCATCTACAAATGTAGGATAGCGTTCTTTTACTATATGATCTATGTTCATGTCTGGGTAGTCTCTGAAATATTTCTTCATTTGTCCATATTTCTTCATAGCTCTTGCTCGGCGAATTCTCTGTTGATATACCTATGAAATAATTTAACTATTAATAACTTTTCTTTATTTGTTTGAGACTTGCTACTCCCTATTTCACATAGGGTTAAATTATAAAGAAAACCAAACATTTTTTTTTTAAATATCTAAACGATGTAAACAGAGGAACAGTAAAAGACAGTAATTTTGTTATACACTATTTAGATAATAAAAAATTACTACTGAATACTATATTAACTTACTTTTAACTCTCGCAGTTTCCATATTATGGGCTCGTGTAGAAGAAATTTTATATCTTTAGTATGATATAACGTTTTGATGCCACCGGCACCTTTCTGAGCTCTTTTACGGTTTCTGGGTTCTCTTGGATAGATTCCTTTAAGAATACAGATACGTCGAAAATCCTTTAATGTTAACTGCAATTTTTTGAGAGCGGCTTTTCTCGTCATAAACTGAGCTCCTTCTCCAGAAGAGTACTGTAATGAATGAAGTAGTTGCAGGGTTAGAACGACATTAACACGTGTTTAAAGTTTTAATATTGATAACGTACATACCTTTTTCTTTTTCTTGGAAACCATTTTTGTTATCCCTTAATGTAGTTTAAAGAGCTTTTTTCTTAATCTATAATTTATTAATGGTAATATCAATATAAGGTATAGATTAATAAAATGAAAACATCATAGTGCAACTTATCAATGGCAAAGAATTGAACATTTTGACATTTCGTTTTATAATTTTTTTTAGTACGTTTATTCCGTTGTGGAACAGGCTAAGGTCGGAGACCATGCTGCCTAGTCTTCAATATGGTCGTTTTATCAATCCAAACGTCATTACCTAACGTCACACTTTGGCATTTCTCAGATTTTTTTCATTAATAGAAAAGGAAAAGAATATTGTGTATACAGTTAACCTCTATTTTTCTGTAATTCATCGTGATTAATTATAAATATATGCTCCTTATTGATTCCTTAAAAAAATTATAGTAATAAATAATAGGCGGCCTTTCCGCTAAAAGCGATTTGTTCCAAGCAACTTTTGGATAGAGAAGAGTAATTAATGTGAAAGTGAGTTTGTTTCCTGTTAACGTCTAGTAGGCTTTTATACTACATCTATTGAAGTAGGAATTGCTCAGAATTTCTCTTAAGAGTATCAATGGGACAGGTTATTCTTATCAATTTAATTTCAATCCCAATAATACGACTTAAGTTAGCAATGATGTACAGATATTTAAGAAAGTGGATTAAAGGATATTCTTATGTAAAGCTCCAGACTGTGCTGTATGAGATCTGGCATAAAGAGACGTTAAATAGAAAACTTCATTCGTTTGTAAATTTAATAATTTTAAAGATGATAACAATTGAGTATTTTCAACTTTTTTTTTCAATTACTATTTGGTATACTTACTTTACTTAATAATATACCTATCTATATAATATATTCTATATAATATATCGTAACATCTTAGTAATATACCTATCATAAGGTAAATATGTTTATACTAACACAATAAAGAGAAAACTTAAAATTTTTTGTTTGTTTGTAATGAATAAACTCAAAAACTACTTTATCGTTTTTAAAGTTTCTTTCAACTACAGGAATCTATGTTATCAGTGAGTAACATAGGCTGTATTTCATAAAAAAAACCCTTGTAAAGCGGGGTCGGACCGTCACTATTTCATGTTTTGCTATATTACAGACGATTATATATATAAGCCTTTGTTATCAGGCTGGGCGTATGGTTATTAGCTAATGTTATAATTTTTTGCTATAATTCGATTGTGCTCCATGATTAATCAAATAATAGAAAGTTGAGTTAGTAAATATCAACATTAATTATTTTTAAATACTATTTATTCGTTCTATTATATTATCTTGTATCATATCGTACCTCATATCATAATTTGGTTACAATTTCAACTACTTATTAAAAGGGGAAGGAGAGGGATTATAGCAGTGAGGATTTAATTGTGGTCCCATTGTAAGGACTATTCCTAATTAGGTACTTCTCATGCGGTCTTTCCCCGAAAGTATTATGGTTAATTTAAGGTTTATTCGTCACGGTAGACCAACTGGTCTCACTTTATTCATCTTCATTTATCCTTAATACCCCGTCAGTGTGTAAGTACCTATAGCGCAGGCGAGCCTACCATTCAATTTTCTTTTAACAAAAAAACTAATAAATAGTGGGAATGTTATGAGTCTGTTTTTATTCTGGTAAATAAGTAACTAATTGAATTAATTAATCTTTATTTAGTACATAATGTTTTTATGGGCTTAAAAATAAACAATAAATTATTATATCTAATTATAAATTTTACATTTTCAAGTAACTTTTTTATTATTCATTATCGATAACTGGCACGCCAGCTGATGTAGTTGAGGTTGTCGATACTCCAGAGGCAGTTTGACTCTGTGCCCACAGGCTGGGGTCCACCATTACGTATTGTACAGGGTATGCATATGTCGGAGGCCAAGCGGCTGGAGTTTTATTCGTGACCGAACCAGTCGCTTCCTCGGTATTTCCTGTCTCCTTGAGGTTATTTAAAAGATCAGCATATGCTGATATTATTTGAGGATAAAAGTAGTGAAAAGGATTATACTGGGGAAGAGTGGTACTAGCAGGGGCATCACCTGTATTACGTATTTCAGTCGGATTAGAAGGCAAGGCGTTAGATGCCGAGACAGGGTAAGGATAAGAAACTATTGAGTTACCTTCAGGATTTCCTGGCACAGGGTACGCATAGGCATATTGAAGAGGAGGGTTGACTACTGCTCGTTTCTGCGTATTCGCTGTTTCATCCGAATTGGCGATATTTGGCGGATATGCGACAGTTGGTTGTGTATGAGCAGCGGCTACTGGTAGAAAGTTGACGGGCTGGTCAGTTAGCCATTGTGATTTGACTCCATTTTCTTCTGTGGCTGCCACGTACAGATCTCCCGTCGTTCCGTCCATAGATGGCTTCACATAAAGTCCATGGACTGGTTGGAGATTATCTGGTGCGCTCCAATAGGCTGTGCGTCCACTAGCCGTGGCAATCACAGCCAAGAACACCAGACATAAGCGATCAACCATGTTGATTTGTTACACGTATGTAACACCCAATATTATCTATCATTTAGGAGTGAGTCTGAGTTTATATATGATTCCATCCCATAAGGAGGTATAGAGATAACGTAAATTAAGTAATCGTATTTTTAATCAGTACATGATCGTGACACGTTTCGATGTTCATTGTCCCTTACATACTATCACGTTTATCTTTCCAAATTTGATATTCGAACAATGATAATTATGAATAAAAGATAAAACAGTGTTTAGTAAAATATGGTAAATATTATTGTTTATAGTTGGTATGTATTTAAAAAATATTATGTATACGAAAACATGTTTTAATTCAAAAACGTCTTTTTCTTAAAAAGTAGATGGTTGTAAATTATAACACATATAATTTTAATAGCTGTTAAAATGTGAAACTGTTACTGCATGTTATGAGAATAATCGTTGGCACAATTTCCAAGCAGGTGACTTTAAAGTAATTACAAGAAATAAGTACCTATTGAGAATAAACACACTATCCGTCAGCAAAACAAATGAATCGTTCCAAATTCCGTATGAAATTACTTGACTGTCAAATGTTCTCGTACTATTTGATTTTAAATTGATACATTATAGTAATTCATATCCGCATCTTGGTTTATGTTATAAAAACACTAGAATTAAGAATAGGCACCTGTTCCTGATAGAATAGAGCATATCGTAGTCTAATATATATTATTAATGTTAAAAGTTTATACATTAACATTATATTTCAATTGTAAAAAAAATACAATATTACGCCTAACAAAATATCGTACTATATCAGCCATTAACTGTCCACTGCTGAACATATATCCTTATACTCCATAAGGATTTGCTAGTAGATACCATGCTTGGGCGGTGAGTTGGCAATCGCAGATAAGCTTTGGTGATGTTTTAAGAGGAATGCTGCTCTCCATCCCTCGACCATTAAGTTACCTTAATCGCTTCTTACGATACCCACGGGAAAAGAAGGGGTCTCCCATTATAAGCAGGGACCACACGGCCAATCAAAATACATATAAGTATAATCATTAAGTATGTAGTACAGATAATTAGTCACACTTCATCTTTTAGTTCATTCAAACATACAATGTTTCGCATAAAAGTAGTACTCGTAGGATAAATTAGTAAGTAGAATTACCATTATTTATCTATTTTCCACCACTTATAAGTTAAATACCATTTAATCTTATAATCCTGTTTTAGCTATTGCAGTGTTATTTTTTATTTCTTATTAGTTGACCCGGCGAACTTCGTACTGCCTATCAATTTAAGCTGTTTTTTACGTGACTCTTTCCGATATTTTAATAGTTATTCTACTATTCGTGGCAGAGACGAAACCAACGAATCATAGATCATCAAACTCTGTCCAGCTGTTCTGGAGTTATAAATGGTGTAACTAACTAACTAACTAATAAAATCGGGTAAATAGATACAGATCGAAATCGAACGCAATGTAGAACGACCCTCTACTAGATGGAGCGACGACCTCAAATGCACTGCATGGAGTCAGTGAATGCAGGTGGCTCAGAACCATTCCCTATGGCAGTCTATGGGGAGCCTTATGTTCAGCAGTGAACGAAGAATGGCTGAAATTATGATGAGAATATAGTAAAGAGTATAGACAACAACAGTCAACAAATGTTTCTGTCTGTCACATTTGAGATCATAGTCGTGAGCATATTTACAACACGGAAATTGAGATATTATAACATTGAAAACTGTAGTGACTGTTATAACATAAAAGTTTATATCAGTAACAATAAAATACGAACTTGGGTTTTATCGAATATTGTTCTTTGAAAATGCAAGCACAATACATTTTTACTGCGATCCTTATAAACAAAATCTTTGCATATAGAACATCCATATGCCTGAGGAAGCACGAGGAGTTTTCTCTTTGTGGATGGAAGTGTCCGGCTACGTGTGTGAATCTACGTCTGTTAGCGACTGAGAAAGTGAACTGTCCTTCTGTATGGGAGTGCAGAGTGGGCTGCCAATGTTCAGCTGGATTTATCAGGGATGAATACACTAAGAATTGCATTTTAGTACAGGATTGTCCAGGTAAATATATTATCGTTCATGGTACAGCTAAAACATGCCTGTAAAAAAATTTACTATATATTAAAATTTTCTAAAATATAATTTAGAGATATATACTTGCTATTTGTATTAATCGAAAACCATGGTTATTGATTTTATTTTCTGTGTTTGTTAGTATTTTACATAAAAACTACAGAAATAATTATAATGGAATTTTCATATATGGAGCAACATATATGAGATAAATTTTTTTTTTATAATTGAATGGGTAATTAATTTTTAATTTCCTTCCACTCTTATTATGTTTTCCGACCGGTAGAAGCAATAACTGTTATTGGGATTATGACTGAATATGGAGGACTGAATATCTCATATATGGAGGAACATGAGATAATTCATTGACTTTTTTTTATATATTTACTGACATTTAATTTTCCGCTTACTCCTATTCCTACTGCATCTTTCTACTAGTGGAAGTACGAAGTGTTATTGGAATTAGCACAATATCTTGTTAAATGCCTATGAATCTTTGTGCTACAAGAAACTATTCTCATAGCTGCTACAGTACCTAAATGGTATACCTACGCCCTTATATCATACGTATAGAGTTGGCATATGTATCAAAATTATTTGGTCTGTTGTTAGTTTTACATTATAGAATGTACTTAAACTTAATAATGTATGATGGATGTCTTATTCGACCTTATAATATACTGCTTATGATGCATCACGCGAACGTGATATTTATTATGACAAAATAATTTAATTATAAAATGAATCACATGCGCATTCATCAAATTTGGATGTATTTAATACAAAATATTATAATATTATAAGAATATAGTCTACATATAATATAATTCAAGTTAGTAAATAACTATTTTTGGAAGATTATTTTTGAACTCGATGAATGCCTTATTTTTAGAATCTATGTTACGTAGATACGAGATAAAGGATTACCATGGTAGCCTTGCTATCTAGTAATTAGTGTGGCCAGCAACACAATGTATGGTGTAATGGTATGGTGACCCCGCTTTCATTACTGGTAAACTCTGGCAATATATTAGTGAGTGATGATAGGCGAGAATGAAATCATATTATTCAATCCATTGTGATATATTCTCTAAGAACTTCACAATGGTTTCCAGGGGGTTTTTATTGAGATGAAAATGGAATGGTAATGGTAAACACTGGTAAATGATATCTCTAGTAAATGATGTTAAGTGAGGATGAAGATAGGTGAAGTCGTCTTGACGAATTTTCTAGGAATTAGAAAACATTATTAACAATATTTTCCAGTGAGAGCGTATGAAGATTGTTTTGATTGGATATATTGTGAATATTTTAGAGAGACATTTCGAAATCTTGCGTAGATAAGCACCTTACGTTTATTTGCGATTTCGAAACGAGATTCGTGTCTTTGGCAGTTGGAAACCGGAATAGCATAAGGTTTTAGCGGTTAGGACATGGTTTAGCAGTATGACAGTACCCACATACTCCCTCCGGAACATGTGGATATCCATGGCGGAATTTTCAAAGTAAAAAAGGCAGCATGTCATTAATTTATGTAAGTGTGAATACTGTATTTCAATTGAAATTCTTTCGTAGACATACCTATGTTATTATTTCTTTAATTTTCACAAAATTTTTGTTCTAAAATATAGCATAGGTGAATTCTTAAAGTTACCTACTACTACATACATTTTTGATTTAACCTTGTATATTGATGTGTCTACGACGTGATCAATTAATAATTAAAGATTGTGTCCCACAAAAAAGCCGACTTCAATTGTCATTAATTTTATTTTATATCTCAATAGTTTAATTTTTAGATTAATTATTTTGGTCTAAAAATTAAACCACTGAAATGATTTTGATAAAATTTCTATGGTCCCATCTGCAATAAGAATTTTCCAAATTGGTTTAGAACTGATGGAGTTATGAGGTAACATATACAGAAAATAAACAACTGAATTTAGAATGAATGAAAAAAAGTAAGAAAAAAAACCATTTCCATAGGCAAATGGTTTATAAATAATAATATACTAGCCGTTTCCAGCGGCGCTGCCTGCTTCTAACTATGTAGTTTCTGTATAACATTTCTCTTGGAACTCTTCATGAATCCATATATTGTATTATATGCTTAAAAAATAATTATGTACTTAATACCTTCATAAAGTTTCGGTCAATTCAACTTATCTTTTTTATATATTTTTATTTATGAACCGATTGAAATAAAACAAGTACTAATGTTATAATATGTTAAGTGGAGCAAATCCCAAAGTATTAGTGAAAACTGCATTCAAATCGGTTAATTCGTTTCTGAGATTACTGTGCATAAATGTACAGATAAACAGACAAAAATTCTAAAAAATCATTGTTTTGGGTTCTATTACGTTTATAAAGCCCCTATAATAACTTTTTTTTGTATATTTTCCATGTACCAGCTGCGATTATATTTTATGTATTGATTGATTGATATATGAGTATAGATGAAGATGGAAGTAAGTTAGTTGGCTCATCGCGACGAATACAACAAGAATTAACCACTATGTTTCCTAGGGGAACCGCGTGGAGGTCAACCAGATAGGGTATATCGCTAGCAATGGCGATTTTAAACTGCATTAATAACAATCCCTTTACTCTCTATTTTAGTTAGTTTTTATGTGTACAAAATATTGATGTGGGATATGTGGGAAATTTGAATTAACCATTTATTATTAAATATTATACTAATATAATATGTAATAATGGTACCACCATATTATTGTGCTCATTCTTGTAAAATTTACAAAAGAGATCACAACAATTATTCAGTGTTTGCAAAAAAATACTCGGTCATGTGTCGCAAAATATACTTAGATTGCAAACTAAGTAATTCGAATGTGATATTGTATAAGCAAAATTATGTATAAATATTGGAGTGGTGTCGATTTCAATAACCATAGTACCGAATCATCTTAACAATGAAGGTTGCTACTTCTCTGTGTATATTCGCTGCTGTCGTATTTGTTGTGGAGCCGGCGCCTACTCTCGAGGATGCTTTAGCACAACAACTTGAAGACACAGTACTGCTCAGTCAGCAGCCGCAGATCCGACGAGAAAAACGCTCCCAGTACCCATCGTATGGCGGATACGGCGCTCCATGTGGTGGCGCTGCGGTCGCGGCGCTCCCAGCTGTCGCTCCGTTACCAGCCGTCGCCCCTTCGGCCTACCAACTCAACTTGGGTCCCGTGCATGCGGGATACGGATATCCACCACCTCATGCACCCCATTCCTATTCTTACGGAGGGCCACACTACCGATCTGACGAATTTGGATCAGACCACGAGACTTTCTTCCAAGACATGATGGCTGAGCACGTCCCGATGGCACGGTATGGAGGATACGGTCCAGCTATGCACGCTGGTGGTATGGGAGGATTGAGTGGTATGGGAGGATTAAGCGGTTTAGGACAGCTGGCGTCTGGTGGGGCGGCTCCCTCTGGTCCGGCCTATGGAGTGTTCCCCAATGCGAACGTTGGTGGATGCAATGTCCCACTTCTGTTGAGTTGTTCGCCATCGATAGTTCCAGGGAAATTGATAAAGTCCCAGAGTTACGGATACGGTGGCGCCCCCGCGGCGGCGCCGGCGAACGCATACAGAGGCGTAGATGAGAGCCATCACGAAATGCATGAGGAGCACCACGAGGAACCCGAGACTCATGAGCACGCGGCCACTTCCAGTGAGGCTGGCCATCCGATGAGCTCCCACCAGTAAAAGTAATTGTTAGGTATAGTTGTACGTAAATAATTGTAAGACTGCTGTATAATATAATAAACGATTACACGTTTATATAATTTTTTGTAGTTTATTATTTAATTTGACTGACAAAAAATGTGATTAAATTTATAATTAGATAGATGGATAGATAGATATATAATTTATTTGCATTACTTACAGCGCACAAACAGCAACAGACACAAATGCACAGTGAAAAAAGATAAAAAAAGATACATGTACAAAAAATAAAAAAAAAAACAAAAACAAAATCAAAATGCATAAAATTAGTAACAATATTTTTTTCTTCATGCGTGTGCGTAATACAAAATGGCCACAACTCAGCTTATTTCTTTGCCCTAAAAAGAGCAAAACACTGATATTATGTTGTGGCCAAAAGTAAGTCGCGAAATACCATGATGATATGAATTATGAGAAAATATAAATTTTTTTCAACAAAGATACCTAGTAGTAACTAATGTAGGCTACATTTTTAAATATTTTCTTCCTCTGTATACCCATCAACACTCCACAACTTAATGAGTACATTAGAGCGAAAGATACCTAGTTTAATTAGAGAGGGATGTGGTTTGAAAACTGAATGACATATTCAGGACTCCATATTTACCAAATTTCAAACTATCAGTTCTTATTAATCTTATTAGGTAATATTTATAAATGCGAAAGCTTGTAAGAATGTTTGGCAGAATAGATGTAAACATCTAAGAACAAATAAATTACTGTTTCACATAAAAACTACTGAACGCATTTAAATGAAATTTTGCACACAAATAGATTATATGCTAAATTAGAATACAGGATATTTTATATACTGATTCATGCGGGTAAAGCCGCAGGATATAGGTAGTGTTTTTCTAAATGTGTAAAAGAGTTAATCTTTATTACTTAGCGCTGCAACGGCTAAACTAATTGTCATGAAATTTGAAATATATTATTACTATTTAGAATGGAGAAGGATATAAGCTATTGTATTTTTATGGATAATAATCCCGTCTAAGTTATCAGTATATACTAGCAGGACACCAGTGATAGATGACAATGAGAGCAGGTCAATTATCCCATCATGACGAATTCCACAAGAATTAACTATGATGGTTTCTAGAGGTAACCGCGTGGAGGTCGACCTGATAGGCTATTTTACTAGCAATAGGGTTGTTAGACTCCGTTATTAACAATCCCTTTCCTCCCTTAGCCTAATGTTTATCCCGGTCAATCAATACACCTTGTTCATGCGGACGAAGTCGCGGATAAAAGCTAGTCTTTACATAAATTGAAAAAAAAAATTCAGCTTAAAACCGTACAAGTATCAAAAATAAATCGTAAAATAGAGTTTTTATTTAAAGATTTAAACATTAACTTCATATTTACTAATACAGTACCTATTATATTATTCGTGTCAATACTATAAATATGAAAGTATGTTTGATTGTCCCTTCTCATTTTAACCCATCTTTATGAAATTTGCTATACAAGTCATATTGTTGTATGATAAACATCGAAGACATACTATTTTATTATATCTTTTTTTTATACAACTTAGAATGGCAAACAAGCTGACGGCCCACCTGATGGAAAGTGATAACCGTCGCCTATAGACATGAGCAGTACCATGGATATAACAGTACTGTTTCGCCCATGATACCTCCATGCGTTGCCATTCCTGAGGACTGAGATGTTATTCCTCTGTACCCAGTAAATTCACGCCCTTCAAACCGAAACACAGCCGTGCAAACACAACTGCTTCACGGTTGAAACACGAATGGGACAAAGGTACCCAAGCAATCCTTTCCTTTCCCGTGAATGCCGTAAGAGCTGACTAAGGGAGGGCGAGTGATGGGCAGCAGCGTCCCTCTTAAAACATCTCTAAAGGTTAACTTCGGTTGCTAATCCACTTGCCAAGCATGGCAACTACTGGCAAACTCCCCATGGGGGACGCTTATGTTTAGCAGTGGACGGTTAAGGGCTGATTGATTTGAAGATGAAGGTCTCTAACCAGTGCATGTTGCCAGTGATGACTTAAGGAACCGAAACATGATCCCACACGATTGCCCGTAAGCAAAAGCTTCAAATTACTCACGGGCTATGGAGAGGGCTATACTCGGAGTCTTTTTGCATTATAAAATCCGAAACGAGGAACCAAAATAACCGACATGGCCCGAAGGATAAGCAAGCTGAAGTAGCAATGGGCTGGCCACATAGCTTGATGAACCAATAACCGATGGGTAAGAAAGGTACTTGAGTGGCGATCGCGTACGGGCAAACGCAGTGTAGGAAGACCTCCCACCAAATGGAGTGACGACCTGAAATGCATTGCAGGGAGTCAGTGTATGCAGGTGGCTCAGGGCCGTTCTTTATGGTAGTCTATGGGGGAGGCTTATGTCCAGCAGTGGACAGATATTGGTTGAAATGTCATCATTGACTACAAATTTATTTATTTATACCAAATGAAAAGGCAATGCTCATTAAAATCGTACTATGAAGAAATTAATGAACAATGGTTTACTTTGCTATAATTTAAAACCTTATCTAGGCCTTTTTAATAATCCTTCCTTTTTGATTGAAAGTATGTAAGGAAAAAACCAGGCAAAATAGATAATTATTTTTATGTTTACAATATTATTATGTATATAGTGTAAAATTAGCGTTTGTAAAAAAACATATTTTAAAAAACAGTTCTAAGGAGTACAAGTATGCTATTTAAATCATTAGGGCATGTATAACGTAAGGGACCGCATTATAATGTAGGAGTTGCTGTAATGGTAGTGTTAAGTAAATAGATATATAGAACTGTAAATATATATTTTAACACTTATGTCCATTTTTTTATACATAAAAACACAGTGAGTTCATTAATTTCTTGTTACATATGTATATAATGTGGGTGTCGTAGGAGGCGACTAAGGGAGGGCGAGGGTTAGGCAGATATTAACCAAAGGCAGACTGTACAAAAGTTTTATAAAAAAAAGGCTTCAGCGTCCCTTTTAAAACATCTCTAAAGCCTAACTCAATCTGTTAACTGCCAATAATGACAAAATGTGTGAAACTGACTATTGTAATATTATCATATCACCTAATTGTATCACATTTTTAACAAAAAATTTTATTCACTCATTCAATTGCGGTTGCTAAGCATGGTAACTACTGGCAAACCCTCCAAAGGGGAGGCTTATGTTTAGCAGTGGACAGTTATAGGCTGATATGATGATGATATGTATATAAAGAACTGTGAGTATGTAGTATTTCTACTGATCATCCCATATATAATAATGCAAAAGTTTGAGAGGATAAAGGTGATGTACAGATGGATATTATTTCCTCTTGCACGCAAAAACTAACTGAACGAATTTGAATGAAATTTAGTACATGGATAGGTTAACATACAGGATACTTTATATACTGATCGATGCGAGCGAAGCCTCGGGTTATATTTAGTATTATAAATTTGAAAATGGATTTGTTTGTTTGTTACCTGTTCACGCCTTAATGGCTCAACCAGTTGTTATAAAATTTAGGAGTTGTACATGTACTTATAGAATGGATAGGAGAATCTGAGCTACTTTTAATTACAGTCATTGAACATATCTCGGTCAAATAAACAAAGCCATGGGCAAAGCTAGTTCTGTATAAAATTTACTTGATAATATTTATGGTATATTGAAAATAAGATCAAGCATATTTTTCACAAACATGTGTAACATTTCAATCAGGAAGTTAAAAGCACGTGATAAATTCTAATTAAGGCATGCTGTACGTGCTAAATGTTGCAGATTATTAGGTAAGTGGTATTTTATCTCACACATGTGGACGTAGGATCATAACGGTATTTAAAGGTTAAGTACGCCCGACAGAAGCCACAATCAACATTCACAATGAAGATCGCTTTGGTAGTACTAGTCGTTGTGAGTTCAGGCTTGGCTGCACCAGTCGACGACGTTGCAGGACCGCAGAAGTCATCATCATACGGAGCGGAAGCGCTGCTGCCACCACCTCCACCACCACCACCACCCGTACCAGTACCAGCACCACTAGCACCAGCACCTTGCGCCGGGGCTCTTCCATACGGTCCCGTGTCAGTTTATTTTGCTCCACAAGCTGCTCCTGCTCCACAGCCTCACGCATACCAGCCACCGCCACACTCATACCAGCCACCGCCATACCAGCCACCACAGTATCGTGAAGAAGACTACATGCAAGAGGAAATGAATCCATCAGCTCGTTCATATTACGATTCAGCACCAAGTGGTCCACTAGCTCTGAACCTTGGAGGATACGCATCAGGAGGTGCTAGTGCGGGTATCGCGGCAGGAGCAGGTACCGCATCAGCAGGTCACGCCGGAGCTGTAGGCTTATTCCCGAACGCGAAAGTGGGCGGTTGTAACGTTCCTATATTATTAAGCTGTTCCCCAAATGTGGTAGCAGGACATTTATCTGCTCCGCAATCTTACAGCCCAGCGTACAGGAATCACGAAGAAGATACTCACACTAAAACGAAGACTGGATGGGGTGAAGAACGTACCGCTAGTCATCATAAAGTGTCTGTAGACTATCCGGATATCAATGCAAGCAACCATCATGTGGTCTCTAAAGACTATCCGGTACCAAATCTTACGCGTATCGTCGCTCACCGTGTAAACCAAGAAAATGACAAGACCAATGACAAGCAATCGGAGAAGAAAGTTAATTAAGAATTAAATTTTAAATATTGCTTTTTTACGTTTATATGGATTCAATAAATGATTGATTTATATCTATGTTTTCTTTTGTTGCAATATTATATTATAGTGTAAGCGTTTGTTTGAACCTGTTATGCCACTATAAGTGACAGAACACACACACACACACACACACACAGACACAGACACACACACACACACACAAAAACACATATGATAGATGACAATGAAAACAGGTCATTCCGCCAATCATGATGATTTCATCAGGAATTAACCATGACACTTTCTAGAGGGACCGCGTGGAGATCGACCTGTTAAATCAACTAAGAATCCCATTGCTAGCAATATTGGGCATATTGCTAGCAATGGGATTTACCATTATTAACAATTCCTTTCCCGGGGGAAAGGAATTGTTAATAATGGTGACTTTATTTATATTAATCTATGACCAGGGTCCTAGATCTTAGAATTTGTTTTTTTTTTTGTATTTTATCAGCCGTTAACTGTCCACTGCTGAACATAACCTCCTCCATAAGTGGGGGTTTGCCAGTAGTTGTCATGCTTGGCATGCGGATTGGCTATTGCAGTTTAACTTTTGGCAATGTTTTTACAGGGACGCTGTTACACATCCCTTGACCATAAGACCATAAGTTAAAGGGGTGGCCTATTCTATGCCGGGACTTAATCTTAATGTGATGAAAATATAAAGATAACTCCGCCTGTGATATCGGTATACGCTGATGGGGTACCAGTGAGGGATGTCAGGGGAAGAAAGCAAGTCAGGTGGCTCATCGTGAGTATTCATGAAAAATTAATTACGATGGTTCCAGAGGTGGACCTGATAAGTATTGCTTGCAAACATTATCACCCGACCACTGATATTCCAACCGTCCACAGCTGAGCATAAGCCTCCTTCTTGGGGGTTTTGCCACGTACCAGTAGTTGCCACGCTTGGCAGGAGGATTTGCAACCGTAGCCAGGCTCTGGAGATGTTTTATGGCCTATTCTATGCCAGGACTACACGGCCATTATTATTTTATGTTATACATTAAATAAATTGTTATGCTCGTTTTCGTGGATTTTATGAAATCGTTTCATTTACATAACACAAAACTCAAATTATGCTATCACTATGAAAAGTTTTATCCGAATTAATACATATCATCATATTGACTACTTTTGTAATGATTGATAAAAGACTATTTAGTTTAATTTATTAAATACATCCATAAATAAAGAAACGTTTGTTAGGTTTTCAGGAAATTGTATAAGGTTTTATAAAAAAACTGCCAAAATCTATTCTGGATCTACCCGAACGACGTTTTAAAGCTGTTGTAAATAAGAATCTTTCTGGAAAGGCCTATTACAGGATAGATGATATTAATGACAAAAATGCTTGGCAGAAATAAACTCAGACTAAATTTCTATATATAAGCGTCACATTCAAATTAGCATAGATATTTTTGACGTAATTGCGTATCTTGAAACAAGTCATGCTTACTTCAGATTAGTGGTGGCGTGGTGGACCGGGTCGCTGGGCTTATAAAATGGTTGAACACAATGATGATTGGTTCATCCGTCATACTCGTGAACGGGTGCTTCTAGTAGGGACTGGCCTGTTCAAAAATAATAGATTAATTGAAGCTTTTTATTTTCTTTCTTTTGTCGATACCGAATTTGTGATAGTCATTTTATACGTAACTTTTATTTGAAAAAAAAAGTAACAGCTGTGTTTCTTGCCCGTTCTTCTCAGCTGATTCCTATTCATTCTGAACCGGTCGGTAGATTTTTATAAAAAGTGACTATTCAAAAATGCTTATTATTAAGTTAACTTAAATAAAACGATTTATTATTATGGTTTTTATAATCAAAAAAATATTTTATTAATGTTTTCGTTTTTTTGAAAACTATGTGATGTACTAAGACGTAAAAAGTAATGGTATACATTTTACTTAATTTTATTTTACTTAATAATTATAGATTATAATCGAATATATATATATATATATATATATATATATATTACGAAATGTAACTGCGAACTACAGATAGACAAACATTTAAAAAGAATATTTGTTTAACCTCTATTGCTCCTATTTTTTTTTTGATGGGTTAAAATGGTATGGTAACCCCGTTTGCGCTAACGGGATACGCTGGCGGGGCACCAGTGAAGAGTGATAGATGAGAATGAAAACAGGCCAGTTAGCCCATCATGATGAATTCATCAGGAATTAACCATGATGGTTTCCAGGGGGAACCGCGAGGAGGTCGACCAGGGTGGGTATATTGCTAGCAATAGGATTCTCAGTCTCCATTACTAACAATCCCTTTCCCTCCTATTGCTCTTATTAAGATACCTCATATTAATTAGTCTTAAATATCCTCCATGTACGAACATAGTCTTGTGGGAAAAAGGGATTGTGAGTAATGGGACTAAAAGCTCCATTGCTAACAATATACCTTATCAGGTCGACCTCCACGTGGTTCCCCCTGGAAACCATCCCGATTGTTTTTTTTATGAAATCATTACTATGGGCCCAACTGACCTGCTTTTATCGAAACCTATTATCTCTCACTGGTGCCCCGCCAGTGTATACCGTTAGCCCAAACGGGGTTATTATTCCATTATCATCCATTAAAAAAAAACATAGTCTTGTTACAATTTTATTATATTAGTAAGATAAATAAGGCTATAATTACATTTTATAAACAAATTGTGTGGTAATTGTAACAATTATACTATAATTGTACTTGTGAAAGTTTGTTAACGTGTTTAAACGTTTGTTATTCATTCACGCATAAACAACTGGATTAATTTGAATGAAATATTGCACACCGGTAGGTTTTTTGTATATTATTATAAGTAGGTAAAAGTAGCTTAGTGATTTTAAGAAATAGCTTTAAAGTTTCTTATATTTGTCTATTTGCTAGAGCAAACAAAATTTTATATTTACGTTAATTTATTAACACCTAGACGTATGTTACATCAAATTGAATTGTATTTGCATGACTGTGTTTCGGTTTGAAGGGTGGGATATGGCGTGAATTTACAGGGTACAGAGGAATAACACCTGAGTCCTCAGGAATAGCAACGCATGGGGGGGTATCATGTGCGAAACAGTATACTCTGTTATGTTCATGGTACTGCTCATGTCTATAGGCGACGGTTACCACTTTCCATCAGGTGGGCCGTCAGCTTGTTAGCCATTCTAAGTTGTATAAAAAAAAAAAAAAAAAAAATCTAGCTGACCTAGTTAATTCACATTTGAAATTTGTAAAGCAGGTTTTTGATTTGCTTGTATTTTTAGTCTTTTTTGTGTGCATAAATTATAGGCCTGGATATATTATTTTTTATTTTATATATATATATATATATATATATATATATATATATATATATATATATATATATATATATATATATATATATATATATATATATATATATATATATATATATATATACATACAAAAAATATGTTAATCAGTTGTATAAGCCTCTTTGGAAGTTTGGAATATATTTAATATATACTACTAATAAAAACAAATACATATAGATATAACACTCATTAATATAAATATATATATTATGTAGGGATTGAACTCAACCCGTAACAAAAGATATATTAGAGGGAGAGATATATATATATAGCGGGAGACTTTGTATAAAAGTGGGCTTGGGTACCTCTGTCCCATTCGTGTTTCTACCGTTAAGCAGATGTGTTTGCTTGGCTATGTTTCGGTTTGAAGGGTGGAATTTGGCAGTGAATTTACAGGGTACAGAGGAATAACATCTGAGTCCTCAGGAATGGCAACGCATGGGGGATATCATGGGCAAAACAGTATACTCTGTTTTGTCCATGGTACTGTTCATGTCTATATGCGACGGTTACCACTTTCTATCAGGTGAGCCGTTAGTTTATTTGCCATTCTAAGTAGCATAAAAAAAATTAGACGGCAATGGCTAAATTGTATATCAAAAATTTTATATTTCTTTCTTTTTTTAATCGATATCTATGACAAACTTTTTGCAGGATATATTTATATTAGTATAAAATTAAATATTGATAATAATTATACAAGTCATAAATAGATATTATATATATATATATATATATATATATATATAAAACATATATAATTTTTAAACGTAATCAGTATGTTCTAGGAAGTGCGTGATAATTTATTGATTGACACAGAAGGCGCTACTTCAGCGATTCTGCGATTGATAATTGTCACGTATCGTAAAATCTTTATTTCTAAAGGCATTTTTGTAATGATTCAATTAGTATAAATGTTACGGAAGAACAGCTCTCAGCATCAAATGCAGTAACAGAGGCACACAATGAAGACCTTAGTAATGTTCTGTGCTCTGGCCGCAATTGCCATTGCAGCCCCCTCGACAACGGGAGAAGAATTCAAAAGAGTTCCGCCAAGTCAATGGCCAGAATTTATCAAAAGAGAAAAGAAGTCCCCGAGGTACTTCGCGGAACCAACAACATTCACTGGAGCACAACCGCTTCATCTTACATCGGAATTTGATGATACAACGGCCTCAGGAAGAAGCTTTGGTTTCAAAAAACCTATCATAGTGAAGAAAACTGGAGGACATAAAGGATATCATTTATATAGAGACTCCGAGGAAGAAAGAGCACAGTCTGATCCACAAGAGAACTGTTCTAAACAAGTGAACGTTAAACTGTGTGATAAAAATAATGTAGATAAAGTTGTTGGCGGAAGATCTGTTAGGCAAGAAACTGACATGCACGACGATAACATGGAACACAGTATCAAAATGGCAAAAGAAGCAATAGAAAATCTGCAGAGAGATTTAGAACACATAGAACACGTTTCAGGTGTTAAACCCCAAACACACAAACCTCGAGAAGTTGATTCAGCGCATAATGAATTCCACGATGAAATTGAAGTAGCAAGGCAGGCATTGGATCATATCCAACGAAATTTTGGAAACCTTGAGTCAATGGATCTGAAAACTACAACATTACATGATGTACAAGATAAGCGAGAGACAAATAACCATGCCCAATTTGTACAAGAAAAAATGGCTCAATGGAAAGAACACAGTAAAAATAATATAGATAATGGTAAAAATATGGAAGATACCTTTATGCCCATTAGTCGGGAAAGCAACAGATTACAATTTAATGCCACACCAAAAGATAAGAATATGGAACCAAATGAAAAGTTAAATACTCATGAAATATCTGTAAGGGAGAGTAATTTTGAAAATGATGCTCATAAAACAGATAAAGTATTCAAAGACCATCAATCAAATACTGGCAAGCATGACAACAAGGAACAAAAATTCTTTAAAGATGAAATGAAGACATCGGAAACAGAATTTAGAGAATTTAAAATGGAGCCAGAAATGATGAGCAGAAATACTGAATCATCAGTTAATAAATCACCTGAACTTTCATTCGATGTTCATAGCAATGTCTTGAAAATGAAAACTCCTGTTAAAAGTAATGAACCAGGTGTTAATAAGGCTTTTGAAAAACCAGCGGCTAGTGGTATGAAATCTGCTACATTCGAAAGTAATATGAACAAACACAGTGGAAATGACCAAAACGATAAGAAAAAATTTAAATCTTCTGAAACAAGTAATTTTGAGATGATGCCAACCAATCACCATAATACTGGTGAAAATGAATGGAATCATTCTAAAAAACATAACAATCAAGACAAAAGTACTTGGAAACATATGAAGTCTGCGGAAAATTCTGATAAATTTCATAATAAAGACAAGGAACACAAGGAAATTGATCCAGAGTCATCAGCAAGAAAAACAACAGAATCGGATAGCGAGCACCACATGCCAAAGTCTGCAGGTTCTACAGAACCAGGCTCAAACAAACCAATATTTTGGCCACAAAAGAATAAGCAAAATATGGAAGAAGTTAGCCAGATGAAAGCTGCAGGGGAATTTCATAACGAGCATATGTTAAATACACATATGCATGGAGATCATCATCAGTTCATGCATCCTTCACATCCACATAACCATATGCATGTTGGGAGTGGTCTTGAATTTCACACACACCATTCATCACCAATGAGTCATGCTAAGGCAAATGATATGGATAATTTTATGCAGCCAACACTACAAATGAGTATGGGTGATTTTATGGGAAAATCGGCACTGGAAAACATGCTTCAATGGGCACACAAGGATGATGGAGGAAGATCCGCTTACGGACCTGCTTATGGAGGCAGTGGAGGTAGTGGTGGTCTTAACATAGCAGCCTCAGGAGGAGCTGGTTCTAGTGCAGTTGGAGTATTCCCTAACGCAAACGTGGGAGGCTGTGCAATTCCATTGCTGCTTAGTTGCTCTCCTTCTGTGGTGCCCGGTAGCTTAACTAAGTCTGGTTATGATTCCGATTCGGGTTATGCTAGTAGTATGCCTGCCTATAGAGCAAATGAAGAACACAACATGCATATGAAGCGTGAAATTACAAAAAGCAACGACAAATCAAACACTAAATTAAAGCGAGAATCAACGACAACAATACCAACGATGAATGCAAACTCTGCTGACAAAAAACAGTAATTAAAAATATTTTGAGTTCATAAGAGACAATGGCGACTGTATCACAATTATATTAATTTTCAATTATTATAATTATTTAATTATTTTGTATCTCTTATTTAAATTTACTAAGACATCACAAGTTATTAAGCAATAAAAGTATTTTTGTAATACATTTATGGTCACTTATTTTATTTTAAACTGTGACCTGTTCCAACTTTGTACGTTTTTTGTATAAGCCCCTATTACTCATTATAACGTAGCTTTCTAGAGGTGTAAGAATTAAAAAAAAACCAGCTGAGTAGTTTTAAGTTTACCCATCACAAACAATATCCTTTATAATATTCGTTCAGACTTCCCTATAATATAACGTTAAATGCCATAGATAATCCTGCTCAAAATAAGGTTATTGGGTACTTATATCTATTTTTTTAATAAATTAAATCGTAGATAGAGAACAGGACTTCGATTCCAAATAATAAAACTGCGTACGAATTGATTGTATGTATGAACTCTATTAATATATGTGTATATTTAAAATCAATAACTTTGATTCAACTGATTCCTATAGATTTCTAATAATAATAATACAATGAAATTTCATTAATAATTCTTATATAAAAGTATTTAGTTATTAAAAATTAATATATAACAGGTGAAACCAAATTTGTACATTTTTAAATTTTAGTATAAAATGAAATTATTCCAGGACTTTGAAAATTTTAACGGAGTATTATAATAAAATAAATATTTACATAAAAATAAACTTTTTATTTAGTAAAAACACAAATGAAGGTTAGTATTATATTATCTGTGGTAAATGTATTCATAAAATTTGAATCGTTTAACGTGGATGTAATATGAGATATTGCATATTATTTTATTTTCGCTGATTAATGATATATTAATAAAGACAGTATACATTACTGCACGGGTTTTCAAAGTGAGGAAGCGCCTCACATTGGGTGCATAGAGATCTGAAAAGACTATCTATGAGGTAAAGAATATAAACCAATGATCCATACGTCTGACCTTATAGGTAGAATATTGACTAATATAATAAAAAGTATAGTTAGAATTTCTGTCTGTTTGTTCTGACATCATATAAAAACGATTGCACCAAATTGGTTGCAGTTTAAACAGCTCTGAGGATGTAATTTAAAACTGGTATTTGTTTTGTCTATATCTACAGGTAGTTACTTACTCCCTAAATCCACGCGTACAAATTTGTGAACAAAGCTATTAATTATATGCGATAATATCATGTAATTAAATAAATAGGTAGAACTAGTGTACCTAATATAGTTTTAATCGTGCCCAAACATACTAGATAATGAATGACATTTAATAGACATACTATATTGAAAATTTTTGAATACTAGCTTTTACCCATGACTTCTTCCGGGTAATAAGGATACGTTCAGTGACCTAAATAAAAAGTAGCCTATGTTGTTCTCTATTCCTTATATTATACGTATAGTAAAATGTATAGTGATCGGTTAAGCCGTTATGGCGGTAAAAGGTAATAAACAAAGTCACTTTCACATTTATAATATTAGAATATAAAACGAGGAATTAAATAAATATTGACAAATGGATTTTGCTTTTACTTTGTCAAGAATATAGGCAGCTTCAATTGGCATATAATTAATATGGGCCAACATGGGTGTTTACAACTTTACAATTTGCATTGGTGTAAATCTGTCATTAGTTATAATGATATATAATAATTTACACCCATAAATATAGTAACATAGACATAAAAATACAGATGAATTGAGAATCACCTTTTATGATGACAATTTAAAATGCAGATATGACTAACATAACTTTGGAAACCATTGCATTGAAGGAGGACAGGGAATGCCCATATTGTATGTAGTTTTATTTGCCATGTTGAGGTAACATGACCAGTGTATATGTAAATTTTTAAGGCGTGTACAATTTAAAATTTTTATTACACTTTCCTTCATAATGAAGGTATTATTTTTTGTGGCATTATATTTTGCGAAGTTTCATTTAATTTATAGTATAACAGTACACCAACATAGACTAGAAGACAACAAGTCTGCATCTGGTTGGATTAGCGCTGAAGAGTACAGTATTGAAGGGCTAGATAATGTAAACATTCCGTTGTCTCCAGTCATATGTTCAGATCGACGTGGAAGTCAAGCTTGTTCTGGAAACACGAAAAGTGGTAATAATGTAAGTGAAACACAAGTAACAAAACCGCCCGACTACAAAATTCTATATGAGGCCGCAGTACAGCCGACTATCAGATCACAACCCTCTGTTGAACGGAATACGCCATGGGAAATTATTAATCGACGAGAAGCTAATATGGCAAATTCAGTACCCATGGTTGCAGTGGGTACGTACGGTGGCATGCAATACCTGTATGCACATCCAAACTTACTTGCTTCAACAAATCGTTTCCCTCCAATTTCAAATTTACCACCTGTTTCTTCAACTCACATTCATGAATCGCTTCCAGTTCAAGACCAACAGAATGGAAATTTTCTGAGTAGACCAGTACGATTAATACGTTCAAACGAGGAAGAGGATTTTTTAGCGGAATTATCGCATAGAGCAATAATGAAGAACATACTTCCAACGATGTCAGTACGGTCTCCTTATGTTAACCAAGTACCTTATTATTTGCCTCAAGTAGCAGTATTTCCATATACTGTCACTGGTTGTTCATTACCATTGTTGTTATCTTGTTCACCTAATATAAACTATGGTACTTTAGATCAAATGATGTATCGCAAACCTTACAAAATACCACCTCCGGAAAAAGTGTACGAAAAAGATGTCGAGCTGAAACACGCTGAGGTAAAGGATGTCGATAAAACAAAAAGTCCAATAAAACATGACAATATTATGATGCAACTCATGAAATCGACCACTACAAAGAATCCTTTGGAGAATGCAGATCACGTGAAACATAATAAATTTGCTGACTCAAATTTAAGTGAAATGAAACATACTCGTACTGATATCTTAAAGGGGAAACATGATCCACATGATTATAAGCAACTAGTTTTCAAGCAAACGGGGAAGAACCACACTGACAAAATATAAGATTTAAGACAATCTTTTACGTTATAGATTATGTATAATTTGATTATTTCATATTATTTTAAAAGTGTTTTTTTTTTAACTGTCTAACTGAATTAATATTATGTTACAAATTTGAATTAAAATATTAAAAGATTCTCGCATGAGTTTTTATTGATCTATATTATTTGTACAACTATTCGGGCAGATATGCTGCACAATAGAATTTATTATGAAATAAGAAGATAATTTTATAGAACGAGTTACCAGAATTATTGATAAAAATTTATTCATAAAAATATTGTTAAGGCTTAACTATTATCGTTCTCAGAAATGTTAATGCATTATGATCACAGTACATACTGTGATGTCCCCCGGTACTATTTTTTTCTATAGGCGATGGTTTCTACTTTTTTTACTAATTTATGTTTTTATATTGTTATACTTTAAACATATTTATAAATAATGGAAATGAAATTGCAAAAAGAGGATAGTTGCAGAGGATAGTTTGTAGAGGATAATGAGTTGAAAAACAAACTTACGTCCAATAATTGTTATATATAGTAATTTAATATTAGTTTTAGTACTGTCGAATGTTTACTGATATATTAAAGTTATATAAAAAATAACCATACATTTACATAGCGCTATTCGATATTAAATCGATTTCAAAATAGAGAAATCGAATAAATTTTCTCACGTATATTATTTTTATCGAAAGTGTTAAATCTCATCTTGCTGATATACATATATATACATATATATGTATATACAAATTTTGTCAATTTCAATGTATGATAAAATTAAAATATGATTTTTATGGAATAAATGAATATTTATATAATATATGAATTTATATATATATATTTTGTTTGTCGTTAGATAAAACTTCGTGTCCACCAGAGGAGGTGATGGGCTTTAATCTTCAGTGCATCACACGCAAGCGCACCACAATCACTAATGATATCCACTGGGAATATTATGATGAAATGCCTACGTACGAGAATGTTCCAGAAACATTAACAGGATAAGTTGTAACTGTGAAGTGTCGACATTAAATTGTATTGTAAATATTCACAATGTGTAATGATATTCATTGTTTAGTAAAGAAATATTACCGTTTTTATAATGTATGATGATGGAATGGTAAACCATACTGTGCAAACGGTATACGCTGGCGGGGCACCAGTGAGGGATGATAGGTGAGAATGAAAAAAGCAGGTTAGTTAGCTCATCGTGATGATTACACTTGGAATTCAGCACGCGGGTTTCTAGGGGGGACTATGGGGAGGTCGACCTGATAGGGTTAATTGTTAGCAATGGAACTGGTAGTCCACATTACTAACAATCCTTGCCCCCCCCCAACCCCCCAAATATTATAGATAAATAGTAATAATATAAATAAATAAAAATAATTAAATTTAAATTCTACTATCTATAACTACTACATCTTATTAATATTATAAATATGAACGTTTATACAGATGTTTGAATGTTTTTTACTGTTTTATAAAAGACCATATTATGGATTAATTCATATCCAGGATACTTTTCACCATAATTTACATAAGTAACAGCATTTTTTTAATGTAACTTAGAATGGCATACAAACTAATCACCTGGTGAAAAGTGGTAACAGTAACAATATAACAAACTACTATACATGTAGCTACAATTTGCGGAATCTTGTAAATTTGTTTGACGTATGGACAGTATATGTATGATAAAACTCACTTCTAAGAATGAGACTTACTGCTAAATTAAATAAAGAGCTAATATGGTGATTTATATATGTACGTACCTATTACGAGATATAAAGAATGTTGCATTCCATTTATTCAATTTTAATTTAATTAGTTATTCGTTTTTATTTATTTAGTTAGTTTCTATAATTAATATGTAAATAAATTATTAATGTATTAGTTATTTGAGTTTTATTTTATGTTAATAATAAATAAGACGTATAATGTATAATTATTTTTTTGCTACTTGAAATCCGTCGAAAATGATTTTTTATTTTATAAAATTTGTTTTGTCCAAAATCTTGATTCTTGAGAACAGTTATTTAGTTTAACTTATATCTAATAGGTACTATTTTATATGTACTGAGGTTTAACGAATACAAATGACTTGCTTTTGAATTATTATGACCTTTTACTTATATTTATTTGTTATTTACATTAAATATCTTAATCTCTCTTTTAAGTGACTTTCAGATTTATTATTATTATTATTTAACTCTTTATTGCACCATAAATAAAAATATACAATTACAAGTGAATATTTTAGATATATTTCAGAATTTTTTCTATATAATAGGGAGCAAACGGGCATGCGGCTCACCTGATGGTAAGTGAGTACCGCCGCCCATAATCACCCGCAACACCAGAGGCATTGCAGGTGTGTTGCTGGCCTTTTGCATTTAGATAAAAAAAATTTAAATACTTATATTTAAAAACTCCTATAGCTATTTTTTATAATAAGTAAAGATGTTTTTGAAATAAAAGTTAAGAGTATAAAATGTTCAGATAGATAATAATAGTAAGAAAAAAAAATATATACTTACCGAATTGCTTGATGCATGTTATGGTTATTTGTTATTTAATTAATAGTAAATTAATATTTTAAGAATTATCTAATTAAACTGTAAAATATCTTTTTACTAGGCATATAGAATAGATGACGTATTTGTAATATTTACACTATAAGGCAATAAAAACCGTAGATAGAGAGATATGCCTTCGAGTTATTTGCGTCAGTATAAATTTGTAGAAATCTGTTCTTACAATTCCCACATTTAGTGACGTAAACGGTTTTGTAAACAGAGGTAGTGCGAGCGAGTCTGTTAGGCACCTGGATGGGTTTCCTGTAACGCAAATGTGACGTAGACCCTTATAGATAACAAGGAGATATTTATAAGCGCGGAATATAAGTTCACATATTATTTGAGTACCAGACTTGAATAAAAACGTAGTGCGAAACTCAAAAAATAATTGATATAACCATGAAGTCGATACTACTTATTTTTGTTGTGATTAGCATCGTGGTTGTAGGGAGTGCAAGACACATTCAATTTGACGTTGTGTCCAGTGGCGATGATGCCGAGTTAAATATCGACACCACAGAGAAAATTGCGGATATTCATGATACGTCTATTGTAAGTTTTTTTTTTATTTTTAACATTTTGTTTTAAAAAGGTGTATTTATTATTTGTCCAGGATAATAGGATATTATAGTAATACTATATATTATAAATGCGAAAGATGTTTGGATTTTTATGTGTTTGTATGTATATTACTCATCCACGCTTCAACGGTGCACCTACCTGGTTATAACCAAACTTAGGAACTTAACTTACTATTTCACGTAGGCAAAGCCGTGAGAAACAGCTAGTGTGACTATATACGAACTAAATAGATGATATATCGATAAAAGGTTAGGAAAAGTTTTTATAGATAGATTGTTGAGTGGACAAGGACAGGAAGGTCTTTTTAAATTTGGAATTGTGAAATTGGCTCTGTATTGTTTCTAATTTAATGAGTGATAAATGTAACGTATTAATAATAATTTTAACTATATTTTTCTTGCCATTAATTGGGATATTCTTTATTTTACCAGATATATACCAGATATACCAGAGGGAGACTTTGTACAAAAGTCGTTTGCTTGGACACCTCTGTCCCAATCATGTTTCTACCGTGAAGCATTTGTGTTTGCATGGCTGTGTTACGATTTTAAGGGTGGGATATGGCAGTAAATTTACAGGATCCAGAGGAATAACACCTGACTATTCAGGAATGGTAACACATGAGGGGTTATCATGAGCGAAACAGTATACTCTGTTATATCTGTGGTACTGCTCATGTCTATATGCGATGGTTACCACTTTCCATTAGGTGGACCGTCAGCTTGTTTGCCATTCTAAGTTGCAGAATTCAATAATTGTTGTGCTTATTGACATACATCGAATTTTATATCTCAATGTCCACGTCTTACCTTTATATTTAGATTGTTAAGTTTATAATAACTGTCTCATTGGTTTCAGGAGGAAGTTCGTAACATCAAAGCCTCACGATTCGTTCCAATAAATAATATTATATTTTTCAAGAAGCACCCACCCTGCGAGAAAGATGGATTCCAAAGAGATTTGTTCGGTATATGCAGGGAAGTTTGGTAATAAATAAACAGATGTTATGTTTTATTATCATATAAATAAAATCTACTAAATTCTAAGTTCTCGTTGTGATATTAGTTTTAAGTAACTTTTGTATAATGTTTGAGTTAATAAATTAATTTGTGATAAAAAAATGTTTTTTTTTTATAAGCCTATTAGGCAATACTTGAATTACGCCTAATTATTTTCATTTAGAGGTGGAATTATATCAGTGAAATTATAATGTTCAGAGGCATGATGTCCTGTGCCTTCAAAAAGGTTTTATCTTGAATGGGTGATAATGGAATGGTATTAATGCTGGCGGGGCACCAGTGAGGGCTGATAGGTGAGAATGAAAAGGCAGCTCAGGTACCCCATCGTGATGAATACACCTGGAATTCAATACGATGGTTTCCGGGGTGGGCTACGTGGAGTTCAACTTGAGAGGGTAAATTGCTAGCAATGCGATTAATACATTACTAACAACCCCCACCCCCCCCCCCAGAAATATTGTTCCTGAGGATGAGGAGTACCATAGGTATCACAGTATATTTTCGCAATGCTTCTAATGCAGTTCATGTTCTATAGGCGACGGTTACTATTTCCATCAAAAGAGTCGTTAGCTTGACTTTCGTTTAAATTATCATAAAAAACGAGATAATTTATCTCTATCTATTCATTAGATATTAATATAACTTATGATTAACACGAAAAATGATAATGCGTTGTCATGCGTTGCATAAATTTATTATACGAACAAGACTACATTTGATAAGCAAATAAATTAAATCACAATTAATTTAATTTTAACGCACGTACAATTTTTATTACAATTTAATTTATTACAATACGATACACATCGAAAACACAATAACATTGAGATTTGAGAGCACTAAAATTTCTATTTCTAGACCTTTTCCTTAGAATTTAAATAATCCAGTAAAATTATCTAAAACAATTACAAATACTTCGCTCGTGGTTTAATTTTTTTTTAGATTTTTTAAATGCAACTTGTCATACAAATTTGTGTTGCACCCTTAGAATTATAGCGCATATTATATTGATTTTAAGTCACAATTTGTAATAAATAAATCAGATAAATACATACAATAATCTATTAATTCCTAATCAGTAGACTGAACAAGTAAAAAAAAAAAATACAGAGCGGAGACAGGTGTGACAGACAGTATGTATGTACATATGTAAAAAAAAATTTGTTCAGTTAACCGTACTGAACGATAGCTAAAGAGAATGGAGTATTTGTTTTTTGTTTATATACTATAGTACAGAATTAAGCTTACGTTTCACGTTCACTTCTGAGATTTGGTTGAGAGAAACAGAAAAATATGTAAAAACAACTAACTGGTTAATAAACTAAGAATAATATTTGATACTGATGTTCAAATTTAGGCTAGAAATTATTATATGAAGGATTGGTTACATGAGGGACGCAGGGGGAAGGGTAACAGCTCCGTGCCCAGATAGCGGTGATGGAAGTGTGGCGACTCCTCGAATCCAAGCCCCTCGCTCGCAGCAGAATGACTCCACGTTGTTGAGTGCACGCATGTATATTGTAGTCATACCACCTGAAAAAAGAAAGGTGTACCAAAATAAGACCTTGTACAAAAGTCTCTCTTCCACTCATGTTTCTGCTGTGAAGTAGCTCTGGCTGTATTGTATTTCGGATTACACGGTGAAATTACAAGGTACGGAGGCATGCACCAAAATGATAGGAATGGTAATGCGTGAGGGTTATACAGTGTAATCTGTTTCTATGGTTTTGTTTATGTTTAAAAATGTCTGCCACCGTTGGTGTAATTAAAATTAATTTCCAGGAGGGAGACTAGTCCTTTAAAAAAAGTACAAGATATACTTCTAGACACGTATTAATCGGTGATAAAGGAATGGTAACCCCGCCCGCGTTATCGGTATACTCTAGCGAGGCACCAGTGAGGGATGATAAGTGACGATGAAAGCAGGTCAGTTAGCCTATCGTGATAAATTCCACTAGAATTAACCACGATGGTTTCCAGAGGGAACCACGTGGAGGTCGACCTGATAGGGTGTATTACTAGCAATGGGCCAGTTAGACCCCATTATAACAACCCCTTTCCCCTGTCTAGACATGTATTTGCGTATAGCTGAAAGTGTCGCTCTGCTCACCCAAGAAGTGTTTGTGCACCATTTGGATGGACAGAGTACATCCGGCTTACATCATATTCTACGATGTCTACAGTCTAACAAGTAGTTCATTAGCATATTTGCCATTTCTACTTCTTTCCATAAACTTTGGAAATTTAGATGGATTCATAATTTAGGACATTTCTTTAAAGACAGTTATAAACGCGATATTTTAGATAAAATATAAACCTTGCAACTCGAAAGTCTAAAAGTTAAGATTACTTAACCTTTAATTAAAATATTATTAAATTTATTCTGTGATTTAGGTGTTGATCTGATTGTAATCCTAATATCACGAGGTATTTTGAGTCACAAAAATAAACAAGGTCACGGCTAAGTTACATTCAATATAATAGTTAGCAAAAAGTGAACACGGTTGTCATTCGTAGAATATCTGAAGTCGTTCGATTGTCTAATATTGTGGGCACGTTTAGTTAGTCATCTTTTTTTCTAATACGCCATGTTTAACTAACATTTGATTCGTAATACGCAACCTTGATAAGTTCTGATATCACACGTATGTGAATATAAACTTTTCCGGTAATTTTACCACTAAATTGTATAATTCATGTATCGATGTGATACGTATTTCGTTAATATAATACTTATCTATGAAACACTAGTGAATTTGACTATTTTTATCTTGACCATCAATATTGTTGATACTTGGTGGAAAACGTTATAATTGTAATGGGAAAAGTGTTAGTAACAGGGTCTAGCAGCTCTGCATACCTTATTAGGTCGACCACCACGTGGTTCCCAATGAAAACCATAGTGATCAATTCTCATGGAATTCGACACGATGAGCTAAGTGTAGGCCAGTTATTCTCAATTATCATCCTACAATGTCACGTTTAATATATTGATAAAACAGAGGTTACTATTCCATTTTCATCCATATAAATGGAATTATGAAATAGTACAAGAACTTATATAATGAATATTAAATTATTCTGTATTTTTTAAATCAGAAATTTAATTCGAAAGAGGCAGTATTATTTACAGTTAAAGAATATGACACAAAAATAATAAGTAATTAAAAATTAGAGACTTCAATCGCATTTAAATTGCATTTTTTTAGGCGTTTATATTAATTTTGATTAGGCATACCGTTCTTTTTATTGGATACCTGTAACGGGATGTCTTTTACAATATCTAATTCCATTCCCACAAAAGAGAGAGAGACAGAAAGTATCCGTCTAATATTTTACCAAGGATTATGAGTTGCGTGCCGAGGTATGCGAGGGCGTGACCATGCCGTGGAATGGACATGTCAGTTTCGTGCTTCCACGCGCGGTCCTTCCAGTCCCACACGTCGATCGCACCCACACTACTTGCTGTTTTGTCCTGCGGGAAAAATATACTGTTGATTATTTAGTTTTTGATACCTAAAATGACAAACAAGCTGACTGAATAATGGTAACCATTGCCTATAGACATGTATAGCAGCATGTATGAAAATGATGAGTTGATGAACGGATGATTAGATAACTTATATTTCTATTCCATATATATTCATGTAGCTTTTGTTATACTGTTAAGCAGTAGCATATATATTGTAACGAACTATGATATATTATTCTATATGTTTGTATGTTTATTTATCTTAAATTGTTGTTATCTCTTAAAATATTAACTATATTAAGTCTATGTTTATCGTAACGTTTGACTGGTAGAGAATGCCATCAGGCATTAAGTCCGTTCTGAACACATATTTTAATGTGTGCAAAAGTATAAATAAATAAAATAAATTTAATGTAAATGAAGTTATAAAATTTATTATTAAGAAATTAAATTAAAAATTAAGGACCTTATCAGACTTTTTCCCAGCTCCGCCGATAATGTATAGTTTATCATTCATGGCGAACAAAGTAGCAAAACAGCGCGGGAAGCGCAGATTGTGGATTTCGGTCCATCTGAAATTACACTGAAATGTCATTTATATTACGTCCGCACATATTTACGCATTATTCAACTAGTAATATACTATCATTTAAATACCTAATTAGGTTGAGGATATATTTTTAAAGTATCTAACAATATTAAAGTCTTGACCTTTTTTAACATTTTTTTATTATACCACGAAGGTGGCAAGCAAGTATTCAGCCCGTCTCATGGTAAACGGTCAGTGTATGGACTCTGCAACACTATCACCTTGCCGACTCTGAAGAAACCTTAATACACCCTTTTTGAAGAACCTCATACTGTAGCCTCTAGGGAAAACATCGAATAATTTAACGGAATCATTTTGGTAATTTGAGCTTTTAACTGTTCGCTGCTAAATACAAAACTTCTCCATAGATACTCATGAAAAATGGCTCTAAACCACCCGCCATGTTTGAGTTCCATATTATGTTTGTAATATTCATCATAAATATTAAAAATTAATGTTTACCAGCGACATCGTCCGAATGACTGTAATATCGATTGACTAAGATTAAAAATAGCCTATGTCCTACTCCCATTCTAAATATTACATGCGTGCTATTCCTATATGAAGACGATTGGTTAAGCAGTAAAGTGCCAAGAGGTACTTGTATCAAACAAACATATTCACTTTTCAACCGACTTCAGAGGAGGGTCTCAATTCGGTTGGATTTTTTCTTTTTTTATGTTTGTCATCTCATAGCTTCCTATATAAAGGATATATTTACAAATTGGTCCCATAGAAATTTTATCAAAATCGGTTCAGTAATTTAGTTCCCCTCCAAAGGGGTAGTTTAGGTTCACCAGTGGACTGTTAATGGCTGATATGATGATGATGATACCTTACTAGGTATATCTCCACCCGGCCGTATATCTCCACCCGGCCGTATAATTATCACCGTTAGTTTCTATTACTAACAATCCCTTTTTCTGTGTATATTGTCTGTTCAGAGCTCTACGGTAGCTCTAAGGTACTAACTCGTTGGTTTTAGAGTTGTAGCATTCTACAATTTTGCACACGGGTTTCTTCTTTTCGCCGGTCATGCCGCCCGCTACCCAGATGTACTCTCTGTACTTCACGCACGCAACCGCCATGCGGGCGACACTCATACAACGGACCTCACTCCACGAACCTGTTTTAGGGTCAAACCTCTCCACTGATCTAAGAACCCTAGAGAAGAGGAAATTTTTTTTAATGAATGAAAAAGGAATGCCATTCCCGCCTACGCTAAGGGTATATACTGGCCGGGTACCAATAAGGGATGATAGGTGAGAATGAAAAGGCAGGCCAGTTAGCCCATCGCGATGAATTCACCTGGAATTTAGCACGATGGTTTCCAAAGGGGACCACGTGAAGGTCGACCTGGTTGGTAATGTTGCTAACAATGGGACTGGTAGTCCGCTTTACTAACAATCCCCCCACCCTCCCTAGCAGAGGAAAAAATTAGGTACTATTACTATTGTAATTTAATACATAATACGGTGCATTTCATTTAAATGCTTTAAAAATAATATGAACATAGTCCTATAACCTCACCACAGGATACATGTGTTAAAAATACACTATTTAAAGGAATTATTAAATTGTATTTGCATCGATTTGCTGAAAACAAATTGATGATTTAAAATGTGTTACAAACCTCATTTTTGCGTACTTTGAGTTTTAATTGTGAAACAGGGTCAAAGTCGTTTAATGTAAGTAGGCACTTATTTACACATAAACCTACTTACAATTTTCCGATGTATTTGTAAATGATATTTCAATAACCCAAATTATAATATTCATTTGCGAGTTTTTTTTTGAATAAGTAAATTACAATATGTTATTAAAAATGGGTTTAATAAAACGATACAATCCTAGTAGAAAGTGGAGAGTTATTTGTTTACAGACATGAATGTCTTTCTAATATAATAAAATTGTAATTAGAGAATGTCTGTATACAAGTGATATTTAAGAAAAATTAATGTAAATAGAAGCCAAAACAATATTTTTTTTAAATTGCCTGTCTGTTCATCTCTTTGTGTTTGATCCGGCATTACACAAAAATTACTGTATGAAATTAAATGTGGTTTTCACAGTTGTATTCTTGAAAATCAAACTTAAGAACTGATGTGTGTTTTGTCCTGATACGCCATCTAGAAGTCGTATCTTTCATTGATTTTCCTACTTCTGAAATTCACGCATACAAGTAGTGGACAAAAGCTAATCATAAATAAAATAATTCTGTACTTATCCCAGAACACCATATAGTTAAAAACTAAGCAGGACTAAAAGAAGTATTTGGATAGCATAAATTATTAGTTAAGTGATGCTCATGCTGTTCCTTATATTTATTACTCCTGAAGACTAAGACGTTACTTTTATATGTCTCGACACAGAAGTCTTAGTAAATGCTTTGGCTCCCCTCATCAAAGTCAAGTTATTATTAATCTATTCATGATTAATGTTATTTAGTTAATTTAGCTTTACAGTTTCCCAATATGCTTATCTAGAAAAGTATCAGTAGAAGAATATATAATAATAGAAATATAGATAAAAATGCAAACAGAATGTGGTAAATGAATATGAAGCAATACATAGCAACGTGATACATATAATAATAATAAAAATAAATTTCTAATTTATGGGCAAGAACGCAGGGATTTTTTAATTAAATACATATATTATACTATCTTCTCCAAATGTATATTTAATATATGTGTACTAGTAATATGTCTAGATGGCTATATTACCTGCCCTTCTTGTCCTGTCCGCCGATAGCATACAACGCCATGCGATGTACAACAAGACCAAAGTTCTTCCTGGGTATGGCGAGGCCCGACTCGCTGTACCATGAGCGGGTGACCGGTTCGTAACTCCATACTGTGGATACCACGACAGATTTGCCGCGGATATCATCGTCACGAGGATCAGCGCCTCCTGGTGACCGGTGATCAGCCTCAATCTCTTATTTACTCAAGGAGATTTTGTACAAAACTCATATCCACGGATAATTATGTTCTACTTGCGTTTCTACTACTAAGCAGCTTATGCTTGCATGATTGTTTCGATGAGAAGGGCGGGATGTGGTAGTGAAATTACAGGGTCCGGACAACATCGTACACAACAACTTTCTCGTATATGGAGTATCATGGGTATAATAGTGTATTCTGTGTTATCTGTAGTGCTGTTCATGCCTGTATATGACGGTTATTACTTCCCACGAAATGGGTCGTCAGCTTGTTTGTAACCGACGTATATGTAGTAGATTAGACATTATGTGTCATGTGAGTATATATATATAGAGTGATTGGCTCTACTCTCTATTTGCTAAAAATCAAACCCAAGTTCCTGATTATTTAGCGACTTGCTAGGCAGTTGGCAACAGATACAATTTTAGTAGCTATTACAAAGTTTGAACTTAAATAGTCCTAGTAGTTTATTTTACCTTTTTACTAAAACTTTTAATTTTTTAGTGACCTCGTGTGTATAACGTGAAATAGGCTCTTTTTAGACATTAGCTGGATCAAATTTTAAAGTATCCCAGTGAATAATTTATATTTAATTAGATTTGAATTTACGAGTCTGTTATTTACTTTCATACTAGATAGGTAAGGAAAATTTTTACCAACTAGATAAATTCTGCCACGTAAAAAGGCAATCGAATGGTGATGTCTTGGTTCTGGTAAATCTCCGACATAGTCCCATACATTTAGTACAGGATCGTACCTGAATATTGAATACATTTTAATAAGTATCCTAGAATAAAAGACAGCGGCCCCTGTTTTGTTCTTGTGAAAATTTCTAGCAACTTTTTAAATACCTAACTTCTTCACAAACGATATTAAAATAATAGTATTAAATGTTGTGTAAAAATTATAAATTTTATAATACTAGTCAATTTGTTATACAGTGGTAGGTGTAACGTTTTTAGTGATTATGGTGTTTAAAGATTAATTACGAATTATATGATCGAATTACTCAATCACAGATAACAAATATCTGCGTTTCAAAAATATAAAGTTAGTTTAAATATGTTTTTGGGAAAAAATACTTTAAATTATCTTTACTGTTAAATGACCTTAACCTAAGTATAAAAAATGGAACAATTAAAAAGTAGTAGTCTGTCTGTACACGTCTTTCTTCTATAATTTTTTTACTAACAAGTGTTCATCACTTTCCATCAGATAATGTGATGACTTGTAAGTAATGTGACCTTAAAGTACCTACCTATAAATGCTTTTTCCAGTGTTCCGACCAGCTCCGTATGCATTGTGAGGATCAATACCACCAAACACTAAAACTGTCTCCCTATCCCAGTTGAACAGGGATCCTTCTGTGATGTAGTTCTTGTTAGACGGCCCAAGAATGGACGTTGACAGTTTGTTCCTGTTAAAGTTAAAATACGTAAACGCCAATGGGTGATTCGAGTTTATAATACCAATATTTATATATATTGGTTAATTCTCGTGGAATTCGTCACGATGGGTTAACTGACCTGCCTTTTCATCCTCACTTATCAAAGTGCGGGGTGATTTCCGCACTGGTGTCCCGCCAGCGTATACCAATAGCGCAGGCGGAGTTACCATTCCTTTATCACCCTTAAAAAATATATCAATATTTTAGGATGATCATGATTTCATTAAATTCTGTAAATAAAGTTATTGGTTTGGTTTTGAAGCTGCAGCAGTGAGAACTGAAGATTATGGCTTATGGTATCTACTCAACTCTTATATTACAAGTGAAGGGAAAGAATGGGGCTTTGATAGATATTTAAATCCAAGTGTGCAAGAGACGTATTCATGTATGTAAGAACTCTAAATAAACACATCCCATCGCATCGCATCGCATAGATCTTTTCGCCTTTGTTATTAGGTTCTCTTTAGCATGCAGATCATGGTTCGCGAACAGACCCGTAAATAAATTCATAGGTTTTGAATGAAATGAGTAAAAACAGAACAGTATTACAATTTTATAATATAATAATGAAATATCCCTTTATTTATTTATTTTTATATATTTAACACTTTACTGCATCAACATTACAGGATTTGTTGAAGAATTTTTGTATAGTGTAGTACAAAAGGCGGTCTTATTGCTAAGCAATCTCTTCCAAACAACTTTTATCCAAATTTAAAATCTTCATCCAATGAAATATATTCGAATTTCATAAAATTTCTTTAATTCTCATTTCCCTGTGATATAGATCTATTTAATATTAAACTTCAAATATCGTATGTTGAAATCTTAAACCTATAATTACTTATACTAGAGGGAAACTTTGTACAAAAGTCGATTGCTTGTATACCTCTGTCCCATTCGTGTTTCAACCGTGAAGCAGTTGTGTTTGCATGGCTGTGTTTCGGTTTGAAAGGTGGGATATGGTGTGAATTTATTGGGTACAGAGGAATAACACCTGAGTCCTCAGGAAAGGCAACGCATGGAGGGTATCATGGGTGAAACAGTATACTCTGTTATGTCCATGGTACTGCTTATGTCTATAGGCGACGGTTACCACTTTCTATCAGGTGGGCCGTCAGCTTGTTTGCCTTTGTAATAATATATATATATATATATATATATATATATATATATATATATATATATATATATATATATATATATATATATAATTATTTAATATTTTCTAGAAGTTATAATAAGAAAATATTACTTGAATAATATATAGATTGGCTGCCAACCCGCCTGCCAAACGTGGCAATTACTGCCAAACCTCACCTTATGGTCGAGGTTTATGTACAATATTGGACAGTTAACGGCCGATATGAGGAATATATAGATTAGAACTGAAAGAAAAACTTACATGTTATTCCTAGCTAGTGATTCTTTGGATTGATTGAAGAGTGATAACTGAGGACTGAAAAAGTTATTCTGGGACACTGGTACTGATGGCCGAGGAGCTTCTGGCCGTGAGACATTGGCCGCGGTCTGAGAACGTGCCGTGGGAGACGAAGGAATTCCTGAGTTCCTGCACATATTTCTTTTTGTTGAAGTATGCTTTGTCGTTCTATATAGGTATATGGCATGGTATATATGAGTGACCAAACAGATTGTTGCTGTATTTACAGAATAATTAGATATAGTATTTGTTTTTATGTTGATTAAAATAATATAGTGCGATAATATAATTGAGAAAGACATAGGTTACTTTTTGTCCCGGTCAATGAACGTATCGGGCTACGAGTTACTTATTATAATAAATTACTTTCAAACTCTTTCGAATATTTAATGAGTATATAGGCAAGTGTTTGAAAGAACCTTCTAGAAGAGGACAAGGCGGCAGTAGCTGCTGCTAAATAGCTCGCCGCCACACTATGTCTCTTCTCATTGTGTCTCTTCTCACCCTGTTTTGCGAAATACTGATTCTGCAATAAAATATTACAATTTAAAACACAAAATACCTAGTTACACTGTATAAAATTATGTCGAGAAAAAGATATAGCAATAATAACAACATGATTAATGATTGCTGTATAAAGTATGTAGGCGTATGTGCGTAAAAACAAATCTTTTTTGTGTTTTCTTTGCGAAATCCTATGTTACGTTAAGGCATACTAAACATGCTGATAGTCTATTTGTTGTGGTAACGTTGTTCTATAGATATTACCAATATAATGGTCGAAAGAAAGCGTGCATTATGTCAATTTTGAACGTATCTTCAGAAAGAAATAGTTGCCTTAATTGATAACAAAGCTATATTATAGATCAACAATAACAAAATTTATTTATTTATACATTTGCACATATTAAAATATGTTTACAGGGCGGACTTAATACCTGATGGCATTCTTTACCAGTCCATCTTAATAATATTATAAAAAATTGTAAGGGTGGATAGATGGATGTTTGTTACTCTCTTACACAAAAACTACTGAACACATTTGAACGAAATTTGCCAACGGGTAGGTTATATCCTAACTTAGCATATAGAATACTTTATGTACTAATTTACGCGGGCAAAGTCGCGGAAAATAACTATAATATAATAAATTTCATTCATATTAGTTTTTAGAATAATGATTACCGTGTCATAAAAAACTAAAGTTTTAGTTACATAAATTGTTTTAATTTTCAATTTAATCTTACTGTTATCTCAATAGGAATAGCCAGGTACTGTCTTTAACTATCTTATTTGGATAAGGGAGTATAGGTAAGTGTATTGTTAAGAATTTATTAAGAATTTACTTTGTCTGTGTTACTTGTTTCAGCATTAAGAGTGTCACTCTCACTGTTGCTCGTATTCAGTTCTTCTGTGGAGTCTTTCTCGGGTAGTTCGAATATTTGATTATGTTTGCCGTCATTCTGGAATGTTAAATATTAGATAAAAGACTCTTTTATACAATTTTATACCTATTCCCTGATAAATAAAAATACTGTTTTTAAATTTTAGCAACTTATTAAATAAAAAAAAAAAAAAAACAAAAAGGTTACAGTGGCCTGGTGAATCGTGCACATATGAATCTGTTGTATTTGCTTATTTCTTTCTGTATTTTGCATCTGTTTTCTTTCTTGTCTCCGTTGCTCCTAAAATTAGTGTTAATTGTAACTAAGAATAAATTATAAATGAAGCTTAAGTATTGAAAGAAATAATTTAAAATTAAGATGTAACTGACACAGTCTACCTAGAGTAATTTTTTAAATACTTTTTTCTTTTTAGAGCTACCTCTAATAAATTTTGTTGTTTTTCAATTCCAGAAATTCGTTTACGCTCAGTTAATACAGGCATCACCAATGGCACCTCCATATCGTGCACTGGTGACCGAGCTGGAGATGGAGATTTGTAGCCTTCGATACCCTGTTGATTAGCATTTTTAAAGTATGTGTTACATTATCCCTTTCGAGTATACCATACACTGTTAAGCAAAATGTATCTATTGTAGACTTGCCAAATTTATTTCATAAAATTTTGTATAGTTCGTTAAATATTTTACAAGAGGAAAGAAAATCCAAAATAGTTTAAATAAATATTAATTAAAATAGTTTCATACAAAGGTCATACCATAGGTGTATTATAACACAATAATATGAATTTGGTGCTACGTATATTTTGTACTAACGTGTAGTTATGATCAAACGCCTTTTACTTCGATATAGGCAAAAACTATAGATTCATTAGATTTCCCTACAGGCTTTTTGTTAACCCGCATGAATTTTGCAATGCCTGCTTATTTAATTTGAGAGTGTATTTCTTTTTTTTAGACAAAGGTTTAAAAATATTATAAAAATTTGTATAATTTTTGTATATTTATTTTATCTGCACTTATAAACAGCTAATACATATACAAGTGTCGAATATTTTACCTTTCTTTTGTTATCTAGGAAATCGCTCATGGTTGAAAATTTTTCCTTGTCACCACTAAGTCCTTTTAATGTCGTTGGCAGAGGAAAGTCCATGTTGCGTCTTTTCGCTTCCATATTATCATTGGCTATGCCTCGTAAATTACCTAGCAAAGATATTATTGGCATGTTTTTATGTATATAATTAAGTATATAATAATCAGATCATCGTTCTTTTTCTTTAAGTAGCATTTAGAATCTCTTATATGATATTTAAGTTCACAAATCAATAATACTTTTTTCAATACAATAGTAAGTAATAGTTGGCTTTTCTTGGCAGGATTAAATCATTCGAAAGCCTGATTAAGGAGTTTTCAGAAAATGAATTCTTTTGAGTAAAAATATATATTAACAAGGGTTCTCGCTGGATAACAGATATGCTTTGAAGCGTCACTGAATACGTGGCAAGGATATAATATATATATTTTTTAATATACAATAGTTCTAGTTTATTTTATAAAAGTTCTTACACTTGTCTATTACAAAATAAGTAAAAAATAATAATAAAAATAAATATATTCTTATTCCACTTCACGTTCTCAATTATGAGAATTATATTAAATTGAGAATTAACTCATTCGTTATTTAACAAATTAGTTAATTATGATATCAAAGTAGGTAACGTTATAAATTCATATTTACCAGGTACATCATCATTCCTCCTTGGTGGTTGCATCATTGCCATTTGTTGGTACATCTGGTCCTTTGGTACCATGAATTGCTCCAGATATTCTAAGAAATCTTTATACGTCACGTGGTTCTGTGATGGAATGAACGTACATCAGTGTTTCCAGATTGAGTATTAATTTTGCAATTTTGGGGAAAAAATTATGTCTTAGAGAAATGGAATATAGGATTATTAATACTTTATTTGGAAGTTATAGTATAAATAGTAAAATGACATTAATGTTAACCCAAAAACAGCGTGTTTTTTCACCTTTCGGAACAATGATTACTTGGTAAAAGGTAAAGAAAACAGACGTAAATTTTGAATAGACAAAAACGGAGAAAATATTATCATACTCAATAATTTTTATTTTAATTTGTATGAGAAATAAAATATCGTAACTGGCAATGCTGATGTAGGTAAACATTTTATCATTATTAGCCATTGTTTGCGCAATGTGTTTGCAGATTGCTTCGAAATTTTTCCTTATTTAAAGTACACACTAAATGTTCATTTGTAACCTTGTTTACGTAATATTGATGTCTAATTTGTTTCGAGCAAGTGTATTGGAATTTATAATACTTTATGATCACTAATATTCTAAAGAGCGAACGTAATTCAGCTACATTATGTAGATTGTGTTAATAAATGAATTTTATTTAGTCATGAAATGCATGATTATTAAAAAAATCTCCCTAAAGGCTTCAATTATCTAGTACTAGATTTTTGGTCACGACTTTGTACGCGTGACCAGGATATGTCATTAGCCTTAATCTCAAATATTACATCTAATTTTATGATAATTGGTTGAGACATTAAGGCGCTAAAAGGCAAAGAAACAAATTTATTTTCACATTTATAATATTAGTTAGGATTACTATTATTTGAATTACCTTTTCCTCTCCTATCCAGTTTCTTTCAGCAGGCTCGCTTAGACCAAGAACATCTATCCAGTGGTAATAATTCTTTGAGTTGTTGCCGTACCAATATTTAATTATTACGTAACTGTTAAATATACGAAAACATTAAGTCGAAAAATGCTTCATTTTAATATGTTTCGATTTATCGAAATAGTAAAAATCTTGTTAAAAAAATTTGTTATGCTCCTAATTGTTTGTGGAAACAGTTTCGCATCAAAAACATAAATGTGAAAAAAAGAGCCAAAACCAATATCAAGAATATGCGTGATATGCGTCGCCAGTTTTTGACTTGACACGCTGTTTGTTTCTAGATTTGTTTTTTAAATAAAATATTTCAAATACGAGGAAGTTCTCATTCGTATGTATTCGTTATGTGAGTATGTTATGTGATATCTTTTCTAATTCTAAATAGATTTTGACTTTTTTAATTGATAGTATTTATTCCCGTGTCAGTACCATTTTCACTATTACATTACCACCGGTACCAACTTTATTCGGATTGATGTCGCTTTTTTTTATTCTGAGTAGAAAGCTATTTGTATTTACTTTTAATTTTAATGTAAGTAACTACACTTACGCCAGACCATCGTCTACCATCTGCTGCACTTCTGGTTTGTTGACAATCTCGAGTATCTCAGCATTGTCCGGGTTCCGTTTTATGTCAACTAGTTGCCAAGGTGAGATTAGGCCAAACTTTACACAACGCATCACCTCTACTACGTACCGGCTGCGGGGTGGCCAGTCCGCGTACAACCATCGCACACCCGCCATTAAAACTTCTATTTCACTGTTAATACCATGTAAATTTTGTGAACTTAATAAAATTATGGATTTTGTACAGAATTATAAGTTGGAAATATCGAGGGGATTCAGACTTTATCACAGTTAGGGGGCTTATTGCAAAGTATTAGAAACGTGCAGGTTTAGGTCACGTAAGTGGTCAGTTATGTCTATGATTTTAGTACTGATTCTGCAAAATTGTCAGGTTTTAAATAAATTTCTTTATAGAATCATTTTTTGTCGACTGCTTGAGGTCCTTATTGCATAAATTCTTAGTTCTATAAAATGCGCTTGACAATTAAATATTTACTCTTTTTAGATAGATTTCCTATTTAATTCTTTATTGTAAAAGAAATTCACCTGGTAACACAAATGTAGTTAGACTTAAGAATAGTCATAACTTCTTCAGCATCAAGTTCAAGAAAATCTTTAGACGCCACTAGAGGTAAAAAGAATTTCATCACACGCGGAATCTGGAAGAATTCAGTTGAAATTAGAATGTTAACTGCAGATTTATATACTTCCAGTATTGTAACACAATCTGAGAATAGTTTTGTTTGCAAAAGAATAAATAAATACTTAAATAAATATTTTGTCTTTATTTTTAGTGATTTTCGTAATATATTTCCATAATAAATATTGTTAACATAGAACATAACTTTTTTTTAATTGTGGCTTGGTACTTTTATGAATTTTCCAAACATATAAAAGAGCATAATTAATTAACCATTAATTCTATAACAGGCGTTATTCCCTTTTCTCTCGCTTCTAGAAATAAAGCAAATGCACTATCTTCAGAAAAAAGATTTTCGTTTACTATAAACGACCAGCACTGTTCTTCTAAATCTGTAATATATTCATAAATTAGATTTTTTTTTAAATTCTATATTATAAATATATTATGACGGAAGTTAATAATGAGATCACGTACACAGAACAACATTACTACGTTAATAAAAGAGTCGGCTCTACTTTTATATTGACAAAACTGAAAAATCAATCTAGGTAATCACATAGAAGTAAAGACACAATATAAGAAATTAATATTAACAGTTTATTACAATTATTTATAACATATCTCTGTTCAAAATATCGGTACTGATAGGTATTATAAAAGATCTGGCTACTTTATAGCGTTAAAATTTCAAATTCAACGAACTGGTTGTTTAGATTACATACAAACGTTTTTTATTACAAGTGATATAGATAGCGGGCATTATGGCGGGAAACCGCGAATTTTTTTAATAAGTACAAGTAACGTCCTGTGACGTGCAAAAGTACCTCATCTGTTCTTCCTTAATTATAAGTTCAGAATCGTTCGATCAATCATTTACTCACTCAACTTTTGTGTGTAACTGCTGCACAGAAAAAAATAAGGCGAATTGATAACCTTTTTGTGTTTCTTAAAACTCGTGTAGGCTGTAGGGGTACCATATTGCCTACTATAACGTGTCTATCTAATGTGTCTTAAATACGAAAAATACATAACATACGAAAAATTTTCATTTCAGTTTTCATTTTTCATCAGACAGACCTTCATCTCTTGTATCAGTAGTGTAAAAAGTATAAGTAATCAGTCCACACCTTTTATATGAAGATATTGTGCTGCACAAAATATATCTAATATATTGTCTCTCTTCAATAACTTATTGTTCTCTGGTCCACTAAAGATCATCCAATTGTAGATAGTTTGGAACGCTTCTGGAGTAACACTCGACTAGAAGTTGTAAGTATAATCCATTTTAATAGACTTCAATGAAAAGGTAATAAAGTTTTGTTTAAATTGTCAAAAAATTACTGGGTAAATGAAATTAGCAACAAATCAATACATTTTATTAATTAATTTTTAATTGTATTACTATTGGACATCAGCAGTCAGGTTAATTATTCGTTTGATTACATTCGGGTAAAGTTTTAAAACGGACTATTTATTGAAAGTAGATTTTGTGATTTGAAAAGCTGATAATAGCGCATATAACTTTTTGTTGAAATACTTGTATATTTATCTACATAATTGTACTAATAAACTACATGCAATTTTAAAGATTCTTGGTAATGATTAAAATTACAGGTAAGTAATATTGTTCAGTAGCAAATTTTTTTTTTTTAATTCGTATTGATAACGATATACAAATTGTTACAGTGATAAATGAAAAGATATCTTGTTGCATCGTTATTAGGTACCTAGTTTTGTAGATAATGTTCAATGCTTAGCAGTGATAACTGGGCAAGATGGATTTGCAAATAATATTGAACATGTATTCTCAAAAACTAAAATCCGTAATACGAAAATACCAGATGGGGAACTGTACAAAAGTCCTTTGTATAGGCATTTCTGTTTCATTCCGTTTCTGTCGCCAAGTAAGGATGCTTGGGTGGCTATTTTTAGAAGGTTGAGATATAATCTGATGTTGGGATATGGCAGTGATGATAGCATACAAAATTGTAGTAGGTATCTAATATGATGCCCATGTGCTGTTTATGCCTGAAGATATTATTCTAGATATCACAGGGATCATCAACTTGTTCGTCATTCTTAGTCGCCTAAAGAAATCTTAGTGCTTTTTTATAAAAGATAAAGGCTAGATGATTTTTTTTATACAACTTAGAATGGTAAACAAGTTGACGGCCCACCTGATTGAAAGTGGTAACCGTCGCCTATAGACATGAGCAGTACCATGGACATAGCAGAGGAGTATACTGTTTTGCCCATGATACCCCCCCCCCCGCGTTGCCATTCCTGAGGACTCAGATGTTATTCCTCTGTACCCAGTAAATTCACGCCATATCCCACCCTTCATCAATGCAGTATGATATAATACTTAATTATATGGGTTATATTTATTTAAAAAAAAATTAAAATTAATCATAGTTTAGCTATATGCGTTTAAAATATATAAAACACTGCTAGAAGTAAGAAGAATACTAACTATAGGTAACTCTATCTCATTATGAGGATTCACGTCGAAGAAAGTAGAATATATCTGGAGTACTATACGATGACAATGGATTTCTTCGTCGCCAATATGAATAATTGTATCTGTGTTACTGCAAGTGATAAAATTATGATAAAAACGAAAAAGAATTAATTATTGCATTTTATCAACATTTTTATTTATTTATCTAATAACGTAATGTTGCGGTTACAAATATGCGAGCGATTGTAGTTGATGTTCCTTTACAAAGTAAAATTTAATGTCTTACACGTGATTATGAATTCTACGGTAGAACTCTTGGAACAAATCCTGTTTTTTGGGCAGCTGTATTCGCATCCAGTCTATAGGTTCGGGTACCGTGTATCCGAGGCTTCTCAATTCTTTCCCACTATCTTGTATAGTTTCTCTTTCTTTCTTGACAGTTTTATGTTTATTGTTCTTTGTTTGTAAATTTGCATTCGTAGTTTCTCTAGGGCCGTATTGCAATTGAAGTTCAGAATCGATTTCATCGTCCTAGATACGAGTAGGTTGTTTATAATTAGATATAATTGAAATTAGCTTCAAGGTTTTGTTTTGTAAAATAAGTAGCAGGTTAATATCGAAACAAAATGATAGTTAATAATATTTCTTTTAAAAATAATTATAATAATCCATTCATGATTGGCGAAGATATGGTGTAACATATACACATAAACTATAAGCGAATTTATAACCAATCTTGAACAATATTGTACCGTGATAATCCACGACATTTGATACGGAATTTTATTAATTACTCTTTGTCATAGAAAAATACGAGCATGTGGTAAATGTTTATAGTATCCTAAGTACTTAAAGTATTGAAATTTGAATAAATTGTTATTAAAATAATAATATTATTTTATAATCAATTATAATAATATTACGTTATAATTAATTTCATTGGAGGTTTTTCCTTCAAATTTTACTTTGACCTTTGCTTGCGTAGGATCTGCCAAAAGAACACCCACTGTTGAAGATTGAAATACCACCTAAAATAACCATAAATGATAGTTAATTTGACCGGTTTCTATATTTTAAATATTATTTTCCAATATTACAAATATTTGCGACTTTATAAGCATGATAGAAAAACATACTTTTTACAAGTGTTTCACATGCCACACTAGTTAACCGTTACTCTTACAAATAAAAATTATAAGAACTATTTATTTTTTTGTATTCTATTATAATGTAATACTGTTTTTTTGTAAATCTTACATTATAATTTTTTATATATTAATTATACTAGTCGTGTTTGCAACATTGTCCACATAGATGGGATAAAAAATTATCTTATCGTGTTAATTAATTCAGGAAATTGTTTATCAGTGTACCAAATTTCACTCAAATTCATTCTGTTTTTAAGTGTAATTTGGTAACAAGCTTTAATAAAAATCTTTACATACTTATCTACTAATTGTAAAAATAGTAGTAGTAGAATTGGTAGTATTATAAAATGCAATTTATTTTCAGTGTCGACACAACTAGCAACTTTTTTCATCTTTATTGAAAATGGAAATTTATTCAATACCTGATTTGACTGTACTTTTAGGTTACCGCTTGGCGTTGATTTAAAAGGGAATGCAGCTACTTTTTGATAGCTAACTTGGTCGATACTGCACGTGCTAAAATGAATAGCAACACAAAATGTTTATATAAGTGCAAGTTAATTAATGTTTAGAATCTCATCATCATTACATCAACTAGTTTCATTATAAAGTACCAACCTACTACTTAAAATTTGTACGCATTTTTAAGTTTTAATAATGTGGTACTCGTATGTAATCGAGTGCATTGTAATTGGCGACTATACTGTATTTTTACTAACATAACGTAAAGTATTACTCAAAAATCCCTGATGCATCTGTTAGAGCAGTTTTGGATGAGTAATTTTTCTTCGAATAAAGTATTTACAAACAGTCTGGCCATATGTATATTTTCGATAAAGTTTCTTTTAGATGTTTATAAATATTAGTTTTACCTGGAACTATCGACACCAGATGATAAATTCACGTCTGTGCTCTCTTCTTCTTTTTGATTATTGTGGACGTAGTCTGCAGTAAATTTCGACGCATATGTTTCGGGCGACATTGCGTTTTTCCTTTTAGTTTTCCTATTATTTAAAGAGTAGTTTATAATTTTATAAAAAAAATATTATTATGAATTCCACTACAAAAATATTGTTAAAGTAATTTAGAATTGTGTTCTACAAAAAAACAAACTTCAATTGTGGTAAAAAAGTAGTTAGTTTGATTTAGAAATTAGTTTAGACTATAGAACCGATTTTAATAAATGTTTTATGGGACTAATCTGTAAGTATATTTTTTCAGATGAAAAAAGAATTTTCCAAATCAATTTACAACTGACGAGGTTATAAGGTAAGAAATTTAAAAAATCTTTTTTAAGTTTTTTATTCGATTTGAGAATCTTTTTTTTCGGTTGCTTTAAAAAATGAAAAATAAATATCAAAAAAAAAATACTTGTCTTATATTAGTAATTCATCATTTTGTCACAGACAACATCTATTTGTTCCTATATACATATATGCACAGTTTTTTTTTGTACACAAAACCAAACCACGAATAATCAGAAAATGCAGCTCATTAGTTTTGTTTTAAAAGTTGCATAATAAGAAATCAAAGAACAAATATTTAATTTCACAAACTAGAAAATCCATACTGTTGAGTCATTTTCGGTGAATCCCATTTCGTCGAAACAAAATAGAGACATAGCCTTTACCAATTCTTCAAAGCTTTTATCAATTCGACTCAAATTTTCGAAAATAATTGTATCTAAATATTCTTAATTAAAAAATAACCATAACTAAGTATGGTCAACTGGCTTAAAAAATTTTCGTCATAAAGATTTTTAAAAATCGTAAAATAAATTTTTATATAACAGTTTTATAGATTAAATTATTGCTGAAGGTATATTATTAATTAACTAAAATTTTACGTTAATTTATGTAGAATATATTTACGCCGTGTGACGAAATATCCTATTTTAATACTCGATCGAGTGAGGCTGAGACGTGACTTCAGTCAGTCATGTTATTTGTTGGTTTAGTAGTATAATTTTTTTATGATTTAATATACTATTTGTCCTTGTGGTACTGGCATAGAATAGGTCACCCCTTTGTTTTCTGTAGATGTCGTAAGTGGCGACTAAAGAAATGGTAGAGAGATGAGCGTTCTTCTTACCAGCGCATCCCCCGAGTGGTAGGGTGAGCACGCCATCCACCCTATCTTGAGAGAGGAGACCTGCTCTTACCATCAGGGGGCGGGTCGCTGCCGTCGGAGATGTGGTGAGTGTGAAAGCGAACCCATGTCTCCGACATATGGCAGCTCGAGGATATATCGTCTGGTTTTTGGTGGGTACACCCCCACCTTACGGGGGGATTCCCACAGTACCCATTCACCTCTCACAAGGTGTATGGGTCTGCATAAAACATTTTCCAGACGTTAAAAAAAAAAAGGAGTGTTCTTCTTAAAACGTCTCTAAAAGCCTAGCTGCGGTTGCCAATTCACCTACCAAGCGTGGCAACCACTGGCAAAACTCCCCTTATGGGCAAGGCTTCCCTTACGTTCAGCAGTGAACAATTAACGGCTGAAAAATATATACTATTCATTAAATATTACTTACTTTCCTTTTAAGTTCCAAGACATGTATGGCGTATCAGTTTTTGTGCAATATTTATTAACAGAATCTCCACAACATACAGAATTTTTTACTAAATCTTTGGTCAGAATATTACTGGTATGCTTGAAGAAGTCTAATGCTGAAAATAATACATTTGTAATTATATAAATATAATTCTTACGAACACTGCTTACGAAAGTGATGAAGTGAATTCATTAAATCTGTATTATTCATCCTAAAGAAAAATATAAATATATAGATAAATATTATAACAGGAAACTTTACAAGACGGGAAAATATATTATTATGATTATATATTGTCCTTAGATGTCCGTTCGTTGTCTAGTTTCTTGTAACAAAGGGTACTTAAGTATAGTTTGAGGAGTAGGTAATCGATGTGATTGAGTGGTACTTAGGAATTTATTTTTGAACATGACTATGTTAGTGATAAAATTATGAAAAAATAAAAACAAACAAGACAGAGGTAACAATGGGTGGCTTTATCGCTATAAATAAATTATATATTATGGTTAGAGTTAGATTTACATTATTTTTATTACTACCAGAAGGAGACTTTACACAAAAGTCGTTTGCTTGGGCACCTCTGTTCTATTCGTGTTTCTACCGTGAAGCAGTTGTGTTTGCATGGCTATGTTTCAGTTTGAAGGGTGGAATATGGTAGTTAATTTACAGGGTACAAAGAAATAGCCTAAGTTCTCAGGAATGCCAACGCATGGGAGTATCGAAACAATATACTCTGTTATGTTTGCGGTACTGCTCATGTCTATAGGTGACGATTACCACTTTCCTTCAGGTGGGCTGTCAATTTGTTTGCCATTCTAAGTTGCATAAAAAAAAACATTTATAGAATAATCTTCGTCCTAATTTTAAGGTAAAATCGAAAATTAAAACTAATTAATATGAGTATATAAAATATAATGAAATATAAAGTTTATTTATATAAGTACCTATACCTATCTATTTACAACAGAAATGGCAGGGTATGGAATAATATATTTCATACCGTGAGAAAAAAAAACTAAAAAAACTAAACTATTAAAATATTATTATTATTAAAAATCAGTGTCAATGTAATCATGCTGATATTATAAATATATGATAGCAGGTATTTCTAGTTATTGTATGATAACTTACAATAGGTTGATGAAATTAAACTTCTATAGAAACAATCTAAAAACTAATTGATTCGTTCTATCGTAATTGAGTAAATAAATGACTAAAAATACCTATAACACACCTTTAAAGATATAAGAACTATAGATAAAGATACTAGCATAGATTGAGTAAATAAACGAGTAAAAAATAAGGAATCAAATGTCTAAGTACGTTATGCAACAAAAAACTTACAAAAAAATACTAACAAAGTGATCACTCACTGAAATCACTGGTATTTGTCGTCAACTCAGACAATGAGTTGCTTCTATACAATTTAGGCTTAATAGTTATGCAATAACGCTCGAAGATTTTACCAAAACGTCTAAATTTTCTCTTCGGAGATACGATGGTATTACTGGAATAAATACTATTCTTAATAAATGGTATAATACAATATTTCATGTTCTTTCAATTGTACCCCCAATCGACTTTTTGTTTTGCTCCATTGGTCAGTTGATTAGAGTTATTTTGTTTAATTCTATTGTCTTATGTTTATTTGCTCCATGATTACCTAAATATATATAAGTGAATGCGAAACTTTATCTGCCATAATGTAGTTACGTAGGGCCATTTATGACTAGTAACTCGGTAAAGTCGAATCGGATACTATTATGAATGTTCTATATAAACCAATACGCCAACGAAGAGAAAGTAAACTCCAAATAAAACATTGTGCCATTGCCTTTAACCTGACGACGTAGCAATATTAGGCTAATTTGTTAATGGAAAAGACTAAAAATCAGCCATGAGATGAACATGGGTTGTTATTCTGATCTTATGAAACATGAATCTCAATAGAGATTTTTGTATAAAAAGTCAAAATTTTTCTAAAGGGAGACTCCCTTAGTACAAAAGTCTACATACGTACATCTATTCTTCTCATATTTCTTCTGTGAAGCAGCTATGTTTGCATGGCTGTGTTTCGGTTTGATGTCTGGGATATGGCGGTGATATTACAGGATAGGAAGGCGTAACATTATAGTTTTTAGAAATGGCAACGCATGAAGGGTACCATGTACCCATATCTATAGGCAACGATTACCACTCTCTATCAGGTGGGCTATCAGTTTGTTTGCCATTCTAAATATCACTAAAACAAATTGTTTTTCATATTGCACAAGGTTCTCATATATAGGCTGCAATAGAGAATGCATCATTTTGATTGAAACGAAATAAGATTCATATTATACAATTTAGTACTGATGACGATGACGTCACTCTTAAGATTCATCAAGAATCATTAAACCTAAATTGGTATCTAGGTGCAGGAATTGTTATTGTAATGCTTACTACTTATTGTATATTGCCAGAAACATTTTAATCGTAATACACTTAATAGCTTATTATCATACTACTTAGTGCATATAATTAGCTATAAGCGAATAAATATAATTAACTCACATACATTTATCTGAAATACTCACTCTGGACAGTTGCATTTAAATGTATTATTCCTTGCATTCAATATTACTTCTGTACCATTTAACTGTTAAAGAATAGAAGCCTTTAGAAATGTTTTTCAGGTTTAAACACTTATTCACTTTTTACGATAATTGTAAATGATTTTAGCTAATATGTATGCTAATATTTTTTTGCAAGATAATATAAATTTAATGGAAGTTTATTACCTTTTCTAAACTAATGCTCTTTTGCATTTCAAATTCGCTGAAAGAATAATAGAGAAACGTGAACCATATTGCAGAGATTAGTGTTTTTATTGTTAATATTAATCCCCAAAACCGTATGAATATTTTTGACAGATAATGTTTATGGCTTTCTACGAAACTTGACAATCCTAAAAATATTTCAAATAGTGACATGACAATGACAGAAATAGGTTAAAAGCAAATCAATATTAAAAAAACAATTTCTATTACAATCTCTGCTGTCAATTAATTTATTTTCGATCACGAGATTAATATTTTTCTGTTGATTGCGCAATAATATAATGACGCATTTCCCCTTATTAAATGTTTAGCTTAACAGACACCGATAGATATATCGTATCTAAAGATAAACTAGGACTAGCGTTCACCAGCACTATATGAATAAAGCACCATAGCTAAAATAATTTTTAATATATTTAAAAATTTGTAATTGACTTCGATGATCTCCTGTAACTAATCTAGTTGAGTGTAATAGTTTAGGCATTTTATTTCTTATAAGTTTTAATGTCTTTCATGTGATGATAAGGTAAGAATATCAAGAGAAACGGGTTGATAATTAAAATGCTGGATATTGAAGTTCTCTTTTATCACGTCTTCATCAATAGGGAACATAAAGACTATCTATGACAGAATTGTAAAACATAAGACAATAGAAAATCAATATAAAAATATAAAAGACGGATTATGATGGCCAGTAATATAAAAGGCGTATTATGATAACCAGTAATACGCTACAAATACAAGATGTCTACATGCCGTTTCATCTTTGGGATATTATAAGAGGCGATGAAGAGTACAAATCTTAATATACCATTACAAAAGAAGGGAAACTAAAATGAAACTCTATGCCAAAACCACCACCACCAAAACCAAAGACCACCGTAGTAATAGTAGGCTAATATCCTCTGTTCTGTTATTCGAATTATCTATAAACAAACTTCCTGCCAGTACATTGATAAAGAGCAGACCAGTGCGGTATATGTATCGGTTATTGATGGTTCCCGAGTATTGCAAATCTAATCAGAGATGTAAACATAGGTCTATAAATAAAAATAGTCGATCATTCTATGACTAATAAGGTGACATAAATGACATCTCAGTTATTTGAAAAGCAATGTTAGCCAAGTTTGTAAGTGCCTTTCACTAACCGTTTACTTCTCAAAGAATCCGGCTTGATATTGATGTATCGATTGAAGTAAAAACTTTGCTTTAATAATGCCGCCAGTTGCTATTTAGATACCATTGGCAGTTATATTTGTTATTTTCTTTTTATGATTTGTATTAAATATTATAATAATATCTAAACACAATACCTATTATTGTATAAGCTTCTGGGAAACTTCTGAATTATCTCTGTTTTGTTATTTCCTGATTTCGCAGTAGACTAGCTCATGTATAAAAATACTTAGAAAGCTGATAGTTATTGTAAATAATATTTATTAAGATACTAAACTGAATATAAGCACTTTCTTCAATATAGGCAATATAGGCACCTTTGGTGTTGCGGGTAATCATGGGCAGCGGTGGTCACTTAGCATCAATTGAGCCGCATGCTCATTTGCCCCCTGTGTTATAAAAAATGTTTATCAAGTTAGGCTCTTTATTGATCTATCCTTCCAAATCTGACATTTCTCTGTGTGTCGATCAAAGAATAAACTGTGTTTTAACTGTTTTTATTACATTTTACTAGTTATCTACTTATCATATTTTTGTAACTAACAGAAGACCCAAGGATCAAGCAAACCACACAAAACTACCATCACTTTGTGCTAGATTGGAAAAAACAGACCGATTGTACCAGATCATATAAGCAGAATGAAACTAACGTAAAGGTATTTATGCAGGAAAATGTGCGTTTATAATACACAATTTGTATGTGTATAAGAAGCCATGAATTATTTATATATCAAGAGAATTAGAATAGACGAAGCAATGAAGCGTTGCGCTTTGTCGTCACATGCATATACATAGGTGTATATATAGAATTTTGTACTATTGTAATAATATAGCGAAACTGTACGAAAATATGTATCACCTATTGAAACCTAGTGTCTTAGTGATAATATTCATACCACTAAGACATTAGGACAATAAACATTTCATAATTTTGAAAATTTTAGCATAAAAAGTAAAAAAAAAAATTACCGACAAGTATTTCTATTATACCAACTTTTTGGAGAAAATTGTTAGTTTTGTTTCGGCATGATACAACCATTACATCATTATCATTATTTCAGTCATTATTCGTCCACTGCTGGACATAAGTCTTCCACATAGACTACCATAAAGAACGGTCCTGAGTCACATGTATCCAATGACTCCCTGCAAGGCATTTCAGGTCGTCACTCCATCTAGTGGCGGGTCGTTCTACACTTAATTATTTACATTATGCATTATTTATATTCATTATAAATATTACATATTATAGATAAATGCGTACAATAATGTTTTATTAGTTTTATCTACTATATTCATAATGCCTACATCAGGAACTTATAAGGCAGAACATTAAAAATATGAAATAATATTTATTCTTATGGTAAAACCAAGTGGGGTCCTAACACAAAATATGACCGATAAAAAATAAACTAAATACTGGTAGTGGAGGTAAATTATTTATGTACGTTTTAGTATTTTTTCGAATATAAAAATTTTGGACACGGCGTTAGAGAAGAGAAAAAGAAATATTCCTGAATTGACAGCTAGCATGAAATAATAATTGCGAATGGAGGGTTTTTTTTTTTAAATGGATGATAATGGAATGGTAACCCCACTCGCGCAATCAGTATACACCGGCGGGGCACCAGTGAAGGATGATAGGTGAGGATGAAGCAGGTCAGTTAGCCCATCGTGACGAATTTAACATGAATCGTTCACGATGGTTTCCAGGGGGAACCACGTGGAGGTCGACTTATTAGGGCACATTGCTAACAATGGGGCTGTCAAACTCCATTGCTAACAATCCCTTCCCCCCATGAATGGAGGGTTTGGGATAGGAAAGTTTGTTATGGGGATTTACCTGTGTGACTCATACATATCTAAGTACGTCATACGCGAATACAAAGTATATACGTCGAGTTTTGCGATAAGTAAAGTTCGCGGACATAGTACTTCTCTAGCTATATAACAGCGGAGCCCGCGAGATCTATATTAGTTTGCAAACCAATTTAGTGGCCGTTGGTTGTGAGTGTGTGTTTATAAAGTAAACAATACATTTCCGTTCAAAGTGAGTAGAAATATTTTCATTCATTTCAAAAAATGATAAAAAAACTTTTCTTTCAGAAACACGATTAAAGATATAAATAGTTTTCGAGTAATTAGCTTTCTTAAAATTTGTTTTCGACTGTATAATAGTAAATAGATAAAAAGGTGAACAGTAAATAGATAAAAAGGTGATTTAAATTTTTAACCGGCACAAAAAAAAAGAAGAAAGTTTCTAAATTTTTTTTCTATGTTTACGTAATATTTTCAACAATTTTAAATTGATTTTGTTTAGCCTTATTTTCTATATAAGGGGATTTACAATATATAGTCGACACAATCTAACCAATTTTTTTTATACTCCGGTTTCAGTCATACTGTTAACAAGATTGATAGTATCTTCAAAATATTAAGTTCATAGTGTTGTTCTTGTCTATATGTCACTGTTAATAAGGTAGACCGTTAGCTTGTTCTACCTTGCATATTTTTTAAGTGAATAGTCTTGAAGTAATTAGTTCAAAATTATTATGTATTTTTTATATTTCTTTATAGCTTAAATTTAAATATATTTCAATAATAACAATTATTTACTAACTAATACAAATAAGTAAATAGGTTATGAATTATTATAATTTCCGCAAATAACTTACGAGTACATTGTCTAACAAATTTCAGATTCAAATTTATTGATATAAATAATTATATATCAGACTTTGTACAAAAGTCATTTGTTTGGGTACCTTTGTTCCATTTGTGTTTCTGTCTTGAAGTAGTTATGTTTGCATGGCTCTGTTTCAGTTTGAAGGGATATGGTAAATTACAGAGTACAGAGGTATAACATTTTAGTCTTCAGGGAGGGCAACATATGAGAGGTACAATGGGCGTTACAGTATTTTCTATTATGTCCATAGTACTGTTCATGTATATAGGCGACAGTGGCCACTTTGTTTCAGGTGGGCCGTCAGCTTGTTTCCCATTCTTAGTTGCATAAAAAAAATAACTTCTAAAATACAATAATGCCTTGTTGTACATTAAAACAAGGCATTTGATATAATTTTAGACTCGGATAATAATTATATTTGTGTCAATATAAATATACCAAGATTTACCTACTTAGATTGAATTCCTTGTATTTTGTACACTATTTATAATATAATTATATGCAAATACACGAGCAAGTAGGTTACTTGTAACCGGATATCTTGTGTAAATAGATTGATAAATACGGAAAAAACGTAAGAGGTCTATTTGAACTGGAGACCAAATAGACCTTGTCAAATGGAGTTGTATTTGGCTTTTTAAGAAACTTAAAAATAAGAAGAAACTCCATTTGTCTACATTTTTCGCTAATGTGATTGCGTCACCAATTCTGAACCGATTCTTTTTGCAAGCGATAGGATTTTTTTTAAACTTATATTACATTGTATTCAAATTCATATATATTTTAATTTTTGTTATAAGTGAAGCTGTTGTTTTTCTTTGCGTCAATAAAATCTCAGTTTTATACTCTAGTTTTACAATTACATTAGAGTATATATGAAACATCACGTAGTTTACTGGTGTGTATGTTTCCCATTAAAGTAAATGTTTATAAAAATGTTACAGAAAAAGAGTGGTGCACTGTTGTTAGGTTCATGTATGTGAGTTTTATTATTTCGAGATAACTTAACTAAATGTCAGAACAGTTTGTTCAGTATTATTGATTCCTTATATCATCCTGAGTGAAATTGGCTATACATCTTTTGAAAATTTAAATACGAGAATGCTGCTATTGCAATGTGGCAATGGTGATTTTTATTTATTTTTTTATTATAAGGGCTGCTTTTTTTGTGAAGCAATACACTTATTTATATTTATCGTAATGCCAGAGAGACTCAAAAACGGGTTAACTTTTTTTAGCTAATTGTTAAATTAACCGGTTCGTTTTTTATCAGTCTTCTATATACTTACGCATAAAATGTATCTTGATGTATTATTTAATAAATAAAATGAGTGTTTACGCATTATAAAGGTGCAGAAATTATAGGGTAAAATAAATATAGAAGTCATAGAGGATTCTCTCATAACTATTTATCTTGCAAAATTGTATGAAAAATTTTACCCGTTTTTTTCGAAGCACTTCTATGGAGACACTATCTATATAATCTAGGCTATTATATTATTAGAAAAAAAAAACACGTTCTGTTGACAGTCGTCTAATTACAAATGGAAGTTAGCAAGAAATAAAAAATAAACAACGAGACGTTGGACAGAGCGGCCTTCACCTGTCGTGAGATCGCAATTTCATTGTAAGCGTTGTCTGGAAACGTATGGCAAAATAGTTCGTTCGGTTCATTAGGTATATCTATCTATACAAGAAATGTTTTTTTAATTTCTAAGAATATATGACCCTCATTAAATATATATTCTTGAAAATATTAGTGTGGAATTCATAAATGGGAGTAAAATATTATGATAAAGAAATGAATTACGTAACTTGGTCTACAATTACTAAATATATCGTGTAATGTACTTACAAAAATCAATTAAATTAAAGACATCTTTTTTTAAGTATGTTGTCATGTGGTTGTAACTACAAACTAAATTGTAATAAATACTAAATACGCATATTGATACCTACAAAATATTTTAAAACTTTGATGGTGATTAAGTTTCATTGAGATTTATTTAGTCGTTTCAATGTGATTTGCAAATATTCAAACATGTTAACAATTTCTCAAAAATATGACATACATCTATTAATCACCAATCTTACGAAATTTTAGTTATTTCTACACGAAACTATAAAACTTGTGTAGGCAGAAGAGTAGATGTAACATATTTCAGGCAAAATTATTTTAATATCTGTTTTTTTAAATATAATATCCAGCCTTTAATAATGACGTAAAATGTAACTAGCTAATTTCCAAAGTACGAAGTGAAATTCACGTATCACCACCATAACTACTTCCATATCATGACGGCTCCATTTCTGGCCATAAGACTCTTCTCATAAGAGGAGTTTATTGCGCTGGCCAGGCGGTCTGGTGCAGGCTTTTATTTTGAGTTTTCTTTTTCTTGCATTGGTAACTGTGCTTTGTTTTCCTTGCTTTACACCTACTCAGAATTCTTTATACTACGAATAGATTAGAATAGTTTTCTATCTACTACTATCTACTACAATCAAGTATAGATATACTTTTTAATAGTCATTAACACCAACTGCACAAAATACACCTACACTTGGGTTGTCTCACTCACTGTGCTGTATTTCATAACTTTCGTATCTATTTCAATACATGCATTGCTTTAATTGTAACTAAGGGTATGACAGGCAACATTTTTTATGACATAATAGATATAGTACATCACTCTTTTGGGATGGCAACGCATAAGGGATATCAAGAACGTTTGAAATCATAATACTTTTTGTGTTATGTTTATAAACGTCGGTTACTACTTACTTATAGTTAGTGGTAGGTTGTAGAGTTCTGTATGACTTATCTTTTTCACATTCGTCTATTATTCATTTTATTATTATTCAGAGTACTAATAAAGGGCCGAATTGGAGTACTATTGTATATATGTAGTTATGTACATGTTTTACACTATTCATTTTAAATCAGGAAACTAATTTTTCTGTCTCAAGAGTCACCTAATAGTTCTTAGGAGTGCAATCGGAGCACAATATAATTTCTGATCCATAATCAGATGAGGGCTCTCATTTGCCTGTTTAGTATTTATAGTAGGTAATATAAAACCAATATATATAAAAAATATATAATTTAGTAAAATTGTTTTTTAATTTTACAGTACCATGGCAGACAACGATCGTATTGTGTATCCTGATGAAGTAGAAACATCGAAGATAGAGGCAGCGAATGCTGAAGACAAAACTACAGGTGGTGACACAAACACAATAGAGGAAGCACCTCAAGATATTGCAATGAGAAGTATGATCACTGTGCCTCCAAACTGTCCAGCTGGCTACGAGTTGTCCGCTGATGGTGTGTGCCGCGAAGTCTTCAAGTAGCCGCTGTGATACCACAAATATTGGGATTAAATTTAGTAATTTATTTTTATGACATTAAAGTCTGATAAACTATGGAATCTGAGATACATAAAAAATAAGGCGTTTTATAAGCAGTTTTTTAATTGAAGTGTTTAAGTGTATTTTGTTCAAAAATTGCAGTATTATTTGGAATGTCTGTTTTGCTGTGTTTGGAATGTTAAGACTATATAATATGTGTAATTTTTAATTACAATCAATGATTGAATAAACTATTTTGTATATACTTTTCTTGGTTTTTATTACATTTTATATCTTTCAAATCCATTTCATCATTCAGGACGTAGCGTATCGGCCTTGCTATTCATTAGTACTCTCCTTCTAAATGTAAAATACATAATATTGTTCTGGAATTGTGAATTATGTTTAAATTGTCTTGTAAATTACTTCATTTTTTTTATTTACATAGATGTTTAATAACTACGTTAATAAATAAAGAAGGTTAGTGATTCCTAAAAAATATATAAATATTTTCGAAAAACATGTTTCAAATGTGTGTATTTAACAAAGTATTATCATCATTTTAATTGGATTCTATATTAAAAAGGTTTTTTTTTTAAATAAAACACAGCAATTTCTAATAATTAACGATCATTTACTTTAAAATATTCATATAATTACATAATAATGGCCTAAGTCTGTGATAATTAGAACATAGGATCTAAGATAAAAAATTAAATATTATTTCTTTCTATAACCCTGACATCATAAAATATTGTTGATATTCGCCTACAAAAATTATAAATAACCGAGCGTTGCATAAGTTTTAACAAATGGAGCATCACTCTCACAGGAATTCCTGGAAAAGAGAGAAAAAGTATTTAGAGCAAGGATTGTTTGTGGCAAGTAAAGTACATTTAAATGATTGGCTATAAAGATACTTGCACTTGATAACTAATGTGGATGATAAGCGGACTACTATGATAAGACCGATTGTTTCAAATGTAGATAGTTGAAGATATTAGGTAATGACATATATTATAGTTGAAAGAAATTGATAGAACTATTATATGTATAATAAAAAAGGCTAGGCATAAATAGTTATAAATAGTTTTTTATAGTAATATATCTATGATAGGATAATATATATGTATAAAGATTATCTGAAAGAGTATACCCATACCTACGATAGACACTAAAAAAAAATATTTTGTATAGAAAAAATATACATAACAAATTGATATCTAAAGGTAGTGTTTATGAATAACTTTTTTCAATGAATGTTAGAAAAGTTGATCAGTTTCAATTCAGGGTCGAAATATGAGAATTGTGTACTTAAGATTTAAGAAGAATTTAATTTTTTTATCATCAATTACTTTTTAAATGTCCTTTTAGATCTTTTAATTTTAACTTTACTAAGCAAGTAGGTTGTACTTAATTCTCAGTCGACCAGTAGATCATGATCGACTGAGAATAGGTAGAGATCAATCTCAGGCATCGATATAATCGATTATTCTTACTGAATTCTATGTATAGCATAAAATTCTTACCTTCATTAACCGATAACTAATGGTACGATTGTCAAATGACTAAAGTGCAGAGATACGGGGCTAAATAATTATACAGGGTGCAATTTAAATTCATATACATATATAAAAGGGGATGATTGATCCATATATCAACGCACAGCTGAAGCTTCTGAATTTAGAATCTTAAAATTTTGCAGATAGTTTCTTTATATCGCGTAGGTGAATAATGAGAAAGGAATTTTTAAAATACAACCCCTAATGTGGTAAAATGGGTTTTGAAAGTTTGTGTGAAATTTTGTCAGTTTACAAGTGAAATTCTTGTTTTAGAATTAATATGTTTATTGGCTTTTGAAGAATTTACCCCTAAAGAGGTGAAGTAGGAGATGAAATTCGTATGGATTTTGTTATAATTGAAACTAGAAATACGAAACGTTCTTGAAAATTTCATCAATGATATAGTAAAACGAAGTTTTATATTTAGTCATTTGCTAAGAAATAATGTGTTTTATCACTTTTGAAAATCAAATATCACACGCGAGCGAAGCCGCGGGCAAAGAAGGGAGTGTTCTACAATAGAAAAGGGTTGAGCTTCTCATGTCACCTTTACATGTGAGTTTTTAATTTTTTGTCGATTTTCGATCAATGTTTCTTTGGGGGCAATTTTGGTTAGTTTCTCTGATAGAACACAGCAGAAACTGATTAATTATCATAATACCTATATTGAGTATTGTCGGCAAAACATCAAGTGCAAGATGCATATTATTAATGTATATTTAAACACATTGTATTTGAGGATATACATAACATATATTTCTATATATTTATGCTTTAGTGCAATTTCATGCTTGTGTATAAAAAAATATTGATGTTACGTGAATAAATAATGGTTACAAAAAATAAATTGACTCACCACAACAGCTACTACATAAACGATTTGAATTTACAAAATATCAATTCAATTTTGTACAATTTTATTTTATTTTCTATTTTTGAATGGTTAAAGCGGGAAAGTAAATCATTCTTAAGGCGTCATCACATAGTTGCTTTTATTGATATATTACAGTATTTAAGATAATGCAATGTGTGTTAATGCAAAAAGTACAAACTGTAATTGAAAATTTAGTAATAAGATATATGCCTGTTGTTAAGAAGTAACTACTATCATATATTATTTATTAAATTTTTTTTAATCAAGAAAATAGAGTAATAAAATAAATTCGAAATAATTATCTAATTATACCAAATTTTAATAAAATAGACAGCTTTAATTTAAGTAGTAGAGAGACAAGAATAAGGGTGCAGTGGGATACTATGATAATGAATGACAGTGTATTTCAACGATTGTATGATATTTTTTTGCATACATTAATTACGCAATAAATCGGCATATACCCTATTACTTCATAACATACCTTAAATTAAATACTTTACATCTGTATGTACAATAATTAATTTATATTCACATAAATAATAAAATCAATTTAATTTAAGTAATATTTTCTAAATATATTTAAATTAATCAAGTATTACAAAACAACATGTGTCAAGTATTACAAAAATATGGCGCTAAACAGCTATAAATTTAAATAGAAGCCGCCGATATTTTCAATAATATGACCCTTTATCGTTTAATATAAATAACAAAAGGAAACTTAATTATAAAAGTTTAAACTAAACGTTTAAACGTAAAAAATATTGATGTTATATTATAAAAAATATTTATAGGGTGCGAACTCCCTACCTATTAATATGTCAAAAATAAATAGATTCGAAATTTCCTTTACGTTTCTATTTTACGTAAAGTTAAATAAAATTAAGAAGAAATTAACACAAGAGATTTAATGTAGCCAAATACCTATTGGGACTTCTGTTATTTTTTTATTCGAACCCTCTTTTGTTTTAAGTCAATATCTTTCAGCTGCTTCTATTTAAGTCTGTATCTAAAAACTTTTGTTGTTGACTGTGTGCGAAATGGTAAAAAAAAATATCACAGATTTAATTGAACAGATATCATGAGTCGTGTTTATTATATGCGTGCACAAAAAATAAGCGTTTGTATTATATATTTTTTATTAGTAAAATATGTTTTACTTATATGTAAAATTAGTTTTGTGCAATTATTTTATAATTATATTTTTATTATTTTTACAACAACCCAAAAGACAGAGAAGTTATACTTTTTAAGCCGTTTATTTATTTTTTTATGTAACTTAAAATGGCAAACAAACTGACGGTCTAACTGGTAGAAAGTGGTAACTGTCGCCTATAGACATGAGCAGTACTATGGACGTAACAGAATATACTGTTCGCCCATGATACCCCCCCCCCCCCCCATGCGTTGTCATTCCTAAGAATTCAGGTGTTATTCCTCTGTACCCTGTAAATTCACTCTCATATCCCATCCTTCAAACTGAAACAGCCATGCAAACGTAATCTGTGTACCTGTTTGTAACATTATAGCTCATGAACGAGCGGATAAAACTTCAATGCAATATTTGTTTCATGACTAATTGATATTTGTCCTATTTCAGTTTATACTTATATTATAAAATAAGATATATTTTGTTAACTTTATTTTATGAAATGTGACTATAAAGGTCTATACCATGTGGAATGTATTTTTTTTAATGTTTTCCCTTTTCTTTAATTAAACAAATTCACGTTATCTTTTCAATTTTTTATCTGTAGTTAATGTCTATTAAAAAAAGCTTGCTAACATAAAATGGTTTCAATGAACATTGTAATTTAATTGTATGAAGATTATTGATATTATAATTAATTAATGTTAAAAATAACAGTAAGGTGCAATAGGCAGCAAACAATAAGAAATAAATTACTTGTAATTGTATATAAAAAAAAACAATTGTAATGTTTTTTTAATCAAGTCCCAATAAATTGCAAGTACCATCAGTATAATTAATATTAATATGTAATTTAACTTGTATTTTTTATGTGTGGATTGTAATATCAATAACCTTTTTCAAATAACGGCAAGGCAGGCGAATTAAACAATTTATGCTGCAAAACACGGCCACAATGAAAACATTAGTTTACATTTGTTGAAAATATATTTTTATCAACATAAGAAATATACATATTTTATATTAAATAGGGTGAGTTTTCCAAATTTGCTATAATAATTAATATATTAATTAATATAGAAAATTACTTAAAATGTGTTATGGAGCTAATTTTGTTAAAAAATAGTATTGATATTTTTTATTTTTGGTTTATAAATTAAATCTTTGATTGGAAAAAAGAACATATGCTTTAGTAAAACCTGGAACAACACTCACAATAATCAAATGAATTTCATCCCTTTCCTTTAGTTTGCCATTTGTCACTAGTTCTTATTAATAAATTATTTAAAAATGGCTTCTTATGTGTGTTTTTACGCGTTGTGGTTGTCGGCTCATTTGATCCAACATCTGGTTTGACATTCAACATTTTTAAGAGAATTTAATTCTTACAAACGATATTATGGATTGGTGACTCTATTTGTGAAAAATGTACTCACTCTTTAGATTATATAGCTATGAATAATTGAGTAAAGCTTTAATTTGCTATAGTCTATTAGTTCATGGAAAAATAATGTAATAGGTATTTATATGGAGATTATAGGTTAAAATCAAGTAAGAGTTAGTAGCTGGACTAAAGCTACATAAGATGGTCACGATTTTCGGCAATGATGTTATCGTAATGAGAAAGTTTCTTTACATACAAAAAATAACAGTATGTATCGTTACAATAAGAAATGCAATAGCAAAGAGGAGGGATGGAATCATGTAAAAATAAGAGCAAAAATATTTTCAGGAGTAATGATTTACTTAAAAATAAATCGGTGCACAATACAACTAATAATGCATTTGTGTGTTTTGCAACATCATCTTTGTAATTATTAATGACCATGCGAAAATAATATAATCATTAAGTGAAATAAAATGATTAAACTCAAAACTGGCAAAACATCGTGCTGTACTATGACAATAGTAATTTCAAGTTCAGAATATCATCTACGTCACAACAATATAACAACGCACAAACTAAACTCACGAGTACTTACTCGTCCTCCCAGGGACAAATGTCGTTCCGCTGCTTATGCTCACCGATGCCGCTGTTATTATCACGCTTAACAATATTGGGTTCAGAGACCGACGACAGTTCGTCTGTATGAGCAATTTTTTTCGTCGCGTCCGACTCGGACGTCGCCTCGGTGGGACCCGAGACCCTTTGTAAGGGCGCCGAAGGCACTTTGTCTACGTTGTCGTCGTCAACCCCGATGTCCTCGCAGACAGCGAGCGGCGCGATCGGCGGGCGCGGCGCGGCCGGCGTCGGCGCCGGGACCGTCGCCGGGACGGAGACTGGCGTCGGCGTCGGAATCGGCTCCGATGCCGGGCTCGGCGTCGGGGTCGACGCCGGTCCGGTTGTCGATGTGCTCATTGCACACGCTACACTAGTGCTGGTGGCGATCGGCTTGACCGACTCCGTAGCGCCATGCTTCTCGTTAACGCTTACTGGAAGATCGCCGATTTTGCTACTAGTATCCTTACTTGAGGCCGGACTGATTTCTTTTATCGTTGATGGTTCCTGGGAGAGCGATACTCGCACCGAGACTACTTCGTCATCGGACGACTTCGTCCGCTCGGAACCTCTCGAGTCCGACATCGCGCCGGAGGCGGTCGAGTCGTCGTGCGACTCGGATCTCACACTCACTTCCACTGTCGTTACTGCAGTTCGAAAGTCATCACAACCGGGGTCCGGGGGCGGGACGGCCCCGTCGGAGGCGAGCACGCACCGATCTTCGCATGGCTTGAGGACGGGCCGACTGGGCTCTGTCGGGGTCGCGTCCGCAGACGCGAACACCGACGACGGCTCGTCCGATTGCGCCACCGAGCGGGACTCCTCCGGGGAACCGGTGCCCGGCGGAGACTCGTCGTCGGGCGCGGAGCTCACGCTGATGGTGGGCGTAGGGTGCGGCGGGGCGGCTGGCGGGGGCGGTGGCGGTGGCACGGGCGCGGGGCGGGGCGGGCGCGGCGAGTGCGGCGGGGAGCCGAGCGGCGCGAGGTGGCGCGGCTCGACAGCAGACAAGCGCCGCAGCGGCGGCGGCGCACCGCGCAGCCCGCCGTCCAGCGTGCTCTGTTGAGGCAGACGGCGCGTCCGCTCGCCCACTACCACCGCTGTGCTCACGTCAGACGACGAGCTACCGGAGTCCGCGGTTGAGTCCTGCCGACGTCTGCTCGCGACGTTGTACACCCCTTCGCGAGATACACTCTCCCATGGTAGTACTTCAGCGGTATCATCATCGAGTGGATCTCTGCAAATATTGTAACGTCTTGTGTAACAACATAACCGCTTTTAATTGTAATATGTTAATTTGAATTTCCTGAAAAGCTTTATTTGATAGACAGTGGTAAATTTTGCTTATAATTTTATCACCAACTAATGATTAACTAGTATTTATAATCTAAGTTAGTATTATGTAGCTGCGTGTTAACTGCACTGTAACTGTGCACTGTGCTGCGTGGTATGTGTTAATACATATCCCACTTTATAGCTCAACTTAAACTTTGTGGTACTAGTCATTGTGATTGTTGTTTCGGTTCTGTGATGTAAATGGTGTGGAGTTACCTGAAGGGTATGTCGCAGAGGTTGGACTGCGAGTGGCTGTGCGGCGGCGGGTCGGGCGCGCGCGGCGGCTGCGCGGCACAGACGGCGAGCTCGTGCGCGGAACCCGACAATGAGCGATCCGAGCCGCGCCGCCGGGACAGCGTTGCGCTGGCGCCTGCGCCACTCGTACTGCCGCTAGAACCCGGCTTCTTCTTCACTTGCCCGCCGAAGTTGAAGAATCTGTGCATTAGGCATAGATAATATCAGTACCGCGTCAACATCTATATACTAGGTCTTTTTTGACATTAGCGGCGGAAAGGAGATAAATCTATTTCTATATCTTAATGTTTAACTACTGGTTTAATAACTATTTCTATATCGCTCATAGCAATTGGATATCTGTATTTATTTCAATCGGGTGATTCATCCATTATTGGAACAATATTGTAACTACAATATTTATATGTATATACACATACATATCTGTCATGCCTGTCTCCCATTAATATTATATATTGTTTTATACTCGTAGTATCCAGTCCTATTGTGAATAGAACCATGTAGGTTGTGAAACGAGCACCTTTTCGAAATCTTCATTACAATATTAAAATCAACCAATAAATATTAGAAGAATCAATGGAATTTCAACATTTATCTCATTCGTAATGTCGCATAAAAAAGTATCTGATTGTTTAAAAAAAATGAGTGACGGTAGCCACTTCCCATCAGGTGGACCGTTAGTTTATTTGCTTTCCCAACAACACAATATAGTTTTATTCTACATAAATTGGAAGACGAAACAAGTTGATGATCCATTGATGAAGCAGTAACTATCGATTAAAGATCTAATACTTTGTTCTTAGCAGGTCACAATAACTAAGTAACTGATGTGCGGTATATGTGTGAGGAAACTGGTATAGTTCTTAATTTCTTCCACTGAATGTATTATTTTAATCACCTCTGACACATTATAATAATAATCTTTGTCCATTTTGGTTGTACAACTTATGAATATAAATGTACTAACTTGGCTTTTTTCTGGTGTACATTCTTCCCTTCAGCCAGCAGCCGCTGGAAGTGGTCGGAGCGTATGAAACGCGGGTAGCAATCTTTCTTGAGGAGCAGCCCGTACACGTGGCCGGCCGCGTGGTCAAGTGCGAACCGCGAACCGGAACGGAGGCCCTCGGCCACGCGCTCCGCGGTTGCGCCGTCGATGTTAATCTCACATGGGGCGCCTGGCGCTAGAAACTCTCTGCGAACATTACGCTCATTTGGTTTAAGGCCCTTGTAGACCATGGACATTTAGTATGTAAATAAAATTTCTTTTTTTGGAAACTGTCACCGATTATCTTGTCTTTTATTAAACTGAAGACCTCAGGAAGACGAAGCAACCATAAAAGCAAATTTTTTATCAAAATGTTTCTGGTGTGTGCCGAACATGAGTTAGAGTAAAGGACATATAGAACAGTACAAAAATTAGAGTAGAATATAGAACCGGTAAATTTAAACTAAAGTACGATCTTAGAATGCATGTAAATTACTCTTAATAGATACAGAAGGAATTATTGTATAGGCGACAATAGAAGTTATTTTCTTTTCTTATATAAGAAAATTGGTATTGTAAAATCTCATAAGAACTGTAGCTAGATATTAAGAAATATATATTTGGAGTGATTATTTAAAATAATACAAACGCATAGATTTCTTCGAGCTTCTTAGGTATTTGTTTGGTGCCACTGCGACGTAAATCCATAACAGCAAGCCAGAATCGAATGTTCTCATGGGAATACTCCTTGCGCAGGAAACTAGTGAACTCTTGGAGACCAGTCGGGTCTGACACCAACTCTTCTATCGATAGTGCCCAACGCTGTACACGTTTCTCGCTTGGTACCTCCACCCTAGCATCAAGAAATATATTAATGTTTATCGATATACTTTAAATACCAAGATCAGTAGAATAAAAGTGTAAAAAAATTAGAAATAGAGAAAGAATAGCACACTTTTATTACTTTAGGTACATAGGTACATCTTAACAAAGACAGTATATTATTGTAATGCAAAGAAAACTGTGAGAGATATAATAAGCAAGGCTTACAAAGGGTTGTTGATCTGCCAGAAGAGAGTGTCGTCGCTGACCCAAGGATTCGAAGGTTGTGGCGGGGTAAGCCAGGGATCGTAGGGAGCGAAAGTCTCCGAGTAGGCCAACAGGGCCTCTAGGGCAATTGAAGTCTTCACTCTCGTACGATCCAGGCTTGCTTTTAAATGTTCAATCTAGCGGGACAAAATAAAGAAAAGGTTAATTCATTACTTGCAGGAGGTAGTCTTCTATTACTTCTGTTAAGCATTTTCGGGTAATACTACTAACATGCATATAGGGGCATTAATTATTAATGTACTCATATTACAGGAAAAATTTTTCCTAATTGTCTAAAAACTAAATAAATTTAAGATAATAACGTTTTCAAAAACATTAAGTCTGATCTCATAAAATGTATAGTATAATAATGTAAAATTGGGTTATTGTGGCAAACGAATTATATCTACCACACACACGAAAATAAAAAAAAAATGCCAGATATTGCCGACTCCTTTTATCTTATTCATACAGCACCGAAGTACACATCGATACATTTCTTTGCTTCTCATACTTTTAAAGACACTACATGCTGTAATAGTGTCTACGTACAGTGATCTTAAAAAAATATTTCTTAAATCTGGGATAGTTGTTATAGCACCATTACAAAATATTTTAGATCGCTTTTTTGCTGCACACAAATCAAAAAAGCTACACGTAATTAGGCAACGTTGGGGCACAGTGGTATTATGACCGCCATAGCAGTAAATTGCGTGTTTCCATAACCGCTTTATGCGAATATCGCGTGACGGAGTTACAGGTGATGAGATTCTACGATGCTAATTTAGAATTACAAAGATACGGAAACACGAAAATAGGTTGTAAAGTAAAATAAAGTATTGCAAGCGAAGTACCTATATTGATATAATTAGGAGATCATCTACTAACACTATCTTTAGAGAGATCGAAATTATTATATGGAAATTTATGTCTTTAAGTGAAATTATTGAAGATTTATAAGGTGTATATAATATGTTTAACTACCGAAATTAAGTAGATCTTCTATTATGGGTACTACACAGCTTTGTTGATGAACATACTGAAATGCTTTTTTGTAAATATATGTTATTATAAAAAATATTATTCTATATAATTTTTATATATAAAATTTTATATAAAACCATTATATACAAAAAAAAATTATACCAATCAAAACAGATGAATTCACGAATAATGTTTATTTGAAATGAAATGTTTATTTTGTGCGCGATTGAAACCGTGATCACTGGTATAGTGGTTTCACATATAATAATAGATTTAGTAAATTTATGGTGCAATTAACAATATCAGCCATCTTATTAATATTCTTTTTTTGTTTTAATTACTCCATACCTTTTATTTGACAGCGATGAAGATTTTTTAATTGTTTCCTAAATGTATCTGCTTAAAAAATCGTAAATCTCTTATACAGATACGGTGGCGAAACAAGCATACATCCATTGTATTGTATTGTGCAATTTTTATTGTTAATTATTTCTATTGTACACATTAAAAGATTCAATATACAATGACGGATTTATACCATAGAGGGATCTCTTACAGTCAACCTTTGAGAAGCTGAAAGAAAACTATTGAATGTTAAACAGTATACAGACATTTTACTTAACTAGGTGTTATTTTGCGGAATTTCTTGTCACTGGTTATTTGTTTAGAATTATTTTATTTGATTCCGCTACCATTTGCATATGAAATGCTCAAACCAACGCTCAAAAATTGACTACCATTATTACTACCAGAAGTTGTACAATCTTCCATATTAACCATCAATTTCCAATTGCCATTTCGTCTACAGTCGTTTTGTGAATGAATGAAAATTTATTTTAATAATCCACAACACTTACACAGACTGCAAGTAATAACAACATTAAAAAATAGAAAAAAAAAAACAAGTTTACATTTATATATAAAGTCTAGTTGAAATCGGTCAGTGTTATGGAAATGAAAAAGGATGCCAATTCAGGCAATTCAATTGTGACAAGTGTTTCACCTCTAAATGAGGCATACGTATAGAGATCACTTGATGGTAGGTGCTTACCGTAGCCTATAAAGTCCTGCAATACCAGATACTATGGATTAATATGGGCCAATGCGCCCATTGCCCGATCCAGAAGAAACCTCTTAATCCTTTCTTTGAAGAACTCCATGGTATAGTCTTTGGAGTAAATCTAAGCAGACAATTATATTTAGTATATAGGGAGATATCTACGTACCTCTCTGGTGAGCTGGTGTATGGTGCGCTTCTTGGGACGCGGGTGGCGGCTGCGGACCGGCACCGGGCACGGCTCCAGGGCGCTCGGCACGCCGGGCGGCGGCCGCGCCACGCGCCAATACGCGCGTTCCTGACTGTCGCTCACTATCTTGTCGCCTTTCTTACGTTCCTTCGCTAATCGGACCTACGTGGATGAGAAGAAGATATTGTACATATACCTGAAGATTGAAGTGCCGAGTGTCAATAATCAGCCAAAAACCAGCCATTTATTAGTAAATTATTTGTTTTACGGCAGAAATAGGTATATCTTGGTAATCAGTAGCGATTTTACCAATATATATCTATTTTTGCTGTGATGGTAGAGTTTATATAATATAGGTAATAAAAGAAGAAAAACTGTTAAGTTTACTGTTAAGTGAAAAATTAAGTTAATAACATTGTTGGAACAAACATACAATTGTGTAAAATATAAATACGAAAGTGGTGGGCTTATCCTCTGATTATTAAGTGTTATCTGAAGAAATAGCTTAATGTCTCTTAACAAGCATGTATGCAAGAGATCAGTTATGATATTAATTTTGGCACTCGACTATCTGTACCCCATTGCAAAAGATAGATCATTGTTGAATAACAACACTCGACTGCAAAACATATAACTTATATAACTTTTCAAATGGTACCTGTTCTTCCGCCTGCATTGTGATAAAATCCCACTTGGCAGCTAGGTTCTTCTTAAGATTAGCGAGTGCCTCTTGTTCATACTCCTCGAGGCCATGCCGTTGTTTGTTGCGCAGTGTGCGTTTCACTAGGTATATCGCGTACTCCACATTGTCGGGGCCCAGAGTGGGGGCCCCGGAGCCGCCGGCAACCCTCGGAGCTTGCCACGGCCAGTAGTATGGACTCTAGATAATTAATATTATATGGATAATTAAAAAGTATAAATAAAAATAATAATAATTTAAAAGTTTGGTGATTTAAGTCAATTTATAGAAAAATGTCAAAGAACTAAAGAATGAAGTTTTTAGAGTTAAAGATATCACCGTGCTTAAGCAAGAAAGTCTGGTTTTGTTCGTCTTCTTTTATTTTTACGATAGCTTTTGCCCATAATTTTTAGATGGCATACCATTTTTGTGCAGTCTTTTTACGTGATACCGGAACAAATATACATAGAGACAAATAAAAATTGTAAATTTTTTTTTTGGTTTCTATTAGTATTATTAAAACTCCTCATGTATATTTTTCTTAAATATCTTTTATTTACAGACATTGTCTAGTATTATATTATATTTAGTTATCTATGTCATTATTTGTATAAGCTAATGAAAACAAACGTGAAGGTTGAAGAAGCCTACATCAGCTTATAGTTTTTATAAGGTTTATTTACTAATGTTGGCGAATATCGATTTATAATTTATTGTATTTGTAAATTGTGTTACAATATAAAAAGTACATGATAATGTTGTGTACAAGCTAACGTACAATATTATTTGTAACTTTTGAACTAGTAGAAAATTTACTATATCTCAGAAGCCATCATCCCAGGGTGCATATTTAACTAAAATAATAGGCTGATACCACTTAGTGTAACACTACAAAATTCACAATTCAGAATACAAGAAACATAAGTTAACCTAAACCTAAATTATTAAACACGAATACTCACTTGAAATCTATAAAGAGAAGAATCATCCTTTAACACAAGGTTTTTCAAATCGTTGACAGGAAAGAAGTAACCATATTGGCAGAGTTGATTGGCTAAATTTATTGCTTCAACTGAAATACAAAAATGTCTATATTAATATTATTATCTTTATAAGAACTAAAACAATATTATTTGAACAACAAAAGCAGGGATTATACAGCACGGAACGAAGTGGGAAGCTTAGATAAAATGTTAGTTGTTGATTAAAATTACAAAACGCGTGACGTCAGACTCACAAAACATAATCATATGTGAATTCAAAATCAGGATTCTTTTAAGAAAATTTTTTACAAATGAATCTAACCATTTTTTTAAAGAAACGTGGGTTATACCGACTGCGCGGCAGCAGTAACAGCATTCTGTGGGCATTGTGTAATAAATACGATAGCCCGATTCTCTCATTGTGGGTAAAATTATTTTTGTTTATTTTTTTTCTACTAACATAGTTGTTTCTGACAAAAATAGATCTTAGTTATCTTTAATAAAGAAATATTATCCCTTTTTCGTGCATCAGTCACGTTAGGAGGCTTTAAACTTTTTTTTTATCTACATTTCATTGGGAAAATTCTCAATTTTCTTGGTATTATTGGTTGATTGAAATTTTGTAAAAGCTTTAATTGTTTTTCATATTTTATATCCCTATCAGACTAAATGGACCCAGTATGTAGTTATTATTATATTATTATTATCATATCAGCCATGTCCACTACTGGACATAGGCCTTCCCCATAAGGGTGGTTTTGCCAATAGTTGCCACGCTTCCTTAAAAGGATATGAGTATTAAGATTTCGATATCATGACATAATATTGCTAGTTTTAACCAACAATAACAAAGTAAAAGATCAAAGAAAAATAAACATAAGAGCAGAGAAGACAATCATGCAGAGGAGAGTGATGGCTCTACCTACATATTAACACCTGGGGATACAACTTGAACTTCTCAATATAGCTAGATTCTACGGGGTTCCTGCGGCGAGACCCAACCCAGGGCCCACTGCCGGCTACAAAACACTCACCATTGCTAGTTTCATCAAGATTAAACCGTTCCATTAGCCATTCGACAAGATCGTATCCTGAAAGTTGAAGATAAACATTATGATATCTTATTACACGTTCACTATAAATAAGTACAAAGTATTTAATTTAGCAATTAAACAATTTCAATTTATTACAAATCTTAAAAAAAGCAAATAAATAATCATTGCATAGCTATTAAAAAGAAAAAAAGATATTACTCAAAAAAATATATATTTTATTACATTATTTAATTAATTAATTTTTATTTACTCTCGGTTATTTGTTATATGCTTTATTTATTAATGAATTTAAAAAAATAATGATATTATATTAGTTACTGTTTACATAGGTCAACACTATGATAGTAAGTTAAACGATTTCAGATTTCAAAACAGACAAACAAAAAAGCGATATTAGGAAACCTCCCATGTCCTACGAGAAGGATGAATTCTTAAATTTTTTATGTATTCTAAAAATCTATATAGTGTACATAAAAAACATACACTAATAATAGAACAATATGCGACAGTTATAAATTACTGTCTGCACTCTGCAGACATAGTAGGTACCTAAAGTGTGTGCTCGTTATTGATTTTACAATCAGAGTACTCCTTAGACGGCGGTATAGTATTAGCCGCTCTAGTGTGTGTTTTCTTTATAATATCAGATACACCCTAATCTGATTGGTCTACGCATGATTTTGAAAGTAGATCTAAATATGTATATAAAAATACCGTGTCAGGATGTTCGTTCAAGGTAATCTCAGCCGATTTTAATGAAATTTTGTAAAATTTGTAATTGTTCTCTAACTTAATATTTTGTATCATATCAGTCATGTCCACTACTGGGCATAGGCCACCCCTATAAGGGGGGGTTTGCCAATAGTTGCCACGCTTGGCAGGCGGTAGGCAACCGCAGTTAGGCTTTTGTGATATTTTAAGAGGAGCGCTGTTGCTTATCCCTCGATCAATAAGTTCTCTTAGTTGCCTCTTATGACACTCATGGGTTAGGAAGAGATGGCCCATTATATACCGGGACCACACGAATGTGGCCATAGGGGGCAAAATTAAGTTCCTTTGTTTGCTGGGTGTTTATACTTATATGATGATAATAATAATGATGAAAAATCTTTACAAAATTTAATATAATATTACTATGAGGTATATCCAACAATGGAGCCTCAATAAATATCAATAACCATATAGGATCCTCTTCCCGAAAATACAACACCCCTATTATTTTTAATTTATATAACTACCTATAGTTTTATTAATTTTTTTTTATTTAGTAGTGTCAGTAGTTCATTTACAAATCCATAAAATGTAAGAAATTATTATTGTATTTCTATTAAATTGTTATTTTCATACGGTCTTAGTACATATAATATTTAAAAAACTGTTTATCTGGATATAGTTTAACAAAACTCTGTTTATGTAATCTATTTATTTCTTTAGCTCTTTATTTCACCTAATACATAAATATATACAATGATAATTACAATAGAAAATTCATTTAAAATGCAGTAAAGTAATGCTTAGCGATAAGGCCGCCTTTTGTAACATATCACTTTTCATTAATATTTACTGTATGTATTTGTTATTTTTCTTTTTATTTGGTGCAATAAAGTGTAAAATAAATAAATTTATTATTTAGTTGATGTAATAATATTATATGAGCCAAAATCTATTTATTATTATTAATTATTACTTTAAACATATTATTTATAAACTCGCTTTTATAATAAGATGTCTAAACATGTATTGAACACTTGTCTATGGCAGGTCTAAATATTTTTGTGATAAGACGGTAATGTTTTGGACGTTACGCTATATCTTTATCAATGTAGAATATATTTTAACTGACTCCAAAAAAGAGGAGGTTCTGAATTCGGTTGTATTTTATTTTAGAGTATATCCTTTTTTGGTAGAATAACGTCTTAATTTATTTAATTATTTCATGGGCATATATAAATATTTATTTAATTTTGTGTTATGTAAATGAGATATATAATATCTTATCTTACCCATAAAAGCAGATGGAATGACACTAAGAAATAATTTTTGACTTCGTACAGGTACACCGGATTCTGGATCTTGCATTTCCTTTATCAAACTTTCCATCTGTAATTAAAAAGGAAAAAAAAATATTATTTTGCTATTACATTTTGCTATTGAACATTATTTTAAACACAATACGGGTATAGTGTGTAATAAATAATAAAAAAAAACTTTATAAAGTTTTCGATACGATAGCAATTTTACACTTAATAGTAATAGAAAAGAACATAAAGAACAAGTCTTTACCATGAGAATATAAAATTTTGGGTAATGTTTGAGTAAATATAAAAAAAATGTATATTATTTGAAATGGGATTTAAAGCTAAGTATATATATATATATATATATATTCGTTAATAGGCATATATCTACAGTTATAACATATTACACAATGCAAATGCATAGGCTATGGAAAAACCTATTAAAAAGACTTTATCCTCACCTATCATCATTCACTGTGCCACTCACCCACGGCACTCCGGCAGCTTATATTGATAGGGCTGCCGGGGTTATCATTTAATTTTCATCCATTAGAAAATATACTTGATTTTCATTTACTTTTCATTTTGCCGTTACATTGATATATCTACTCTAGAGTAATACTGACTCTCAGTAGCCAAACAATACGTCAATATTTAGATAAGAAATGTTTATTGATTTGATAACATTTATAAGAACAGAATCTGCAATTCGAGTCTTTTGTTTGTTGTTTTATTTTATTTTATACATTATACATAATCTTACGTAACGATATTAACATATTTATTAATAAAAAAAAAATGTATTTTCTTTATTGTTTTCGTATTATTAGTTCTTATAAAGTTTCACTGTATAAATAATAAAAAATAATGTTTGTATTAAAAAAAATCATTTTTCACCCTCAATTTATTATAAGCTTTATAGAGAGCAATAAAATAGTCCGTCTTTTAAATTTCGTTATATTTATAGAGCTTATATATATATCATTATCAGCCGTTAACCGTCCACTACTGGACATAGACCTCCCCCATAAGGGGGGTGTTACCAATAGTTGTCACGCTTGGCAGGCGGGTTGGTAACCGCAGTTGGGCTTTAGTGATGTAGAGGAATACTGCTGCTCATCTCTCGACCATTAAATTTCCTTAGTCGTCTCTTACTCCACTCTAGGGGCACAAAGGGGTAAAATATTCTATGACGGGACCACACGGCAGTAATTATAATAAAATTGTAACTAGACGATCTGTTTATGGGAGATATTTAAGAAAATTTAATATGAGGGTGTTAAGAGGAGAAATAGAAACCAAAACAATATTTTCAGAAATTTTGTCTTTTTTTATATCACTGAGGTGGCAAACAAGCGTACGGCCCAGCTGATGGTAAGTGGTCACCGTAGCCTATGTCTGTCTGTGTTCTGGCATCACGCAGAAACTACTGTATCAAATACTGGATGCGGTTTTCACAGTTGTGTTCCTGAAGATGTAACTTATTATATGGAAAAACTGATGCATGCAGTATATGTTATATTAAATATGTCATTTAAAAGTGAACAATTTCATTAATTTTCCTACTTTTGAAATTCACATTTAAAAACTAATATAATATTATAACAATCATATTAATATTGTTATAAATTCAAAGATAAGGTAATATAGAACTATGCCATGTATTTGGTACTTTCGAGTGTTTTTAAACCAATTGATGTATAAATAACTACGATAGATATTGTTATAAAATTTATTGATACATAGATAAATAATCCTAACTAATATTATTAATGTGAAAGTGAGTTTGTTTGTTTGTTACGCTTTCAAGCCTAAACCGCTGCCTTAATTGTAATGAATTTTGGTATAGAGGTATCTAATAGGGGGTGAGGTGAGAGAGGGGTAATATTTATAAGAAACATTTTACACGTCGTCCGATTTGCTTTAAACTGCGGAATTATTGTTTATAATTCATAATTAATGTATACATTTTTTTTCCAACTTTTAAAGGGAGTAGGTTTCTTTATATAACTATTCTAACTAACTATCTTTACCTATACCAATAATTAGAATCGTTAGACAAAATCAATATTAACGCAAGCGAAGCCGCGGATAAAAGCTGAATAATAAATATTTGCTATATATGTAAGCGAACGCCATCATCACGATGTACTCCTTAATAATATAGATAAATAAACTAAATCGATAAACCACAGCATTATTTATAGCACAGTATTATGTGCTATTAATAAGTGTATGTAACTAGTCAGATTGTCGTTGCTGGAATAGTTTGATGCCGTAAATTTTATTGGCGTTTTGTACGTGTAGTTAATTACAACTGCCGGCTGCATACTGTTGATGTAGCGGAAATAATTGCAATGCAACATCACCGTTCGTAATAAGACACATACAATACCTATTCATAGCAAAATACCATGTTAAAGTTTATTTCGTTGAATGTTTTTCAATCAGAACTTCAAAAAAGTTTTTTTTGCTGTGAATATTATGCGACATGTTTGTCAATGCTGAATCTATTTTTATGATTCTTTTTTATTGAAAGGGCAAACTCACGTGTTGGTTCCATTGCTATACTATATAATTATAATATAATTTCATTAAGTGGATTTGTTTTTATTTAAAAAAAAAGAACGATTTTAAGTTGATTACTGGTTCATAGAATTTTTTATTATTATGCAATCTTATCGAGATTACCATTCTGATGGCGACGCTGTACGAAATAAAAAAATCAATGCTTGTAGTTGCTGTAGTACTTGTACTCTTAGAATAGGCCATAGTACCTACGTATTATCAAGCAGGTTGTAGGTTTGTCATTATAATAATACTTCTTATTGAGACTAGCGAGATTGATTCACTTAAATGACATGATATGATTTAACTGGGATCTTATACATTCTTCTTTATCCTTATGACATCTTAAAGAAAGAAAGAGAAAGAGTCAAGATAAATTATTCTCCTAATCTGTCACCATATGGAAATCATCTGAAAACATCTCACATAGAAAAACATTTACAATCTGAATAAAGATTTAATTTGCGAATGAGTCATTAATTACAAAATATTAAAGAGAATTAATTTGAATAATTAAAAAATAAAATAAGGTTTAATCTCAAGTTGAGCTAAGACAAGTTTGAATCTCAAATTGAATCACGAACATGACAAGTACATACTAAGAATATTGAGCATGACGTCATTTGCGTCCTTTTAGGTCAACGTGCACTTGAGCTAGCCTAGAGGGTCTATATCGCCAAGTGGACGACCCTGTGACGATCTTAGCGAAAGCTCTCAACAAGCAAATCGAGAGCTTTCGCTGAGATCGTCACAGGTCACAGTCGCTCAACGAGAACAAAGCCGATGCAGCATCGTAGTATCGACTCGATCCAATATTCGAAGGCATTCAAGCTTTCAAAGACGTTTTAGATGCGGCGGATGATTTAAAATTGAAATGAGAAAGCCTTTCGCAAAGACATTAAAGACTTGTACTTTTTTGTTCTCCGTTCCTTTAGAAGATAGAGTGTTCATTCGGTTGCATCAATTATTCCTTTCATTTATAATAGTTTTATAATATTAAAAGTTTAGGTGGCAAATAAATATAACTATACTCGTAAATGAACGTTGAAAGTTTTACAGCCATTAGTAAATAATTTTTGACTGTTATTCTAACTTTTACGATGTCACATCGTTGTATGTATGGGGTGAAGTGATTTTACGACAGGTGTAATCTACGCTGAATGTAAAGATGCTGAACAAATGGTAAATACATAAATTAATACATGTTGTATTAATTTTGTATTTATAAGTAAATATTCCCATATATTTTTACAATGAATCAACTTTGTTACAACAATATTTGTAATATTAAGAACTTTGTTTTACATATGTATTTAACAAATTTTAAAAAAGTTTCAAAAGAGTAATTAATACCTGCAAAAAGAATTCCATAAAATATAATAAGCAATCGTTTTCGTTTTAATAAGCAAAATGTTTCCCATGCAATGTATACAGCGATTACTAGAGATCAGTGATCAATTGATAAAATATTTGATGTGGAGATCGCATTGTGATTTTCGGGGTGGACGTTCATTCGTCCCAGGAGACGAGAGCTCTGGGGGCGAAGGCTAAGGCGGTGACGTCACGGGCGCGATCGATAGACCGGCGCGGGGTGGCTCGCGGGTCACATCTCGCAATCGCGGACGCCTTCCACCTCCACGCCCCTTGTCTCCTCTCCACCCTTCGTTCTACAATTCATTACACCTAAAGACTGTTTGTTTTGAACATCTTCACCTTGACAAAATTTTTGTTTAGGGAACGGTACCTACATCGTATAATGTTGAAAGGAACAGTACTGAATACTCTCCAGACCTATTATAATTGGCAAAACGCTATTTACGATGTTAAATTCCTCTTTATTTATTAGTCCAAATATTGTCGAGGTCATAAAAGCTTGTGCCCATATATGTGAAAATATGGCAGAGTCCGGATATTCTTTGAACTTTAGTGGCAAATCTACTAAACGGATTTGAATAAAATTGGAACATTGGGATTTAGCTAGTAGCAGAGAAATCGTCATACTGGCTGTATCTTTCAGCCATGATATTAATCTAAACTGTTGGCTCCCATTAATGTCGGTTTTAATGGTTAAAAACAACAGGTAGTTTGCATTTTAAATGATCAGAAGTAGAAATAATGAAATAATGAAAGTATACAGTAAATATGTTCTAAAATAAATTAAAAGTAAATTAGTATTACTGAATTTTGTAGTCAAATATACCACATACGAAGACAAATGTGATAGAAAAAGATGTATTGTGCTGTTTATTTTTCAATACAGTTCAACCTAGTATTTAGTGTTAGAGTTTGATTAAAAAGTACAATACTGAGAATAGATTATGTACAGTCTAAACCGACGAACCCAGAAATAATTAAGAACAAGAGTTACTTATTTATTACATGTAATGTGACAAAAAAAATCTATAATGAGGTACATAAAATGAGTAGGAAAAAAAATCATCTTGAAAGGGGTTAAGAAAGGGATGTAAGCTGATATAAGAATTTGTCGATGACATATTTCATGTCGCAAGCACCGTAAATCAATGTAGAAAACGTGCGGATTGATCAGTACGATGGCAACATTACGGTTAGATATATATCCACTCGTATAGTACGTGGCCCAAACGCGTTCATATAATCGCGTGGGCGGCAACCGCGCCCTATTTAGACCTTTTACTTTTTTGCTGACTCCTGTTCAATTAATAAATACTTCGCCTGATTGTAAAATTAATTTTTCCAACAAAAACAAATAACCACAAGTAATAATATAACTAACAGATTTAACTAAGGGTTGATTTTACGATCATCGTGAATATTATTTCAAGTGTGAAAAGTAAATGAATATAAGATATTTTATATTTTATACTTTTAATTTCCTTCCTTTCATTGGCACCGATACAAATTTTGTATCGATATTTTATAATATTAACTTGTATACCTAATTTAGCAACTTAATTTTGTAATTTAAATATTATTTATTGTTGTACAATAAACTTTTATTGTTGAATGTTTTTAATTGTTTAACTAAATTATATATGTATATATATGTAGGTACCGGTATAAAAAATAATTGCATTCTACGTTTAAAATATACATTCTCTTGTATTCAAGTCGAGGGTATTGTATCGGTAACTTCCTCCATGTTCGTTTAACAAAGGGCGTGTAGCGGCGGGTATGTCGCTTCATATAAAAGGCCTGGATGTGGGTAGTTAGCTCGTAAATCAAAGATATCAATACGTATAATTAACACAATACTGTGTTCCTTGTCATCATTAAATTATTGTGGCTTTCTGGGAACGATCTGTTCTAATATTGTACAATAGATTTTATAGGTGTGTGTGTGTATACACAGACAGAAGAACTAGCTACCTTTACTACAACTTTTCTGCATATAATAAATACATGTATTACCTAGACTAGATTAGTCATCTATTAAAAATATACTAACATAAATTGCATAAAATAAGTAAAAAAAAAATTAAAAAAAAAATAAAAATAAATTTATAAATCAAATCAAAATGAAATCAAAATCCTTAATATTCTTTTATATTCAGTGTATTCAGGTTAAGTTAGTATGGGAATTTCTACATTTTTAATTATTTTTCAGCCCATATTTCATTGGAAAAAATGTTCAATAACATCTATGGGTAGAATCGTCCTTCTCGGAGAGATATCCTCCTAATATATATATATATATATATATATTTATATATATATTAGGAGAATACTGTGCAATAGACACGGGTATGTATGTTACAGGATTCGATTATATCTATATGGACTCTTTGGGTTCTACACACAATTCAGCAAGTAAGTAAGGATGGTATTACGGTTTGTTAGAAAAATCGAGTAGGTACATAGTACACGTCTAGTTACCGATTACGAGCCAAAGTACATTAAGTATGCAGGATTAGGCGTGATAAAATGTAGCAACGTTTCACCACTCTGTATTATGTACTTTAACCAAAGCCATCTGAAATTTTTACGAGAAAATCCCAATTTAGACATGGAGTGGATAGCGTGCAGAAGGTAGAATAGGTGCCGGCATATCGCTGACCGAAGCAACCTATTGATTTTCAGGCAAGAATCAACCGTCGACCATGCAGTATTAAAAATAAATAAGTTAGAGAAAGCATAACTTCCTTACAAAATGGTAGTGATAAGTAATTTTATTAAATAAAACTATTATTGAATATATGGTGTAAGCAATACAATTAGTTTCATTTTCTGTTAGAACATGCAGAGTGAGGCAAAATCTAAGACTTAAGAGTTCGATATCGCTTGTATGCCTGGGATCATTGACAATTCTCATAGCTCGTCGTTGCACTGAGTCGAAGGGTTCAAGCTGGTATTGAAATAATTGTGTCTAAAGTTAGTTAATTATTTAAGGTGGTAAAGGTAATTATTTCGAAAATAATTTTTAGGAAAAATTTAATATAATCTATTAATATGCACTCATAACGCAATCGAGATAAATGTAGATTAAGAGACAAAAATATTTTTATTGCTATTATTCCATTATAAAGTATATAGAAAAGGCAATACCATTGACGTATTTTTCAGAAAAACTCAAAAATTAATACACCTACGAAGCTCTATTGCAAATATATTCCTTACAGGATGTAGACTTTCAATAAGAAAGAAATTATGGCTAATGGAGTACTCTTAAATAGCTAGTTAAGTATATCTACATTTGGCTAGCTATTTAAGACTGTATAAAAACTAAAAAAAAAAAATTAACTAAATAGTACTGTAAAAATAGGATAGTTATAATGCTACTGTAAGTCGTACTTGTCTAGACTTATAGACGCGAATAAATATTACAAAATCTACTGTTTATTGTTAGAGATTATTGAACTTCATATATTACACTTCCAAATAAATAATACCTATATTAATAATAATTATAGATAGATAGATGGTTTATTTGCATTATATTTACTTATATTTGTCAATATTATTGTAGTGCAATTTTTTATGTTCATTTTTGAAGTAAAGTGTTTGTGTCTATCTAGCGGACATCAAAACTAAAGCTAATTTAAATTTTCTTCTAAATCTCCAATGATAGAAAACATCGATAACAAACAAAATTAACCGTGTGACAGCAGTAGGCTCGCCCATTTATTTTTATAATAAATAAAAATTCTGTTAGGAATTATAGTCATATGCCTAATTTTGTTCATAACAGTAATGACTACACATTAATTTCTTCCCATTAATCTAACATTTATATTATTTTTTCTTATATTGTACTAACATAACTATAATTTTGTTACTAACATATATATGTAAGTTTGAAGGAAAAATATTATTATATTATTATTAATTTAGTGAAATTGTTTTTATATTTATTTTGTCATATAGTATGCATAAAATGATATTTTTTATTATATCATTGTGATAAACAAAACTTCTCATACTTTAAGATTTAATGAGGACTTATTCCGTTTAATCTCTTGAAGAAGCCTTATGAAGTCTTAGCGAGCCCTAGAACATTTTGAATACGAATGTTGTAGACGTAACTTTATTGAAATTATTTCCCACAAAATTATCATTGTGTAATCCCATTATCGCCGCTAAACCATAACCTTCTTTGTAACTTTACTTCGTCACTAACGTCACTTTTACAATGTAAGAAGTATAGTATGAAAAAGTCATAATTTCTTGGAATTTGATCGCGTGAATGGCACTATCATCAAACAAGGAATATTGCATATACATACAAAAACTGTAATTACATGCTATAAAAAATATCAGCGAAACTAAAATACAGTATATTTAATAATATACAATATTAATTTATTCATTGATTTCTTTATAAGCAACAGTAGGTCTAGTACTCAACAGCAAAAAAAAAAACTATTCACTAAGTGGGATAGCGGGATTATAGTGTTTTTTTTTATTATTCCATAAAAAAATATATGCCCATATTTTTTTATGGAATCCATTAAAGATCTATTGTCATTGTACCATATACATGAACTGATTACGTATGTTGTAGGTATATATAGGAAAATATATAAAGTTCGGAATTTTCGCGTAACGTGTAAGATAAATAAATGTTTAAAATAAATAGCATGAAAACTGTTGAAAATGCGTAAGTTATCTATTCCATTAACTTTAAAAATACAGTTGATTTTTCTTGACCTTGTCATGTGACACCACATACGTGAAACATTTTCCCTATATTCTGAGTAAAAATACATCATTTCTTTTCGTTTTAGGATATCGTAAGAGGTGACAACACACCTGTGCAACTGAAGGAAATCTTGAAGTCTTACACCAAATGCCTCGTTTGTATAGTTTTTGTGATTAAAGCCTTTCTTTCATGAAGAGAAGCCTATGGCCTGTAGTGGGATGTAAATAGATCGTCATGGTAATAAGAAGAAAATATTGAACTAACCTTATCGAAGGCGAGGGGTCGGTGTCGAGGCACGTCAGCGAGTTCCATGGCTTCGGCGGGGCGGGGCGGGGGGTGCGGGCGCGGGGGCTGCGCGCGCGCCGCTAGCCGACCTCCATGGGCGTCTGCCGCCGGGGCCGCATGCCGCTCGCGCCCGCGCTGCGCCCCCGACACCTGCCGACCATATGATATAATCAGTTCTGTTATGGAATATGCTCTCCTGAAATTACACTGTTGATGAATTGTAATGCAGTTAACCTAACGTATAAAGCGTACAATTTATTTTCCTATCGTTTACTGACTTTGTTATTACAGAAACAATACGTCAATCAACTGTTTCCGGTCCTCAACTAAATAACACGCCAATTCCCAATACTGAATAATGAAAATTGTTGGATATTTTAATTTATTATTATCTTTTTACGTTGTATTATACTAAATATAATACTTTTGTCCGCTGCATATATATATTTTATATGTTATTTTGGAAATCTTTACAATCATCAGTATTTGTTGTTAGTGCGTGTTTTATGTTTTCAAATTATCTATCTTATATAATTATCTTATTCTATAAATTATTATAATAATAATCTTTAATATTAATGAATCGTGGCTTAAAACTTTAAACTCTGTGTGTCAAAAATAATTCATAAAGAAACTAAACGAATTTCAGTGACAATATCACGTCGATTTAGTGAATCTTAACAAACATTAGAAGTTAAAGAATAACTTGTAAATGAAACGAATTTAGAAATAATTATAGTTCTGTACGATAACTATCAAGTTTCAAATCATGAAATCAAGAAAATGCCCCTTATAATTAAGCAACCGGCAAACATTGAACGAGTAAATAATGTATTTGGAATCAACTGTAACAGGCAGTTTTCAAATCGTCCAAATCATGATCCATCAGTATACCAAATTTTGTTCAAAATCAATGAAAGTATACAAACATTCAGTCATCCGTTAAAGCATTATTAAGTTACGGACTTTTATTCTACTCATATTTTTTTTTGCAAGACTGCGTTATGTAACAAATACATTTTTATACGAATTCAAAATGGAAAAAGTTTCGATTTTTCTTATATTTTTCTGTGTGTATCTTATGCGAAATCTGTGCTAACTCTGAACTGATTTAAATAATTATTTTTACAAACGATTAGACAATATCTCAAATTATTAAAGAACTAGCTTATATTCGCGACTTAGTCCGCGTAGATTTCGGTAATAAGCGGCCTAATTACTTTCTTGTTCTTAGAACGCATAAGAATTTTAATGCCCTCGGTTACGCATCTCACTCACACATGTTCTACTAAAGATATTCTCATCGTCATAACTTTTAAATAATTTACTCAAATCACTTATAGTAAAAGACAAATATTATCTACTTTATATAGTAAAAGTGATGAAAGTATTTATTTGTATAAGCATTAATTTATAATAATATAAATATGCATTGTAAATACGGTATTCAAATTAAATATTTTGATAAGTCACAATTTTAATTACGAGTACACTGGTTTCTAGTTAAAAAATAGATATCTACCACAAATTTTATCAAATCTGTTAGATACGAGTAGTATAGTTTTGAAATCAAATAACTAATTTGCTTCAACTGAAATCGGTTTTCTGTGGAACATAATTGTAAATTATGGTAAAAGTTATTTATACCATATATTACTATAACTTGATTATCTCTCTCTCTCTGTTTTTTTTTGCTCTTTTTGTAGTTATAAAGGCACTTTAATAAATAAACAGGTAGGTAATTAGTATATGTGTTATTGTTTCTAAAACATTGCAAGGTACGTGATTTTCTAATATGGTTGATTGGACGAAAATTGCTTCTCGCTAAGCGCTGCAAACATATGTTCGTATTGAATGTATTCATCACGTCGTACAATCAATGTCCATGATGCATCGTGCACAAATACTCACCACTGTTCACTAGACGAATAAATAATTCATCGCAATACGAAACTAGCTTTCTCTGAGCAAATAAACAAATTCTAACTATTTACAGACTCGATTGAATGATCAGTGATTGAATTGATGATTTCAATAATGTAAAACGTCCGTTAGGTAGCATAAAAATACATCGATCATAATAATTGCGTATGTGAACCGTTAACTAACCAGCAATGCACGTACGGACATGCAAACATGCAAATATATGCAACAACTACATTATTTGAATCAAGACTGTAATAAATTTAAATAATAGCCTTACTAGAAAATGGTGTACCTAATTGTTGTAAATTGCTGGTGAGTTTGTAAGGTAACTACTAACAAGTAGGAAAAATGCCTAAGCTAGAGTCGCGTGATTTTAATATTGCATGGGACTTTGTCCACGTGATTTGATTAAAAAGTAGTCTACGTTTTTTTGCATGCTACATAAGCATTATATTCGATTACTAGCGACCTGCCCCATTACATTACATCATATCACATTAGAAACCTCTAAAATTATCAGTATTTTTCTAGTATATTATGCATGTATTATACATATAAACCTTCCTCTTGAATCATCTACGAGTATTAAAAAAACGCACCAAAATTCGTTGCGTAATTTTAAAGATCTAAGCATACATATGGAAAGACAGACGGGAAGCGACTTTGTTTTATACTATGTAGTGATGATGCTATGTTTGATTTGGTTAAGCTGTGAAGGTGCCAAGGGTCAGTAACCTCTAATATTTATGTCAAACTGGGCAAAAATAATATTTGCCACCCTTTTCAACGTGCATCGTTCTCAATTTTGCTTCTCTCAATTTTGTCACTTTGACTGATATTTGCTCTTACTTTCTCCCCATATTAGGCTCTGTCAAGAAGCAAATATATAATAAAACACAGACTCTTCGCTGAAATACGGAAAGATTGGTATTAATAAGAAGGATTTCTGTTTCTAATTGTAGAATATTTCTATATATATTTGTATAGAACTGGTTTTCCTGTAGGTATGATATAAATAAGATTAAAATGTATATGAATATGGGAATAAGAATTAACAGAGATTTTACATCTTTCATATTTAAGAATTGTTTGAAATGGTAGCCAAATTCTAACATGGTAATTTAAATATCAGCATATAATGCGGTTTCAAAGGAGATTACTCCCTCAAATGATCAAATTATGGAATAAGTTCTGCAAAAAGGGCGATAAAAGATTTCTTCAGGGTCCATAAAATACACGTGATACCTTTGATATTACAGGAGTCCTAAGGTACTGAAATAAGGTAGACTGTGTATCTGGTTGCCATTTATATACTCTGCGCATGCTAGGTGACATGAATTTACCTAAAAATCACTTATTTGATTTGATCGTCACGCCATTCATTTTAATTTCAACCTCTTAATTTTCAAGAATGCACATATACTTTTGTTCCGTTTACATGAAACAAATGGAAATTTTCTACTATCAGAATTTAAAGGTTCCTTAAAATTCTAATAATTTGTCTCCATTAAAATTGCTTATATCTATTTAATTTTATATTCGTTAATACATACGTCTATAATTTTATTCGTTAGAAACCATTCTTGCTACCATAAACTATAATTTACCCATGGCCTCTGGCACGTATGTAATCTTAATCTACAGGATTAAATGACACAATACAGACAACTTTACACACTCTATAATAATCATGTAATGATTATTAGAAACATACTGTCCATCACCTGCATAATGGTAGGTAATTTGTTTTATTTATGATGTTACATAGATCTTTTCCACTATAAAACATTAATAAATGGTTAATAATTTATATTAGAAATAATATTGATATAAGAATTGTCGATACCTTGACGAGCCATGCTGGGGAATTCACAAATTCGTCTAATGATGTCATTTGGTACTTGATGTTATCTGAAATATTGTGTGATATTGAAACGGAATAAAAGTAAAATACTTTTTAAACGCAGCAACAAAGTTAATAGTAGAAATGTGAATTGTAAAAATAATATTTTTAATGTGGCAATTTAATAATCGTACGAATAACTGATTACTCACTTTTTTTTAATAATTAAATTAAACGATAACATGTCCCATTGAATGCGTCACAGGCACAAAGCACATTCATCGAGCGGCAGTCACACGTACCCGCACTAATACACATGCGGTCTCCACATATGATTCGCTGTTTATCCGGGCCCGTAACGCGTAAATATTGTTCTTGGACGAGCCAGCTCCACTCTCAGCATAATATGTTCCACGACTATTGTTTAGAAAACGAAAGACGCATCGCAACTCGCAATATCTTCTGATAAAACAGATAACGCCGCGTCCGCTAAAATCTCTTCTCGAGTCATAAATTTTAGAGTCATGAGGGAATTTTGGGAGGCTTAAGTACCTTAAGATAAGTGCGATAAGTGGTCGGTGTCGTATGCGTTATGTATCTTGAATGGATAATAACAAATTAACTAATAATACCATGATCTACTTACTTTTCGGTGATTAATAATTTTTATTCGGATAATTCACAAACTGTGCTGTCTCTTATTGTCAGTTTGATGATAGATAACAAAATAATACATGTAACAAATTACACATGTTTTTTTACATCATATAAATATCAATTTGATAAAAAGGAATGTTTATTGGGCATATAATCTTACTTCTTACTAATATAATATAAAAATTGTAACCAGACGATATTGGTACATGAAATATTTAACAAAAATTGATATTGGGAGTCTTAATGAGATTTTTTTTTTAATTATTTATTTACTATTTTTCTAAGAGGGAGCCTTTGAGTGTGCATGTGCATGTAACTGCACTGGAAGTTTGCGAAATCAAATTTCAAGAAATTTGTAATAGACATGAAACAATTGTATTGTAGAATGAATTATGGAAATGAAAAAAAAAATACAGTTTTCAACGTTGATTCTTGTGTTATAATAGTAGTAGGTCTCACATGTCTATGTTTAGTAGTAGCTATAAATGGCTAAAAGCTAATCTTATCTGATGCTATAAGTCATATGATAGTGAAAAGCAAAGATACAGAGACCTATTCCATCTGAAAATGAGTGTACTTACAATTATTTTTATATCCATGTTGGATATTGTTCATCGTAACACCAATAGTCTATCTAAAAAGGATTATTAGTAATGGCATATAACAGCCTGCTAGCAATATAGACTATTAGGTTGACCTACGCGTGGTCCTTCCCAGAAACCAT